GCTCGACGCCAAACTTGACGTGCACACATGGAAGGTTTCCAAGATCAAACTCACGGCGACACAGCATGTTGCCAATCTCTCTTCTTCCGTTCTTAATTACTCGAGGCAGAGCATTCGGGGCTGTGATCATAACACAGTAAACCCGAAGATGGTGCTCCTGCATAAGGATTTCCATGCATTTTTCTGCCAGCGAGTCCAACAAGGCTGTATCAGGCTGTACTGGAGGACCTCCCGACGTGAGAGGCGCAGTTGACGCAGCGGCTGACTCGAGAACCACGACTGGCAAGTGCTCATCATTGACAAAAACGTCAAAAGCAGAACAGTCGTGGATCTTGGGAATGTTCTTGACAAGGCTTACTACAATGTGTTGAACAAAGAAATATCTGTACTCGGTGATTCCCGCACCGCCGTGCTCAACCCACTCGACTTTTTGTCGGATTCGATCCTCATAAAGCCCCAGCACGTAAATTTTACCCTCAATTACAGTACCGAGAAGACCAGTTCGCAAAAATTCTGGCTCCACGGCCGTGGGTGTCGGCTCTCCCGGCTCAAATTTGTATGGACGCGCGTGGAAGATGAGCTCTGTGTTCTTAGGTTGCGCCCAGAATCCTCCAGAGAGAGATGGTGAATCAACCCAAATTTCACCGACCGAGCGCGGAGATGCCAGGAGACCAGTCTCGGGGTCTACAACGGCGAGCGTAGCATCCGGAATGGGGTATCCAAAAGCGCCAACCCGGACCATTGTAGATTCCATGGAGGTCTTCTTTCGAGCTTCAGTGCCATGGGCTATGACGACGACTTCATTGGTCTTCAAGGCCTCTCTATCAAGGATGACCTCTCCCAATTCCATCTTCTCATCCATCTCCTTTTTCGTGGTTGCTCCACCTCCCAGCAGACTAGTGAATCCGTTCTTCGGCTTCTCATCCTCTTCTTTTTCATCTTCGGACTCCATGCCAGAGTCATGATCCAGCATCAGCTGAACTCCCAACCGTTCTTCACCACCAAGCCAGTCTCGAACACTGACAATCATTCCGCCATGCTCCGGAAGACAAAGCATCGGAGCCACAACTTCTCGTGCGCGCGGGTTTCTCAATGGTCGCAACCATCTATCGGCCAATACCTCGTGAAACTCGCTATCAATAGTAAGGGTATCAATCAAGCACAGCTTTACAGCCTGGAAATTCGGCTCCATTCCCTTCTTGAAATTGCGTGTTGTCATCGGATCTGACTGGTAGTTGTATGCGGCTCGCTTCAATCCAGGATAATCGGCAATCATAATGCTTGCTCTATATTTCGTAATCAAATGTGCGTATAAACCGGGGGACTCGACAGCCTTGTTGTCGAACCAGACAGAAGTATGGCCACCGTAAACAGTCAGCAATACGCTGAGAATCAAACCAACTCCCTGGCGAGGATCCAGATACGACAGCAAAATCTCACTGCTTGCTCCGCCGCCACCAATGAGCTTTCCATTCTTGTCTCGTAAAGACGAGCTAAATGTGTCTCCGGGGCCGTTGCCAGGAACGGTAGAGATGATGGCACTCAGACATGCCATCTGGTGCATGATTGTCCGATGGCTTAGAACAACACCTCTTAAGTCGCCAGTTGGAGCACGAGAGAATTCGATATAGGCCAAATCTGGCACGGTCAAAGGCGGAGCGTCCTCCTTCTTCTTGGGGTGGTACCCGCCAAATTCGTTAGTCTTCCACCATTCGACTCCCTTTGGCCAGGTGAGCTTTTGGGTAGTGATATCTCTCTGGAAAGTTTTGAGGTTATTTTCTGTCGTGAGGGCCAGATGAGCTTGCGTAGAAGTGAGGATATAGTTCAGCCTCTGGTAGTCTTGTAAGTCGTTGATTGGAACAGCCACCACTCCAGCAATGAAACAGCCCAACAAGGCGGTGGCAAAGTCGATGATTTCGCTATCACGATAGATAAGAGCCACTCTGTCGCCACGGTACAGGGGGCTCTTGTCTCGAATAACTTGTGCGACCTTCTCGGCCCTTGACGCCAGTTTATCCCATGTAATGGACGCCATCTCCTTGCCCTTACTATCAAGAACCCAGTACGCTGGCCTTTTGGGAGTAGTGCGAGCACGATGGCGGAGCACTGCAGCCATGTTGTCAAAGGTAGACATTGGCGTGTTGCTGTCGTGAGGATCATGGATGGCAAATGGTACCTCTCTTGGCTCAAGTGGGGCCTGGTATTCTAAAATCTCTGGCGGCGGCATGTCGTTGGCAGTGAGCATCGGAGGTGCCATGGCTGCGGTTGGCGAAAATGCATCGCCAGAGTATCTCGGACCCCCAAAGTCGCCCATCTGACTCTGTTCGTAGTGCTGTTGGCCTGCGAAATCGGAAAAGAACGCTTGGTTGTCGAGCAGTGTCCTGGTTCTACCGTCATCTTGCTGATGGTATGGCTCTGCATATGCACCGTGCTGATCGGGGTTGAAGGCGTAATCACCAGAAACCATGGTTCCGCTGCGTGTAGGAGGGTCGTTGCTGGGTCCTGGTAGAAAGAGCGAATCTCGTTGGGGCGGTATTCCCATAGGGCTCTCGGCAATTAGCCCTCCGGGTTGCAAGAGGTTGGCTGGCGAGACAGTCGATGGCGCATATGAGGATCTCGGCGGAGCAGCGTAGCTTGAGTCGGGACGCTGAGTATGATCGCCGTAGTTGCTGTTTTGGTCGTGGTAGCCGCCTCCAGGACCGTAGCCGCCTCCATAGCCTCCTCCGCCGCTAACGGAGGTCATGGAGGTCATTACGGAAGCTCGGCGGCCATCGCTTGAAGGATGTGTCGAGGTTTCGGGGGAGTGTATGCTCAGACCGGAGCGAGACTGCGGGGGAGCTGGGGCAGCTATTGTCGGGTGTTGAGCAAACTGCGATAATAACAGTGTCCGCCGCTTCTGATATCTGCGATGCTTTCGTCAGTTCATGATGCTGCAGTGTGCTTTCTGTCGCCGGCGTGTCGAGAGGCCGCTGCTTACCCCTTCTCGGTAATGTCGCCCTCCTGCAAGTCATGTTGTCAGCCAAAAGTCCAAATCGGCGAAGCTCAGAGAGAGGCGTTGGCATAGAGACGCTCTCTAACAGACAACCTACCTCCAACTCGCGGTCCAGCTCCTGGAGCCTCACTCGCAGCTCAGGATCGTAGTCCGCCATGGCCGACAAAACCGCGCGCTAATAGCGAATGTTTGCAAAGCTCTTATGCTTGAACGACAGCGAGTGACGAGCGCTTCGCCATGCCAGACTCACGAGTAGCGCGAGTCTCGTGATGCAGCAAGGTTGAAGTTTCGAATCGGCGGGCTGAGGTGCTACCGCGGCTGCTAAGGAACGGCGAGGCAGTTAAAACCTTGGTGGAAGCTAGAACGAGGGGCTGCCGCTCTAAACAACCAGTTTTTAGCGGCTAAAGCGACCGCCATTACGGAGTAGCGCTCCCTGGGCGATTGGTTTCCAGGGCACGGACTCGCTAATCCGATCTGGGCAATGCGCGACCAGCGAACACGAGGTCAGTCTTATGTAATGACGAGGATGAGAGAGAAGACAACAGACGGCACTCCATTTTATTATGCGGGTTTTCTCTTTGTACGGAGGATTCCCCTGATCCGATGTTCCGGGGTTTCTACATTTGGATATAAGTTTATATTGGGGCAAGCTCTTCAACTTACTACATCTCCTTTCTATGCTGGGAAATTCCCCAGCCAACAGTCCAATAACGGTAAAGCAATCGACGAACATTATGGTGTATGTCCTAGAGTCACTTGCAAATCCCGTATCGCATAGATGCAGATGTTGAAAATAAAATCACATATCTTACAGACTATATAAATTCGTTTCCCAGACATCATTACATGTTGTCCTGGTCAGCCGAATGCTGTCGTTATGTTTAGGGTACATGTATTTTTAGGACTCTTACAATGATCAGAATATCGCGTTCTTACCGGGGCAAAAGAGACGGCAAGTATCAGAAGAAGAGAAAAGAAACATGAAAGATCCTTTTCACATTTTTCATGGACTCTTTACCATCTCTTCATTGTAACATATTTCGACGTCTAATTGGCGACAAGTAACCTAACAAACATGATGTTGAGCGCACGTTTCATACGAAACTCCGAAGCGCAGCAGCTTTGTATAAGTAATTCCCATATCAAAGATTACTGGCCTAAAAAAAGATATACCTTGAATAAATGCGACGTAGCACTACTATAAGACTTTACTATCAGAGCGGTGCCTTTGCCCTTTACTCGTTATATCATGCATTCATCTCTACGTGCATCCACAATTTCTCCAGAGACTGAACAGCCATCAGTGCGTCTCCATATCTTCAAGGGCTTTCAGATCGATCTACTTTTAGCCCACAGAGCCTCATCTTTGCTTAAAAAGAATAAAAGAATGAATGGTCATTTTCTTCATCGGAGAAAATTTCATCTATCGGAGATCCATCGCTGTTTGGATTCTCTTTGGGCCCCCGCCTTTGTCCAAATGTCTTTATTATCCCGCTCCCTTCATCTTTTGTTCTCGCGCGCCCTCTATTGTGGGTTGTAAAAAAAGCCGCCGAGAACAATGAACAGTTCAATGTTCAAGTTTTGGTCATGTCCAATGTGTGTTCAAGTGCCGTTCGGGTGGCAATTTAAATATGCCTTGCTGCCGCCTAATTCGTGAACATGGCTTGATCAATCTTGTTGGGTCATAAATAACACGACGCACTCGCCAACAGCGACTATTTTACATCTGTGCTGAGATTTTACATGCGTTCATACCAGTCTTGAACATTTTTTTAAACTCATATCGACGAATAACAAGAAGAAAACATGTCGCAGCACTATGACCCTCGGAATTTCGAGGAAGACCTCACGTATACGTGGGGGACCAACTCAATAATCGACCCGGCGAGCTTGCATAATTTGGATTGTAGCAGAATCCCACCTCAGCACACGTATATCAAATCGGAGAGAACTCAGCCAGGAGCATATTTGGAACCAGCAGAATACCTACCGGTGACAAGCACGCACAATGTCAGACCAACATTCCAACGAGGCAGCAGTCTCGGATTCGATCATTCGTCAAGTTATGCATCGTAAGTGTCGATGTGAGAGAATACAGCAACAGTTTTATATACTAATTCTATACTATAGGGGAGGATATGGTTACCCCTCGCAGAACACATTCGTTCCGTACAATCCGCCGCTCTACTTAATGCAGGGTGGCCAACACAATCAACCAATTCTACCATATGCTCAGCAGCTACTGTCATACAACCAAAACCCCAATCTTAACACAGAATTAGCCCAGAATGACCCTTCAATATTATATCCTGAATATCCTCTTCTCAACAATCATAATGCCTACAATTCTTACAATTCTCTGCCATATGGCGACTGGGTCATTCGACAGGCCCAGCAGAATTTTCCTCCGTCTATCATGAATTCTTACCCGGTCAACGCTGGCTATACTATGAATAGCCAGTACCAGCCTGATAATACGCAGACAGAAAAACCTCAGAACTCAACAAAAGAAAACGAAGAGCCCGCCACTCCTCGAAAGGTCAGCACGAACAAGGCCGCGAAACGAAGCAAAGGCCCTAAATTCGATCCCGTTTCTGTTTACGGCGAAGCAGAAACACGTGCCCCTTGGGGAAGCAAAACTTGGGACGGGCAACATTTGTTTACTTATACTAAAAGGGGGCAATTGCTGCGTGACCGCAAGTTAAACAACGAACAACTGCGAGAGTATGTGGATAACTGCCCGAAAGGCACCGTCTTTCGAGTTCAACAATACCCCACGGGGTGTAGGTATCGAATGGGACCAGAAGACCAGGAGTGCCGTTGGGAACATTGTCCACTCAAGTCTAAAAGGATCACGACGGGCTGGCTTCGTGTCTGCTTTGACGAATTCCCCATGGAAACGACTAGTGGCGAGCGCGATCCATTGTTATGCGCTGGCTCAATGCATCTTTGGTGCTTTGAACAGGTTTTTGATCCCGTGGAATTCTACCTAGGCGGGCGCCTGAAAGCCGAAACAAGGTATTTTCCTCGCGAGGAATGCAACAAGGCAGCCTTGGACAAGCTAACCGACTCTAAAATCGTTGAAGATGGTTGGAAACCTTGGTTTGATAAATGGGCACCCTTATTCGAATCATATAGGAGATTGCGGGTGCCACGCAAGTACGAAAACACTCTGTCCTACGCTTTGAATGACTACCACGTTAAACATCAGTCGGACGCTCGGGAAAATGCGAGAAACGGTCGACATGAGAAGAAAATCAATAAGGAAGATCCTAGAAGGACAATCGACGTCCACTTGGGTAACCTCCAGTTGTATGTGGCGCTTCACAAGGTGACCAAAGCCACAAAAAGAGCCAGCAGGCCACCAGAGAGGGAGATGAGAGAAGATCTGCCTGATGGTGGCTTTGAATCTCCAGACACTTCTAGAAAAAGGATTTCTCCTCCTCCAGCTCCTAGAGCAAAGAGAACAGGGAGTGCTGAACGAATGGCACCTTGTTTACCTATTGGCCCATCTCTGGGAACATCATCCTCTCATATTTCACAAACACAGCGGCGTTCTCCGAGGGGAAGCGACCTAAAACGAACATCCCCTCGAAGACTCAAGAAGGAACTCAGAAGACATATACTTGCATCTCAGCCACCTGTTGACCGAGGCCACAATCCCAGCATGGATTCATGTTCTTCTGCTTCGACTTCGACGGGTTATTTGAATACGAATTCCACGCCGTCAAGCTCTTTCGGTCCCTTGGACTCAGCTTGCAGCACGCTGCCATCATCAAATCTTCGGCCACCACTCGAGATTGCGATTCCCTCTAATCATAATGAAGGTGGTCTTGCAAAAGCCTATCCTTCAGTCTATCTCCAAGCAATGTCAGGGCCTAGCTTTAATATGGAAGATCCGAAGCAACCTGGCCATTTTATTGGCCCACCTTCATGGCGGTACCAGCAGCAGCAATATTCTAGCACAGTGGCACTTCCATATGTAAAAGCGGAACACCAGCGAGTATTCCAAGACTGCAACCTGAATACTCCACTCGAAGCATCACGAGGCAGTGATTTGGTGAAGCCTTGTCAAAACGAGACAAAGACTTGGACACCAAAAGCAGCAGAAGAAGCACCACAGGCGCTCGGGGACAGCGAAGGAATAAGCTCCATTGATTCGAACCAGTTCACAGGCCTAGGCCCGGAAGAGGCGAACTTATACCAGTTTCTCATCATTGACGAAGATGTGCCAGAATCGACTCAGAATCCAGCAGAGGGCAGCACTGGAGTGATGGGCAACTTTGCAGCTCAGACACAAACGAACGCCGCTGCTAGTCAGCCTCTAGAGTTTGTTACCTGCACCGAGAGCCCGCATGTTGCCGCTGTGGCAGAGCCTTGGCATAGCGTCGAAAGCTTCATGGATCCCATGAACTATGGCGGCTATAGCAATACTGACATATTTCCATTATTCGATGATTCTCTAGCCACCGCCTAGGGAACCAATGACGAGAGCCGCAACGATTAATGGTGTCAGCATACTACTAATAGTGAGCATGCTGTCTGAAAATGGCTTGGTCCTGGATCCCGCTTAAAGCGGAAGAATCTCAGTCTCCGCCCCGTGAGGATTCGCAAAATCGAAGGCAGTAACGGGAAGATGGTACATTGACACCTGGGAATAACAGAGCTTCTCCTCTTGTGGATTTACACATGCGGTTCCCCGGCCGGTGTTGACCGGGGGGTGCCCTTGCAGCGTCGATAAGGCCCATGGAGCTGCATCGGCACTCCCGAGGTGGAGAGCTGATTGGGCTTGTTAGTGTTGACTTGCAGGCAGGCGGGCAGACAGGCCTACTGTAGCTTTGAGGACAAGTTGGCCAATTAATAGAGCGAGGACGCTATGACAGCTCCAGGGCAGAGGAATGTCAAGCATTGGTCGGCTTTGAGAGGAGCCGGAAAGCAAGATGTGATGTGATCAGCCTCGACTTCAGCTTGGCGCGAGCCGCACCGAGCACGGACTGTAACCGAGTCTTGTGAGCTGAGAAAAGCGTTTGCGCGAAATAGGCAGAAGGATGCTGCATTATACCTTTCTGTCGGCCTGCTTAAAGCTGTCTTCATGCGGAAACGTTGCCAATACCTCGCAGGCATCTCCGATTCGCTCGTCTATGGCCGAATCTGAAGATGGCGACGTTAGCAAGATCATTCTCGTCACAGGCTCTTGAACATGCAGCCGTAAATCTGACCCCGCTCTACTCTCTATATATCCAACATTCGGGGAAATGTTGGGATACGACGTGAATGCTCTTGTCAGCCGTTCATGTCCGATTGGCTTACACGCCTCAGGAAGAAGCTGCAGCGATTCGTGAACTGAGCGTGGGCTTGATGCTGATCATGGAGTCAAAATGCGGTCCCGGCAGGGGGTCCTTGTCTTCTTGATGGGCTGCTTTCTGCCTGTTGGTAGAATGTATCATCATTATTAATGTGCAGTGGTGTTATCAGTTTTGGTCATTGTTGGGAAATTTGCATCTTGGGTTTGTTTGATGAAGGAGGTTTGCGCGGCTTGGACGTTCTGGGCTTTGGGAAGTGGTGTGGCATCGGCACGTGCAAATGCATTAACTGCACATGTATCTACATGCAGTACCTTCTTCCGGCTGTTATAACCCTGACACATGCTAGAAGATACACGTAGTTACTCAGTTAGGTAGGCCGAAAGCGTCTTTATGTACAAGTATGTAGTAATAATAGATTGATATAAAATCACAAAATGGAGAGAGATTAGACCAGAGGTTTGAAAGTGTCTGTGGAGTAATAACGCCAGTAGTGCATTAGCACCAGTACGCATTGAGGCTAATTGTTCGGCGTAGCTTTTGCGTGTTGCTCGTGTCATTCCAGGCAGTCGAGGAGCCGGGATTTTAACCAACTGCATGTGCTGTAGCCTGCACGAAAGCAAGGGGATTTGCTCAAAAGATACTTCTACCTTTACTTGGCACTATTCATCTGTTCACACCCTTGGTATTAGCTGCTTCGTTATGGTCTACGGCTTATAAATCTAGCCACTCGGATATAAGGCTTTGGGAAGATAATCCCTATAGGCCGCAGATATACTCGCATTTACACATCTCTATGCACCAATCCTCTGTCGATCTCGACACAATCCTATCTGCAGCTTCACATTCCTCCCCTTAGTCCTATATTTCCTCTTTTTGATATCTAGGAATACAGGATTACCCATCTTGTGGCCTCACTTATTTGCCTATATAGCACTTGGCCTTTTGTGCTCGCAACAAGACGATGCAGCACCTCTCTCCCCACAAGAGCCGGGGTGTGAGTGGATTAATGCACCTACGGAGTGGCTTCAGCCCTCTGAGTGGCCGGAGCGGGCTGCGAGAGATCCAAAGAGGCCAGATCCATGCGCGCTGATCAAACAACTGATCCCACGACGTCAAGTCGCATGCCTGCTAGCGGAGTGGCACTATGTGGTGGATGCTTGGAGCTATGGCACGAGCAAGACATACAGCTTACATGTACGGACCCATATGCCTAGACGTTGAGCTGGAGACGCTGCTTTGCGGCAAGCACAGAGATGAGACCATGTGGAAGAAAAGAATAGCCCAAAAAAAGACAAGACATCAATCATTGATGTCTCAGCTCAGGGCCGGCCGACGCCGACGCACAAAGCCTACGCTTGTAGTATAAAGTTCGTACGGTGTGAGCATCGTGACCCCAAGAGGGGCTGCGCGATGAGCGATGCAGGTGTCAAGTCCCGGATTTTCCCAAGCTAGACGACGCCACGTTTGCGCAAGGGAGCCGAGTCTGAAGATCCTGCTGGCCTCGGAGGTTACAGCAAAGGTTCACACTTCACCTGCCAAGAGTAGCATCGAATGCTACCTCCTGGGTCATGGATGTCTCGGTGTAGCGTCTTAATCGTCTCACACGCGCTGAAAGCACGAGGCAGATGTCACCCTCTGTGCATGCTGTTTACAAGCATGCCATGCTGGATGTCAAATTCGGAGCCGACCTGGTTCATACGGCACCCTGTCAAAGTGAGGACGAAACGCATGGCCCTGCTTTGTCAGATAACCGCAAGTAGAAGGACGATGAAGACAAAAAAGGCAGATATCTCGACACTACCCAGGCACTATTATTTCTAGGTGGGGACCCAGCAGCAAGTAATCATCGTATCCCGGCTCTACCATCCAGTCCAGTTGCGCATATGCTTAGATCGAGTGCTATTGGCAAGCAGAGCTGCAGTAGTGCAGCAGCACCACTAAGACGATGCGCCTCCGTGGGGTCCATAGCACCGGGATGCGTGTTTTATTTTCGGCTGTATCGTTTTGGGACGCGACTCTTGTCTTTTTATTGCAACAAGCGAGCTGGTATCGATCAAGAACATCCCTGCTGCGAGCCCAAGGAAGCTCTCTTTCAGCCTCATATATTCCCAAATTGCATGCCTGAAGTGCTGTAGGACATTTGCTCGTGCAAATGTACCGGTAAGCGCGGGGGCAGTGCCGAGAAAGTAGCCAGTACAAGCTTGACTATCTCGTCTTCAGGCGATAATGGGCGCTGTCGGCGCCATTGCTGGTGGGGCACAGAGTACCGACTACCTGACCACATGTTCCTGGATGCTGTACCAACAAAAGCCACATGCGTGCTCTCACACATTTCTGGACACTTTTTTGGGCCTCTTTCTTGCACGCCCCCTTCCCCAAAGCCCCAAACCCTGCAACCACAGCGCGGCGACCCCGAGACTAGGTGACAATGGCGACGCTAACACCATCAACGGCCTGAACTGACGGGCCCTTGTGCTGCGTTGCGCTGCGTTGCGCTGCGCTGCGGTGCCGCGAGCGGGCTGCGGCGCAGGCTCAGGGCCGTGGTAGTGGGTTCAAAAGGCGAGCCGTGATCCTGCTCGGCGCGGGGTGGGCAGAGAGGGAGCAAGGCCAGGTGAAGCAAGCAAACATTCGAAAAACCCGGGCGCGCGTCGACGCCTTCATCCCCGAATCCGAGCAAGAGAGAAGGAAGCTTTGGACGTCTTGGACGAGTGGGAGATAACGAGTCATCACCAGCTCTGCGAATATTACTGTTATAACTACCTGCGAACATCACCTCGTGCCGTGCCACGTAAAGACGGCAGTCCCGTGCAAGAGAAGAGACAGCGAGACGACCCGAGTTGCGATCTTGTCTTGGCCACCATCTCTGCTCCCAGCTCGTGCCGAAGAAGTAGGATTTCCGGCTAGCCAAGGGTGCTTGCATTGCATATACTACTACATACCAGCGCAATACTAGATACTTGGTACTACAAGTAGGCATGTGTTGCTAAATATCGATCCGCCAGCCTAACAGCCGCCAATCTGCAGAGCGTCGTCACATCTGCCGTTGCATGCCCGTCTGGCGCTTCACATCCAACGTGCAAGTCTCGACCTGCATACTAGTACGAGTGTTACTCGCTCACATTGGTAACACGACACGTACCTACGATACGAATCAAGCAAAGGCCAGAGAAAGATCCTTGGCGCCGGGGGAGCATCGACGTTCCGAGATAATTTCCCAATTTCCCATAATATTTTAGACCCTTCCGTCCCTCCCAACAGGCAGCCAAGGCCTAACTATTAGACGCTGCGCCCGCCAGACAAGAAATACCTCGAGGACCGTCATCACTCCATCGCTGCCATTTGCCCTCACATCTCAATCTACCACCATCTTATTTCCTCTTCAGCAAAACGACTAGTCAGGGCAACAAGCTCGCATAGCGCCTCGTGGGGGCAGCCAGACAAAGCCGGAAGCACGCGGTCACGTGTGCCACTCAGCGCCACCGGGATCGAACAAGGAGATCCAAGGACGCTTTTAATCTTCGCTTTGAAAGCAGATACCCGCGGCCTTCTGCCTCTTGCGTTTGTGTTTGGGACTCAATTCGAATTGGGAATCCCCCGGAATTTGGGACTGGCCAACAGCGTCGGCGTTGAGCGTTGCGCATCTGCAGACTGACTCGACGCAATTGCGGCCCCAGTTGATCATTGGCATCGCGACTTGGCCTTTCAGCATCTCTAAGACCGCCGTTCGCGCCATGGCCGAGGCCGCAACACCACCTGCGCTGCAGGTAATTATATTGGTATGTCCACTCATGATGTGTTTTTCTCTTTCTTTGGTTTCTCATCTTCATCCTCTGTCTTTCTCGCTTCGCTGGACAGACAATCGCGCTGCGGCCTCCGCCAATGCTTACTGCCAATTTCCTGCTCGCCTTGGCCATGAGCGCGATGCGCCCTCATAGGCTCAGATCGGGTAATTTGGCCGTGGCATTTCCGATCGGGATGCGTTTGCCGCCAGGGGCCAGTGCCCCAGATCAAGGAACAAACACCCCTCTGCATGAAACGCCTAGCCGAGCTGTGCTATTGTCTGCCCAGAGTCGCTGTCCTATTGGCACAGCTTATCGTGGGGCAGCGTCTCAATCTGACCGCGCGAGCTTACACGACATTGCGTGCCGTCTTATTGCCATGGCCTTGCGCAGCTGCATCTGTCTCGTATACACGTATAACTTCAAGCTGTGATTATCATAATTACAATGGCTAATCTTTTGCTGCTTTTGCACGCTTCTTATACAGGGCTCCGGAGGTGGTCCCCAAGAGTCTAATACGACTGCGTTTCTGGTTCGCTCAGTGCCCCAGAACTGGCGCAAGGGCTCGATAGTAGCAGTTGATGGAGGCGTTCACCTCTCTGCCATCACTCGTCTTATCGAAGAGGCTCTGCCCAACTCGCCGCCACCAACGCCGACGCCATCATCTGCTCCCGCTCGCCAGATTCTAACCACTGGTCCTTTTGCAGGGTTGGAGCTCCCATTTACCACTGCTGCAGCAAATGCTGCCCATGTCACCCGCACTCTCGTTGATACATATCTCATCACCCACCCTCACCTGGATCACATTTCCGCCTTTGTCATCAACACAGCAGGCCTGCCGGGCACTCGCCCAAAAAAGCTGGCTGGCCTCCCGGGTACAATCAGGGCTCTCAAGGACCACATCTTCAACAATGTCATTTGGCCCAATCTTAGTGACGAAAATAATGGTGCCGGTCTCTTAACGTATCTGAGACTGGTGGAAGGTGGAAGTCCTGCGCTGGGTGAGGGTTATCTAGAGGTATGCGACGGACTGCTCGTCAAGACTTGGAGCGTGAGCCACGGTCATTGCATGGAGAAGCACACGCATCGTGGCTCTTTCTGTAACCAAACGCCGACACGTCAAGGCAGCCAAGACGGGTCAAGCATACCGCTCCGGCGCGACACCTATTACCCGCATATTCATGACTTTGCGTCACACTTTGCCCGGCGGGAAACGGTCAACCACCTTTACCCTCCGGCTTTCTCACGGCGCCCAAGCATGATGCCTCAAGGAGGCACTTCGACGCCGATATTCAGCGGGGGTGACTTTGAGCCACGACCGTGCGTCAATGACTCGAGCGCATATTTCATCCGGGAAGAGACATATGAGCGCGAGGTGCTCATCTTTGGAGACGTGGAGCCGGATAGCATTTCTCTCAGCCCGCGCAACCTGCTGATCTGGCAAGAGGCTGCGCCCAAAATTGCAGCCGGGAAGCTGGCCGCTGTCTTCGTCGAGTGCAGCTACTCTGATTCACAGCCCGATGAGCGGCTATTTGGTCACTTGAAGCCCGCCTATCTCATTGAGGAAATGCAAGTTTTGGCCACCGAAGTACAAATCGCAAGAAAGGCGCGTGCCCTCGAGTCTAAAAAGCGCAAGCGGGATGCCGAGGATGCGCAAGTTCAGCGAAAGAAAGCCCCGCCTGTGTCCATGCAGAGCCCCGGATCGGATGACCCTGTTTCTCCTAGGTCGGCCAATCCTTTCAACATGCCCTCCGAGTATTATTTTGAGGCCAAACAGGACTCCGATACGCCACATATCGCTACGCCTACCGGCGAGCTATCACTAGATGAGTTTGGGGTCCCTAGTTTAGTGGTGCCGCCACCCATCCACGCCATCCAGAAGCCCCTTGAAGGCCTCAAGGTCGTCATCATCCACGTCAAGGAGACGTTAGCAGATGGGCCGGAAGCTGGAGACTCAATATTGCAGGAGCTAATAGAGCATGAGCAAGAAGCACAGCTGGGCTGTGAGTTTATCATTTCTAAGCCAGGGCAGAGTTACTATTTCTGATGCCCTCGATGGTGCCGCTCGTTTGCCAGTGATGGCTTCTTTTTCTCTTTTCTGTTGAATTACAATTTTTATTTCTATTCTGGCTTATATATATGGGTTTGGGAATGGCAGTACACGGAGGGTGGCAGTGGAGTTCTCATGGTTTTTTCTTTTTCTTTTTTTTCTTTTTTTTTTTTTTGTGTGCTGGCCCCTGTTGTCAACTATGCGGCTATTGGGATGATTGATTATGATTAACATGTTTGTATACCATTGCATTGAATATTACAATGAAATTTTTTTCAATATTTTTCTCGCTATTGTAACTTCGCTCTCGTCTCTCTTTAAATCAATCCCATGCAGATCTTATCTTGCGGCGGGGTCAACAATGGGTTGAACCAACGTCCGGTGCTCATGTATATGGAAAGATCGCGTACGCGTAGGCTCATAAATCGTGTGTACATGCGGTGTAATCTCCTCGTGGACTACAGCAGAGCGAGGGTGAATACTATGATCGGTATAATGCCCTTGGTGCTCAACTCCATCATTGTTGGTATCTGATCCACTGGCGATCGGACCATCTGCGTGCTCGTCTCTGCTTTGCGCGTTTGCCTCCCCGTGTCTAATGGAAGAATCTTCAAGTGATAAATAACGGTAGGGAGACTCTTTAAGATAATGATGAGAAGTGCCTTGTGAAGGACTTTGTGAAGGAGTTGCATTGGCTGCTTTCTTCTTCAACGCAGGCTTGAGGTAACCCTCTTGTGTACCCTGAGGCTTTCTCCTGAGAGATTGTGGCTGATTGTTCGAACCAGATGCCTCGGATAGTAGTCGGGATCCATGGGTCTCATTTCGAGAATATTGGGGTGAAGTCGAAGTTTTCTTCTTAGGAGCTTGATTTTCTTTGGTGGATGATGTCGGTGCATCTAGAGTGCTGGAAGGCTGGTGTGAATCCGTTGTAAGTGGCCAATTCGGAGCTTGTTGCTGTTCCGTGGTATTTATGCCAGTGCTCAAGGTAGATGTCCCTTGCGGCGGAGGTGAAGCCTTATTCGTTGACAGTTGACCAGGCGTGGAATGATTTGAACGCCTCTTGCTGCGATGGAACAGGCGTTTTGCTAGCCTGCGGAAGGCAATTCTCATGCGATCCAAGATTCTGGTGCCCTCTGACATTAAGCAAGATGAAGATGATTCGTTATTGTAAGTGTCTCAAATGTCTTTTTGGTAAAAGAAGCATCAACATTATGGTCCCACGAAGATAGAAATATTGGCGATTTAGGCGGAGCGATATTAGCTGTTCCCATAGACACAGCTCATTAAGACTTCAGCAAGTGACATAATTGTCGGAGCCTTTCGGACCATCTAGTAGAAAATTGCTATCCTTGAACTATGAATCCGGACCTTGAAATCAATGAGCAATTGACTACGGACTTTAAGCTCCGAAGAGCTGAAGATCGAGCGAAGAGCTCTGGTGGAGAGCGAGAGCTATGGTGGAGACATGATCAAGCAACTGAGATATATGACGCTATACACGGAGAGTTTGGGGCGATTTACATTGTATTGCCGCAAACCTAATCGAAACTTTATGGATCTTTTTCAGCTGCTAAAGCATTTTAGCTTGCGGTGAACGGTGGCTTGAGAGCAAATACTCTCTAGTTTTTGCCGCTCGATGTAGATAGCCTTTGAGTCATAGAATGCAGCAGTCTGCAGCTTTTGGGAAGCAGACGAGAGTCTACAATCCTGCTTTTTTTCCTTTTTCGAGACATGCGGAGCCAATAAAGAAACAAGCCCATTGGTACGACGGAGACGCCGATGCACTTGGCTTGTCATAGCCACCACGATTTGCACCCGGCATTTAATGTTTTCAGCTACTAATGAATGAACTAACAACACAGAAACTCGTCGACACCACTAAACGAATTGGTCAAGAAAAGCAGCTTCATCATGACGTGGACTATCTTTTGAGAAGAACGAGGTCAATTTGATGGCGTCTCTGAGCTCGCTTTCTTGTGCGGGGATGGCGAACAAACACATGTATTTATAATCTCTCGCAGTTCTTTCAGCTACTATTTTGAGTCAATTCCAGCAACTTTATCGTCTTTTCCGGTCCATACTACAATATGCAGAAAGCTAAGAGAGTCGTTGAGAACCTCACCTCCCATGATGGGAGACACGATACTACCGTCGACGAAGAAGTGCGACGGCCCGTGACTGAGGAGCATGTTCGACCCCAGGAGCATGAAGCCGTGAAGACGGCTGTTGAGAAGGAGGTTCATCGGGATCATCATCATACAACGGTTCAGCCCGTTCAAGATAGAGAAGTTCTGTCAGTAAAACCCTACTATAATTGTCCCATACTTATCCTAACGTCGTATATGCAGTCCCGAGAAACATACTCACAAGGTCTTACCCACTGAGCACAAGACTTTTGAGCATGGCCAGAACAATGAGATTGAAGGATTACTTCAACGCGACGCAGCCAAGTACAAGGACACTTCTGCCGTCCACGACACCAAATACACCTCTTCCGAAGCGCCTACCGTCTCCGGTGAACGATGGCACCACCACGTTCACGAGCATGTCCAGCCGGTTATCGAGAAAGAGACTGTGGCTCCAAAGGTTATTCATACGACTGCTCCCATTCATGAAACTCACCAAGCCACTGCGGCACACCACGGGACAAAGGTTCTTCCTGCCAAGACAATGGATGAATTCACTCGTGGTCATGGTTCACTTGAGAGTAGCGGGCTTCACAAGACTACCGAATATGAGGGCTGTCCATCATTTGATCAGAAAGATTTGGAAAATCTTAATCGGGCGGAGGGGGTTGGTCGCTGATTCGAAAATGGGATTCAACCAAGGGTCATTCGTTGTATTCTAACGAAGTATATATTTTCGACATTCTTTCTTTTACGCTCATGTATCAATATCAACAATTAAGCTTCTTTAGTCGTATATTGTGACATGGTCAATTAGGTATATCGCTGTGGTACGACTACATGAACTCCTACAGCAGAAAGTTCCGCATAATACACAATACCGCCTCCTTCCTTGTATAAAATCATTCCAGTAAAGGAAATCTGCATGGCTTTTTTAAAGTTCCCACCATCCGTGATTTAAGTGTCTAGCTGCTCAGCAGCCTATCCGTCTTCTTCTTTTATTCTCTTGATTTGCTACCTCCTTCCACTTAAAGCCTCTTGTTATTCTCGATCATTGCTAGTATAATTCTTATATTACGATGTCTGTATTTCTACACGCTTAGTCTACTTGAGGAGAGAACGCCCCCTTACTGGCAACCGGTTTTAAGATATACATGGCTGTCAGCGTTGTCGAAAACATGTTACAAAGCGAGTACTGAAACGAGTCACGACTGACATGTTTGAGCATTAGTATTAACAGACGTTGATGAGTAATTAGTTTCGCAAACATCTGCTGCTGGTGATCAAAACCTTCGCAAGTAGTAAATGGGAGACTGCAGGCCGCAATGGCAACTAAACAGGTAATTGCTCTCCTTTCGGTATATGAAAAGGCTTGCCGTATAGTCCCGAGTAAGTCAAGGATTTAGCTGGCACGAAATGCCGAGATGCCCATTACTAGATGGTATAAGTTAAACACATGTTGTGAGATCGGTTCTAGAATCTATAGATGTAACTGTGGTAGGATCGGCTGCCGAAAGGATTGATGCGACACAATGTTCTGTGATCTTTGGGGACAATAGTGCCTTACATGACTCCATAGATTAGAACTCGTTCCCTTGGGAATAAGTTCCGAGAATAGGTTGTCAACGTTTGACGCGGTTGACTGGGGAGTGTTACCAGGCTCTTTCGTCGTATATCTCGTCCCTAGAATTGTTGATACGCTGCGACAAGGGCTCAAGATGCATACAATTAACCTAGTTAGACGATGTGACCCCCAGTCAACCCATACTACTGACCATAAATAGGTCTGACTCTAAAGAGTTAAGAATGACATAATGCGGCTCAAGCAGTAATGCGAGAACCTTAATTGAGCCCTCAGAGTGGAATAAATGCCAAAGGGATGGATATACATGCAAGGTGGATGAATCATATCGGGGAGTGACTCAAAAGGGTGTGTTATGTAAGCACACTGAACCACCCACCAGGCACTATTTCAGCAGCAGCGATGCTTATTGGCGCTATCGCAGACCAAAAAAAGTTATCGTGGGGCAGCAGCTTGAAGATGCAACTGCACACTCTGGGCGCTTTTTCCTTGTTGCTTCTTTCCCTCGCTTCCCGCTGATGGAACGATGTTTATCTCGGCGCCTCGTCTGCTCTGCATCTTTTTCACTCCGACATCATCTCCTCTTCACTCCAGCCGGTAGACGCTCACGGCAGCTTTCCAGCCTTGCCAGCGCAGGCAGAAACGCTACATCTGCTTTTTGTTTCTACGGTTCTACAAGACCGCGACAGCTACGGCCAGGAGATTCACTGCTCACTCCACATCTGCCACCGTTTTACTGTTCGAAAAGACGATATTCCAGAGTACTCAAGAAAAGAAAAAACGCCGACTCGACCACAATGACAACCACCGTCGAGCTTGCTTCTGTGCCTTCGGCCGACACTCCAGGCACCTGCATCTACCTGCATCATGACAAGCGCTCGTACGTCTTTGGTCGCGTCTCAGAGGGCACTCAGCGAGCGTTTGGAAGTCGCAAGATCCACATGGGAGGAACAGAACATGTCTTTCTCAGCGGCAGCGTCAACTGGGAGCAGCTCGGTGGTCTCTGCGGCTATCTGCTCAGCGTTGGCGGAGCTATTGAGTCAGCCAAGGAGTATACAACACAGGAAAACGCCAAGAGAGGACAGAAAGGCCAAAAGTTGCTAAATAAGACTCTTCATGCTGGAATTTCAGTGCACGGGGCGGACAACTTGTGCCACACGATGGCGTCGCTACGGCCAGTCATCTTTCGACAGCCCATTTGCGTGCGCACCTACGAGCACAGGACAGATCCTCGAGCGGCAGATGCGTCAAATCTCGAGCCAGATTGGTCAGATGATGCGATCAAAGTGTGGAAAATCCCTGTACGGAGAGCACGATCAAGCAGCCCTCGAAAACGAAGACGCAGCAGCCAGACACAGGATAGGAACTCACCCAAAGATGCGTCTTCAGAAGAAGACTCGTTCCAGCCACGAACATCCATATCAGACCCCGAAGTAGCGAGCGCAATTGTCGAGCGGATCATGTTCAATGGTAGCCTGAAGAACAGGTCCGTTCTGGTGCCGAAGAATATAGGAGATCTTAAGCCTACGGACAAGGCTGCCATCATTGAGAACAGCAATATAAGGTTATACAAGGGGCCTTATGCTGCTGATGGCGTCAAGTTGCCGAATCCAGACGATACCGTGTGGCATTTCCCCGATCTTGGCGAGATTGGTGTGGATGATAGAAGCGAAAACACTCTCGCAATCAACCACTTTCCTCTTCCTCGGACGACATACGCCGAGACTTCTATGAGCTACATCATCAAGGCTCATGACCGCAGAGGCAAATTCAATGCTCCAGTGGCGAAATCCCTTGGAGTTGAACCTCGAGACTTTAAACTTCTGACTGCCGGCCAGAGCGTTCAGGGTAAAGATGGCCTGGTTACACCTGAAATGGTTCTAGGAGAGACCCAGCGGGGAAAGGGCTTCGTCGTAGCGGATATTGGCAGCCAGGATCTCATTGAATCATTTATGGGGCGACCTGAGTGGAAAAATCAGGAGCTTATGGAGAATATTGCCGTCATGTATTGGATCGTGGGGTCAGACGCGACGTATGACCAACGAATCCAGCAGTTTATCGGCGAACACCCAAACATCAAGCACATTTTTTGCACGCAGGATTCATGTCCTAACATGATTACACATCCTGGTGCAGCAACCATACAGACCAAGCTGCGCCGAATCGATCCTGAGAGATTTCCTCTACTCAAATTCGAGAACACAGTCAAATATCCCGCTCCTCCAGAAAGTTCTTCTATTGAGCTGGGGCGAGCCGGACACAAATTTCAGCTCATGCCACGCCTTGTATTTGATGACCAGGCTATCGCTCCGTTCCCCGATCTGGTGGAGGCCCATGAGTCTGTAGACGAGGAAGTTCTTAAGATGGCTGCGGCGGCCCATGCCGAAGCAACAGATCCAGCGTTCGTGACACGGATTGAAGAGCAAGAGCTCGACATTCCGAACAGAGACGCGGAGATTATTCCTCTTGGAACAGGATCGTCTGTGCCTAGCAAATACAGAAATGTCTCCGCTACGCTGATTCGGGTTCCTGGAATTGGAAATTACCTGCTCGACTGCGGTGAAGGAACTCTAGGCCAGATTCGACGTCTCTTCGATGCTGAAGAAGCGGTGGATATCCTGCGTAATATGCAATGTATTGTCATCAGCCACGTCCATGCAGACCACCACATGGGCACTCCTTCGCTCATCAAAGCATGGTATGAGCAGACTCTAAAGGATAACAGCACCGCCACGCTCGCGATATCCTGTATTGGGCGCTATCGGGTTTTGTTGGAGGAATTGTCCCAAATCGAAGATATTGGGTTTCATAGATTGAGATTCCCCAGTTGCCCTTTCCCCAAGGAGAAAGACCGCGACGTGACGACTAGAGAGGATCTTGGAGATGAGAACTTTGGCTTAGCATCCATCAAGCGCGTACCCGTACCTCACTGCTGGCGGTCTTTTGGAACTCAGCTGGAGCTGACATCGGGCCTAAAGATTGCCTACTCGGGCGACTGCCGCCCTTCTAAACTCTTCGCCCAAGAATGCCGTGGCGCCCACCTCCTTGTACACGAGTGCACATTTGGTGATGACAAGCAGGATCACGCAAAGGCGAAAAAGCACAGCACTATGGGCGAGGCTCTGGGCGTAGCTCGCGAGATGCAGGCCCGACGCACGTTGCTGACGCATTTTTCGCAGCGATACTCCAAATCGGACTCATTGAAAAGAGATCGCGTCGAGGGAGTTGAACATGATGTGCTGCTGGCGTTTGACTTCATGGCGGTGAAGCTGGGAGACTTTCAGAAGGCGGCGTGCTATCTGCCTTCGGTGCAGCGGTTTATGGAGAAGCTGGCGGACTGATTTTTGTGATGAAAGCATGCATTATGATGGATGACGGACGATGGATGTGCCACTACTCCCCTTTTTCATTGACTATGGACGTGCCACTACTCCCCCCTTATTTTTTGACGACGGATGTGCCTCTACTCCCCTTATTTATTGAATAGAGATATTAGACACGGGACACCGAATATAGATCAAAACATGCCACCTCTATTCAAATTTCTAAAACAATAACTAGCTTACTCCAAAATGCTGCAAGATAATGCGCAAACACAAAATCAAAAAAGCGACTCGTACAAACCAAAAACATCCAAGGTCTTACCATCACTGCTGTCCCTCTTTCGGTCTTCCCTATCCCATCGACTACGCCGCTCCATCACCGCCCTCCCACTTTGTCAAAGCCTTGCTGTCGCCATAGTCACCCTCTTCATCACGCTCATCGCCAGAATGTACGATTGACCCTTCAGGAGAACCATGATGATTATGACGTTCGTCACGGGAATATATGCTCGACGCTTCACGAGAATCAACGCATTCTTCGTGCATGTCCTCGTCATAGATGTCGTCATCATCATAATCATCCTCTACCACTCGACTCGTCCAGCTGGATGTACTCTCCTCAAGGCCAACGTTGAAGAGGGGAGAAGCACGGCCCGAGAAATGCGCGGGGACGTCTCCGTTGCTGTCGTTGAAGTTGATGTGGGTGCGTGTGCCTCTGTTTGATCTGCTGTCTCTAGGGGGGTGGGATCTTACTTCGCTTGCCGCCTCTTCTGTCCGAATAGCACCGCTCATCCTCGCAGAACCAGACTCGTCATTGTCCCTGGGTGCTATCGCCGCTCTGAAACCCCGCGTCAGCTCCGTCGTCCAGTCTATAATCACCGCATCCTCCCTCGGAGGCTTCTCCCTCTGCTTGTGCTTTATCGGAACCGGCAGCTTGTCGTCTGTCCACGTCACCATGGCCGCTCCCCAGCGCGTCTTTGGCTTTTTACCCTTCTTTTTGCGCCTCTCAATATGCTCGTCCTCCAGCCTCCTTGCCAATATGCGCATCCCTACCAGCGAGCGCGCGAGCTCTTTGCTATAGTCGTTGATGAGGGGTGTGTTCCTGCTGTCTTTGACTTTGGAAATCCAGGCATCTACAACTCGCAGCAGTGAAGGAGGATCAATATTTCTCTTCTTGTTGTCTGTTTGTTTATCTGTCTTATACAAATGGCGGGCCAGCAGGCTTGCTCGCAAGGACGTGAGATAGTGGCAGTTCCCGCCCACAGCGGCCAACATACACGCATCGCAGCCTGTCTTGGCGCATCCCGGCAGGAAATCCCTCTTTTTCGAACCGCAAAGCTCGCGGTACTTCTTTTGCCCAAGCCACAGCGCCGTAATCTCGTTTGTCAAGTCCAGCCACTCCTCCAAATTGTCGTTGATCATGTCCTCCTCCTCGTCGATTAGCTTCAGCTGCTCTTCAGTCATCCAACAACAGCGTTCGATATTGAACCACAACTTCCCCTTTATCCGCAGCACACGATAGATATTCGTCTGGGCTGTGCTCTCATACGCAATGTTCCACAGCAAGCTGCGGATGACGCTGGAATCGAGCTCCTTGTGCGCTTGGCAGAGCGTTTGGCGATGGAAGAGTTTCATGACCCCTTTATGAAGGAGAGAATCGGGGCGCAGCAGCCCCTCATTCTTGAGCCGTTTGACTTTACTCTCCTGCTTTTGAAGCCACTCATTAGTCTTACGGGAGCTGTTTTGCGAAGAGTCGAATATGAGCAGGCTGGTGATTTCTTCGACTTCTTTGTCGGTCAGGGCGTTTAGGGAGATTGGTGGCTTAAACATGGCGGTCATGCTAGCGGTATATCTTGACAAGCAAGAATAACTTCACACTTAGAAGAAAAAGAGATTTGAACATGAAAAAGATTCTGATTTGAAGTATCGTAGCTAAGAAGAGCAGCAGGGAAAATAACAAATATTGTGCTTGAGAAAGATGTAGCTGCGATACTTGGTTTTATCTTCTTTCCATACCTCTCCCTCAGGCTGCCCTTATATATCCCGCTCTCAACGATCATGATGCCCAAGAATTCATGATGATAAACAGCCACAAACAGCTGGACAAGAAATGAACAACATCGCTAGAGAGAATCTTTCTTTATGACGACAAGTGATATCGGTATACCACATGATATGCCATTGTATAACCAAGCAGTCTCTTCGTGGGTCATGTCCGTTTCGATATATTACCTTTGGTGTTTAGAACAAGGAAATAGGGCAATCTTCTAGAAGTCCTACCCTTGGTCCATGGAAGTAAGAAATAAACCGAAAAACATCTAAATTGTACCCCTATAAAACAGTAACACGCCTATGACGAAGAAAGAATTCGCGGTGATTTTCAAACAAACGCGCTTTTATTATAGTGTTCATGGAAAGATAAGAACAAAGCCCTTTTCAAGAGAGAATTCGCAGTGACTCGTGATGGTCTTTAATAGTCCATTGTCATCTTTTGTTTAATCCTTCGTATTTAATGTAAACGAACGATTCAATATCTGTTTCTTTTTTAATTCATTGTAGTCTATTCAAGTGAATGCGATTCAATATTTGTTCCAGAGATCTTTCGCTCGTAAAACAATTCGACAAGTTACATAAAAAATCTCGTTGGGTATTGCAACAAAGAGAAAGAAAAAAAAGAAGGAAAGAATAGTCTGCCAAATTGGTATTTGGCAATCGCAAGGTCTCGAGAACTTTTTCAAAACATCTCTGAATGACATCGTAGAGGGTATATTAAAGATTTTTCTTTTTGAGAGAGAGAAGAAGACCATTGCACACACACAACACACACACACACACATACGCTCCATCCGTCCATCAAAAATATAATAAAAGAACAAGGGCACCCGCCCCCTTTCACTGCTTCGTTGTTATATCCATCAATCAATTCCATCCCCTTTCCCTCCCAAATGCTTCACCCCTTGATCCCTTGAATTGTTGACGCCGGCCCTCCAGAAGAACAAAATATGAACCTTGAGAATAGAAAAATCCCGTGCGCTATAAGAAAAAAGAAAAGCAAAAATAAAGGATATGCCACAAAAGAACGAAAGAAGACAAAGAGAAATAAAATGGTCGGAAACAGCAGCCATCTGGGAGCGCTAACGTACAATAACAATTCTACCAGGGACGTTATGTTGCTGAAATCCCCAGCGGCAAAGAACCCTTATACACATCCAGTGTGTGCGCGCTGTCACGAAACCTGATCATGCTTATGTAGTCATTATAAGACGAGAAATGTGTTGTTGCTGTTGTTGAAAGGAAATATCCATGGGCGTGGTTCATTCATCCAACGTAGTGAGACCGCCCGTTCTTGTCCACCTCTATTCCGTGTCGTCTCCTTTCGAATCGAATCTTGGCGGCCTCGGTTCCATCGTCGGGCTGTGCCATTTCTTTGAACCACGGGTGGTTGAGAGCCTGCTTGGCGGTGATACGCTTGGCAGGGTCGTAAACAAATATCTTTCTCAACAGATCAAGAAAGTTCTTGAAAAATGTTGAATTGGAAGGAATGATGTCCTAGCAAGTCTCTGTTAGGTTCATTATGTGCCACAGAGTATTCGTTTACAAACTTACGCTCAGATGCTTCATCGCTTTCACAAACCGTCGAGAACCCCTGGTTGTCTCTGGTGTTGGGTAGTCGAGCTTGAGGCGCTTAAAATATCTATAGAATACAAGTCAGTAACGGGTCACATTGTTTTTTGCATATCCTGCTCGTATAGAAGCGCAGGGTCTACTCACTTGGAAGCAGGATTTCCTCCGCTTCTGGTAGACATCTTGTTCACTGATTGAACGAGATGGGAGTCTATCCTAGAGCCAACAACGGCTTCCATCATGGCAAGGTGCTCGAGGTTATCGTGCGTCTGAAACAACGCATCCCCGGTAAAGAACTCGACCAAGATGCATCCTATGCTCCAGATATCGCAAGGGAAAGACCAGCCTAGACCAAGGATGATTTCCGGCGCACGATAGTGCCGGGTGCTCACCACGGATGAATGATATTCGTCTTGGAAGGTGGCCGATCCAAAATCGATCAACCGAATCTCAGTATCAAGCAGCACTCTGCGCTGAGACGCCTGCCTGTTGATCGTGGTAGATGAGGAAGGAATTTTTCTGTTATATGTGAATGTCTGATAAGAATTATCACACAGCAGAATGTTTTCTGGTTTAAGGTCGGTATGAATTAGGTTCAGGTCGTGGAGGACTAGAAAACATCATGCTGGTTAGCTATCTTCCTTTCTCCGCGAGCAGCAAAGATTGTAACTTACAAGCTACGCTGGTGAATAATTGTCGGGCAAAGTTCTGAATCTGGCTATTAGGAAAGGGGACAAAGCCGTTGCCCTTGAGAAAGTCGAAAACACTCTGGCCCAGGAGATCCATGACTATACAGATGTGGCCTCGGTAATCGAAGCAGTCTCGCAGGTGGATGCAACGATTCCTGTTTTCCTCGTCGTTGGCCTTGAGCGTGGCCAAAACGCGAAGCTCGATTCTCGAAGCATCGCGGTATTTTTGGACGGATCGAATGATCTTGACAGCCACAGGCTTGTTCCTCTTCAGATCACGGGCCTCTACCACTTTGCCAAAGGTGCCCTGTCCAAGAAGACGAACGATTTGATCTTGAATAACATAGTTAGCTATCAAAAGGTCCATCAAAAGCCCAAAAGAAGTCCATTAGGGAAGGTGAGGATGGGAGAACACATACACTTGTCAGTCAATTCAGCGTCTGGGACCACGATATAATGGCCGTCATCATCATCAACTTTGGCGTTTTTGCCAAAGTGGCGCTATGATGGGGAATAAAGGTTAGCGACAAAGCGATTTTCTTCATCAAGACGAGTTTATTTGTTTCATCTCTATCATAAAGAGAAAATCGTAGCAGCTGTGGAGAAGGAGAAAAGGGTAAAACTTACATCATGAATCACCTTGACGGGAACTTCTGCAGACTTCTTGGGCGGGAAAGGTGGAGGCTTATAGGCCATAAAGGCGCCCCCAAGGCCATCCACGTCCCTTCGCTTGGCCTCATTAGCAGCCTGCTGCCGGGTGGTGCGCTTTCGCTTCAACGGCGTGGCCAGTTCATCGTACTGGCCATTCGCAGATAGAGACGTGGGCGCCGTTGTGTGCAGTGCCGAGTTTGTGCGGTCGCTGGAGAGGGTCGAGCCAATAGGCGTGTGGTTCGGCAGAGGCGTGTTTGTGTGCGAGCCGCCGAGATACTGGACGTGGTAGCCAGAGCCAGGCTGCTCGTTGTGTCGTCTCTTCTTGGCGGACGCCGAGTCGGCGACGGCGCCGTTGGCGTTGGCGTTGCTACTGCCATTTGTGATTTTGCGGCCAGTGTTGGCTTCGGGCTCGGGGGTGTCGTCAATGACGATGATTTCCTTGGGGAGGCCGTTGCGGTAGAAGTTGTTCCAGTCGGGCTCCCGAGAGCGCCGACGCTTTCTCGACGGCTGGTCCTCGGCGGCAGGGCGGCCGGCGGCGGGCACGACGCCAGAGGACGAGTTGTTGGCCATGGCGGGCGAATAGGGCTCGTCGTATCGCGGCGCCAGCGACGGGTCTGCGTGGGCGTGGTGAGGGGGTCTCGAGGCCGCGGACTGCGAGTGCGGCTGAGCTATGCCATCTGCCAAGGTGTAGCCGTTGGAAGCGTAGTGGTGATAGTACGGCAGCGGCCGAGCCGGGTTCTGCGAGGGAGACGCCGCCGCGTACGAGTTGGCGGCCTGGGTTGCGGGCAGCAACGACGTGCGGTAGTTTGAGGCTGTGGTTGTAGCAGACGAGTGGCCCTGATGGTGGAGGGCGTAGTTTGGCGGGTTGTACCGCGAGTGGTGGTAGTGAGGGAGCGTGGCCGTGGCCGTGGTAGGCGTCGACATGGCCGCGGCGATCGGTGCCCCGGCGACGAGGACGCTGGCGAGGCTGGGAGTCGAGATGTCGCGAGAGCCGTGCTTTTGTCTGTTTCGAGGCCCAATGCACGGGTTTTGTGGTGTTGCAGAGATCAACGACGAGCTGAGGCAGAGGGCAGAGCAGCAGAGGCCTGCACCGGGCTTTCTTCGCGGCTGCTCAGGCTGATGAGCCGCTGACTGGAGCGAGTACTTTTAGGCTTTTTAGCGCCCCGTGAAAAATAGCTGCTGCTGGCGGTGGGAAAAGGCGTTGGAATCGGAAGTTGAAAAGAAGTCGTCTCGAGCAGATGCCTTTCTCTTCCTGTTGAATGTCGGTTCCAGGCCTGGGGATTAAAGGCTGGAACTCTCGTTTGGCTCAATCATCAGCGCCTTGGAAGCCGCAAGAGGCAGAGAGAGGAACGGGCTGAAGCTGGAATTGCTTCTGGAAAGGATGGCGTGGTTGAAGCGTGACGAGGGCCCAAAATAGGGACGTTGGCGCTTCTCACACTGGGCCTTGAGGGAGGAGCCAGCGCCCGTCACTGTGCTTTCAGCAGCCGAGCACCGCCCTGGCGCTGTGCGGAGCACCGACCCCCAGCCGAAGAGCGCTAAAGCATGGCGCGCTGCAGTGAGGCAGACAGCGCGAACACGCCCGGAAAGGCTACTGTAGCTTAGCACAGATCGAGTAATACTACAGATTTGAGCGACATTTCATGCCAGAACACGATGGCTTGACTGTGTGCTCTTTTTCTTTTTTTTTTTTTTTTACAAGTTGTACATTTGGCTCTTTTTCTATCTTTCGAATTCTCGTTTTCTACCGACTCTGTAAATATATTGCTCGCGAGGCTTTGATTGATTGGTAATGCTCCCTACAGCAAATGCCGCCGTAGACTGTTTTACGGGTTTCCCCCATTCCAGGCACTAAGCTGAAATTGTGCAGGCCAGTGCGGGTTCCCCGTAGAAAAAAATAGCCACGGGGGGAATCTTTTGCCACAAAGCATGATACGCAAACGACTCGGGTCCAAAGTTTGATCCTGGAGGGGAAAGAGAAATTTAGAAGGCATTTGATGAGAAACAGGGAAGGGGGAAGTAGAAAGAAATAAAGAAAGAAGGAAACCATCTCGTGATATACATCAGGTGCCAAAAAAAAAATGGAAGAAAACCAAATACTGTTGTCTTGTTTACAGCATCAATCAATGCATGCTCAGCTCCACGTCGATTGGAAGCACGCTCAGCACAGCCAACGTTGGTTTCAGCGTGTGCTCGTACCTGCACGTCTGTCCATGGCAGGGTCCCCCAAAAACAGCGCCTTTCCTCCAGTGGCTTCCCGCCAACAGGGCCGCTGTCGATTCATCACTTTCAGTTCTGCTGTTGGGGCGAAAAATAGGCCAGAGGGAGGGGTGGACCATGCCCTACCATTGATATTACTCCATGTCTATCTAACTGTGAGTAGCAGTAGCAAGCAGGCACCACGGCCCGCAAGACCAGATGCAGCGTGTGATGGATGGACACGGCATGATATTTGGTCTTGACGCTCGTTCCGCAACTGGCTTGGATTCAGGAATCGCGGGCGGGCAAAAGAGCTGAAACCTCCCTTCTGGTGGCCCCGGCTTTCGCATCCATTAATAGGGCCGTTCGAAAATGGAATTAGCCCCGGCAGAACGAGAGAGGGACGGAGAGAAAAAAAAAGGAAACAAAGAAACAAAGGGAGACGCCCTTAGCTCCAGCTGCTTTTGGAGTCGAGGTCCTCTTTTGAGCTCGCTGGCATTACTGCTCTGGGGGCATAACACCTTCGATTCCAGGCACTTGTTTCTCATACGCAGTCCCCACGATGATGATACCGCTGTCCGGCATCAGTTATCAATCCCTGCACCGCAAACTCAACAAACCGCCAGCCACAGACCTTAAAGTGCTAATAAGCGCGGCCCATCCTGTCATCTCCGCTGCTCCCTCGTGCACTCGCATCAAATCTCGACTCGCCCGCGACTCTCGGCGAATCAGACGGCGTCACACCCAAATTCCTTGCTCCAAATCCCACCACTAGCAGTGATCCAGCAAAGACCCAGATTCAAAGTCACGCATTGTAACCCTGTCCCGCTCTCGTCTCTGGTCCTGTCTCCAACGGAGGCGAGCAGCGTGTCTCGTCATATTAAAAAGCGCCCCCCCGGGGACCAATTTACAATTTATCCTACATGCAACGTACATGCCGAAGGTTGACTAGGCGGACCCGGCCCGACGTACTAATAGAGTCCATCTCCTCACGCACACGCACCACACAAACGCCAGCAGATGCTACAAGTTATACAACGTTTTAAACACGAGAACAAGTTTCGAGCCCGACGACTTCGACTTTGCCACCCCTTAGATCTCGCTCAAAACGCCCACCAGACCATCTTCAGCCCTTCATACTGTACCACGAAACTTGGCATTTTCTCGGTACCAGCCTTGATGTAATCTTCATTCTTCCACAGTACAGATACGAGTGCCAGCCAGCGAAATTCCGGCCCACCTGCGCATTATGTCACCGGGGACGCAGTCCCGCCATTCCCAGCCACTGTGGATTCTGCTCTGCATCTGGTGCCGTAGGGCTTCTCTTCTCTCCTCGTCCCAGCCAGCGTCTCTGGTTGCAGAAATTACATGTAACTCGAGCGACATGCAATCCCTCGCCCGTGACGTGACGTGACGAGAGAATCCAAAGGCTAAATGGGGCCATCCAGGCAAAATATCCCGACAGCACTGACTGAATTATGTGTAAATGTATCCCTCTCCGCACCTAAAACACGAAGATAGCAATCCCTCATCGCTGCTCTGATGCAACGGCGTAATACATTGTTACCGCCCGTATGTACATGAGAATTGACTTCTCAACAGCCACTGCGGGTTTATTAGGAGGCAAAGCCACTACACGCCATCCAACGTACATGCAATGTTTCACCCCTCCTTTCCATGTCCCAATCATGCAAAATCGCCGTGCATAACATTGCTGCATCACATGCTGGCAGTGCCATGATTCCATTTGACGATGCCCAAAGGCAGCCAGCAGCGTTGCTGCTTCGCCCGCCAAAGCCTCAATAAAAATTTATCTACTAAACTGCTCAATATTCTGTATGGATTTTCTATCACTGCTGCTGCTCCTATGCTGGGCTAGAATCCATGTATAGGGCCCTTTTTTACAGGCATTGACTCTCCATCTGAAATTTGCGTCACGCTCGCCTTGCATCATGGGCCATATGGGGCAATTCTGTAATGCTGGTAGCTGGTAGCGTCCCTTTTGTCCCCAGTTTCCAGCGCGCACCGCTTTCTCTTCTCTCTTTCACTCTCTCCACTTCCTTTGGTGCAGTCTTACGCGAGCGAAGAAGCCAAGCCCAGACTTCTGGATCGCTAGGGAGCGCCGCTATCTATCTAGCACTAGCGAGTACCCAATCAAGGGCGTGCAATCCGTGTTCCGACGAAGCGTCTGCTCTGCCTTTTATCGCCATATAAACTCCGGCATGCCAAAGTCCACAATGCGTTGATCATGTGGCGACGCAAAAGTGCGTCATGCTTCATGCCATCGACTTGACCATTCTCCCTCTTTTCGGTGCTGGGAATATCAGATGCTATCTAGAATCATTCTTAACATTATTCGAGTGCCTGCAGGAACACTGCTAAACAGCACCCATGTAGTCACCTTTCTCCCCTGCACGGACAGACATGCATACAAGCGCCCCGTTGGTGTACAAGATCCAATACTCCGTTAACGAGCCCTCATCTATTGACTTTCTCACCCGCATCGGCGTCCCCAACCGTCTAGTAGTAGTAGTACCTCATAATAGTCATAATGCCCCTCGCCACGAGCGGAATGCGGAATATTCCACGGCATCGATTCAGCCTGTAGCGGAAGGCGTCGCGTAATACCTAGATCGTCTCGTAGTAAGCCCAGGATCTAAATAATAAGCGTTAGCTCATCAGCAAAGCCCCCTGCTCGTAAACTCGATAAAGGAAAGAAAAAGGCATGCCGACGCAGGGATGCAAGGGAGAGGGAACGTGCTGAAAACTGATATAACAGTGTTCTAGATGCTCAGAGTTTCATCATGCGAATCCTTTGATCCCCATTCCCGCTCCGATAACTCGGAGTGCAATGCGATGTTTCCTCGACCAAGTCGTTAACATAACTTCGTTATAGTCTTTTATCTACCATCATTCTTATCTACTATATCGTCTAACGAAAAGCAAATGCAACGCAAGAAATAGAAGCTCTGCATAAACACCTGGGCATAAACTCTATGCGCTCATCCCACTCCCGTCTACCAATGCCGCTGTGACATCTATCGGTCTAGCAGTCTCCCAGGCCTTTGCTCAGCCACTTCTTCGTTAATCAGTCCTTGACAGCGCATGCATCCAAATAGCATTAGCATCAGCATATGTGTCGGACAAGCCACCATTATGCTGACCGAGATCGTCGTCAAGTAAACGAGCCCGCTCTAAGCGCTCGAAAAACGCCATCCCCTACCATCTCCTCGCCAATATATGCCGAGAAGCGGTATCATATATGTTGTTCAAAGTGTCCATGTCATCTTACAGACCACGGTTGAACCAAACCTTGCCACCGTCGCCTCCCTTACCATGGAACTCCGGCTCCAGGCTCTCGGCGCTGATTGCCTGCCTCTGGGGGAAGACTGCCAGTGCCAGAGGAAGTGCCACAAATCCAACCGCCGCAATCAGTCCCAAGTTGATACCAATGGGAATTGACGAGGCAATTCGCGGTCGAGCCTTGATCCACTCCTTCTCCATCAAGTTCTTGTACCAAGCCTGCTTGAACTGAATGTGATAGAGAGTCATGGCCGGAATGATCATGATGGGGGTATTGTTGATGACACGGCTGGCCGCAGTTTCGTACACGGCAATCTTGGCCGCCTTCTGGCTCCTGCCTAGAGAAGGCACATCCGCCTCAGATTTCCCCTCTTCGGTCAGCTTCTTCTTCTCCTCGTCGGAGAGCACAGGGCGAACGTCAATGCCCGTGACAATCTCTCCTCGTCGCATGAGGTATGCGTTCAGGGCACCGGCGGTTGCGACGGCGGCGAAGGGCACGAGTCTGCTCAAAACGTTTCGTGTGCTGGGAGAGACCTTTAACCTTGGAACCAAGGCGTTGAGTCCGAGCGCCACCGAGCAAGAGGCCGTGACGGCGATACCGTAGGACTTGGCGAGATCCGCCGTGGTCATTGGGGAGGACTTGTTTGCGTTCGAGCTGTTGATGGCAACGTTGAGGGACTGGTTGGCAACTTGCCATGCCACTGTGCCCGCTGTTCCCAGACCAGGCTGCAGCATACCGGCCGTGACGATGAGGTTCGATAGGACGAAGCATGACATTCGGAATGGCAGAAAGACTGGTTCTCCAGTGTCTGTCCGCAAAGGTCAGTTTTCTTTTCTCATCTAAGCATATTCCTGGGGTCTTCTCTGCTGTTCCATACCGGGGTGGAGAGTCGAGTCTACAATCTTCTTCGCGTGCCATAGATCTGGTGTCATATGTTGCAGCTTTCCAGTCTTATACTCTGTGACAAGTCTTTTGGCATTCTCGAGTCCTTGCGAACCAGCCAACAGGGTGCTACAAAGCAACACGCAAGAGTCAGCAATTCTCCTTCAACATTGTGCCCGTAGAGTCTCTTCTGCAAGACTCACCTTGGATCCGTGATGCTCATCGTGTGCCTCACACGTCCGTAGTACGTTGACAAGTCATACTGGGACGAAGGCAGGTCCCGCGACCCGGGCAAAGAGGCGGACATGGCGTGCAGAAGTCGATTGACGGCGATGCGATTCAATCCAGCTGTCTCTGCCTATGCCTTGTGCTTTTATCGTTGGGCTGGTGATTGATGCGAATTGTCAACGGCCAATCCTCCTGCGGGGTGCGCAGAGTCCAACTTTTTGGCCCAAAGCGTCCCAGCGAAACTTGTGCCGAATCTCGAGACGACGATAAGCGCAGCTCTTAGTTAGGTAGGTAGTACTAATGGTTTTTGTTACGCGACCCCGATCTCGGCTCTTACGTTGGCAGAGGATTTGTCTGGGCAATTCTTAGTGGCCCAGAAGGAGCCCCCACTGACAGTAATGCATGGCACGCCAACAAACAAGCAGCCATATTGGCAGAGATGCCTTTTGAAGATGATATTTGCGAGGACGATACAAAGCAGATGCCGCCAGAAGGCGCACATGGATGATTCTTAGCAAGTCGCCTAGGGCGCGCTCTGTCAAGACATCCATGCAATGCGGAGTAAAACGAGCAGTCGATATTGCTCGAAACTCGACAGGCGCCAGTCTCACTGTAGTTAAGCAAATCCATGCTCTTCTCCACAGCCAAATTGCGACAGGGAAGAGGCAGATCTCGGCACGTGGCTCGAATCTGATTCGCATGTAATAAGCAGGAGCGCAAGTAGCACTTTCCAAAAATACATCGTCCCGATTCGCAACGAGCAAAAAGAAGATGCACGCAGAAAAGGTGCATACGGACAAAAAGAGACGCTCCTGATGGAGCTTCGAAGCGACCACGCCAGGAGTCGAACCTGGAATCTCTAGAGATGATGAAGACCGAAATCTAGCGCCTTAGCCATTAGGCCACGCGGCCGGATGATGTCATTGTTTCTGAACAATCTTTGATGCTTCGTGGCTTGCAATTTGGGTATACAGAGGTTTTGCGATTTTGGTGAGCTATTGCGCACTGTACGTTGTCGCGCTGAAATGACCATCGCCTACCGTGTCTTATAGTTCAAATACTGTGTTGATGGTAAATGCACAGCCAGCATCAGTGTTCAATTGCTGTAGAAACTGCAATGACAAATTGTCGAATTCCCAGAATGATTAGCCTTTATCTTAAGACGATCACCTATTATTTACTTGATCTAGTATCCTTTGAGTCTTTTGCTTGGGCGACTGACATTCCTTGTGTAAAAAAAGACAAGCTGCGGCCTGTATATATCAACAACCACTTTGTATGCTGTGGGCTCGCAGTTTCTTATGGGAAGTTGTCCAGCACCCTAGCTATAGCATTGGCTACTACTGCTACTGCTGTTATTTCCGAGAGTATGGAGTGATCAAGAACCTGGTACTCCCTTTATATACCTAGATAGGCAATAATGCACTGGCTGCCTTGTTGAGCCACAGCTGGGGCGTTGGATATTATACTTGGGATGCTGAATAACTCTTCCCATTCTTATTTGTTTCAGTCTTACTACAGCAAAAGCATAGATTCAGCTTTAGTCCCATGTCCACAGAGAATGCTATTCCAGCTAAAGAACATTGAAGACTTTGACGACCTAGCAATCTGATAGCATGATCTGATCATCTTCGTAGTTCGCGCAATTTCATTCTAGAAGGGTCAGAGAAAAGAAGCTAGGAGAAAGCCGCAAATATAGGTAGCCATGATATCGTTCATCTTTGTGTAAACAAGTCGATTGGCCATATGTTCTCTGCAACTAGATCGGAGGCGAGCTAAAGTGAGAGCGCTACATCCCTCTCTTGCATCTACGCTGTTGAGGGTCTTTCATTACCTAGAGAGAAAAAATTGTTTATTTGTTCAAGGTGAGAATCTTACACTCTTCAGTATATCACTCAAGCTTTGCTGCAGAAACTGCAAGCACCTGCAAGTGTGATAGCACGTGAGCTGCCCGGCTCCTATATAACTGCTGCACTGTCACCTGGCAGTCACTCTTCTGCTACTTCCTCTTCACAACTCTTTGCACCTGCTCTGCCTTCTCTCCTCTTTTCTGCTCAGAAGAGCTGTTCTTCCTCTAGTTGCAACCTCTTTGCTCTCCTCTTCAGCGCTTTGTTCTATTCCTCAATCTACGGGCAACCTGAGGTAACTATGAAGCTGGATTCGCGACGTTCTGCACCACTGATCAGGTACTAATTGTTGCAATAGTCAAAAGAATGGATTTAACTCCAGAGTCTGGAAAGTCTAGCAATGTACCGGCTAAGAATGGCGAAGTCATCAAGTCAATCTCCGGCCTCAAGGCATGGCTGAGCAATGATCCCAACGTTCCCAAGACTCCCAAGACTCCCGCGATCCCCAAGACTCCATCTTTCTTGAAGAATCAAGTACTTCAAGAGAGTTTAGCCGCAGCGGCCGAGAATCCAAGTTCAGATGAGACAAAACAATCCAGCGACGCTTCAGTTCGTATGACTGAAGATCCTACTCATCCAAGCGCTACTGGGGTGTCGGATACGAGTCTTCAGGAACAGAATGAAGCCAATTACTGCTTTAGGCGACCGCCGTCTATTTTAAATACAATCAATCAACTCTTGAGTCCCGGAAAGCCCAAGGAGCAAGAACCAGTCAAACGCAGAGCTACGCCAACCGAGCAAGAATCAGCCAAGCGCAGAGCTACGCCCCCAGGACAAGAACTGGTTAACCGCAGAGCTACGCCGATTCATTCATCACAGTTGACAGACGGCATGTATGACTTCGAAGAAAAGTCTCCGCAACAAAGAAAGGTGTCGTGGGCTATAAGTGAGGGCCTTTCGTGGGACATCAGCGCAGCTGGTTCAGACAATAGTCGTCAGAATCGTCAGGCACGGTATACTACGCCTGAGGAGGCCAGTGTTTCGCAAAATATGGCATGGCTCCTTCAAATCTCTAACCCGCCTGCGGTGGTGGATTTGTTAGCGTCTACCGCAACGGATCAGCACAAAAAGGATATCGATCCTATGACAGGAAAATTCCTGCCAGAAATCATCCACCCGGATACCTTCAAAGCTCTCGGCAATGGCCCGGCCCGTGGCTATAGTGATATCGCCTGGAGACAGGCCAATATGACAGTCGAGTTACAAATCGATCGTGAAATTCGAAGCCGAGAGGTTCTCGCAAATAAGGCCAAGTTACAGGTGGAATCCAAACAACCTAAATTAAAGCCTGCACCTGTTCAGCCGCCGGCTTGGCCCGATGCTAAATGTATCGTACGGCCTGCAAAGCCTGAAGATTTCGAAGCCATTGCTACCATCATGAATTTGGAAAGCAAGGCGAAGATTAACCCGCAAGTGTTTGAATGGAAGCAAGTTGTGGCAGCAGACGTTCAAAAGATATATGAGAGCTGCCGGGACAACCTGCGCCCATTTGTTGTTGCTACTGCGACAGATGACCCCTTACTCGACCCTTCCAAGTGGCCCAAGGATTCAACACAGGCTTACCAGAGCTATCTCGCATTTCGTGCATCTCAAGCAGAGGTCCCGCAGGATGTATTTGGCTTTGCTTATGTCACCGAAGCCAGAATTGGAATGCTTGGGACTCCGTGTCCTGGATCCAGGCATGCTGGACAGATCAAAGTGATTGTCCACCCCGATCATCGAGGAAAATTGTATGGCTCTGCTCTACTCGATAGGGTTTTGCTATGCACCGCGCCCTTTCATCGAAGCATGGTAGATTACGAGTGGCAGTGCCAAAACTCGGCCAAGATTTACGAGAATATCTCATACCAGAATGATCGGAAATACGCCTGGGTCTATATTGAAACGTTTTGCGCTGATAAAACCGATCCAGCGACACAACTGGTGACCAACTTTCTGCAAAAGTTCGAATTCAAGGAGGTAGGCTGCCTGCCCAGCGCCATCAAGACAGACCGTTATTACGAGAGCCAATGGCTTGACTTGGTGCTGTGGGCACGCGAAGCGCAACCTCGCTCTAACATCGTGGATTCTAAGCCGGGCGCCCAGCCAGAGGCGGATAGGATGCAATTGTATCAGACTTCAGCGAGGCTAAATAAGAAGTAATCTTGCAATTCTTCTACGTTCGGCTATACCGGGCCATCAGTTGAAGAAGATCCTATGCTCGTTATTTTGAACAGACAGTTTTCTTCTATTTTTTTCGGAATTTGAAAATGGCGCTTTGCATAATCTGAATAGTGCTTGCATTGGAACGACAATATGCGGTCGATGTTGCTGAGGTTTAGAGTAAGGGAAAAACTATGGGGAACGCGCTCTACATCACGTGTGCGTATACTGCGCTTCTAGCAGCACATCGTAGGTAGCCATCTATCAGCATCAGGCAGACGAATAACCAGGAAATTCGAACCTTTTGAAAATTGGTGCCTAAACCAGTGACTATTTATTTAAATAAAAAACTCCTCATTGATACTCATTTCATTGCCATATCCTCAGTTCCCAGCTGGATCAAGCTCTATCGACACAAAAAGTCTTCTCGGTAATTGTCGTTGGGCAGCACGATGTTGTCCATCTTACGCAAAGCACGCTTGAAGGACAAGGAAATGCGAATTTTGATGCTGTGCGTATCCAATATCTACATGAAGCAGAAATTGTGAATCGATCTAATTGATTGAAAGAGGACTGGACAATGCGGGCAAGACAACAATTGTCAAGAAAATTATGGGCGAAGATGTGAACACAGTGAGCCCGACGCTCGGGTTCATCATCAAGACGATAGACTACCAAGGGTATTTGTTTCCTCGCTTGAACTCACTTTAAGATGAAACTGAATCTGACATCGTCAAATAGTTATAAACTAAACATTTGTATGAAGATCCCAGTAGATATCACAAGCTGCGGTCATTGTTAACTTCAATAGGGGATGTGGGTGGCCAGAAGACGCTGCGGTCATACTGGCGGAATTATTTCGAAAAAACGGATGCCCTGATATGGGTCGTTGACACAACGGATCGACTGCGAATAGATGACTGTAGAGAGGAACTCCATGGATTGCTGGAAGAAGAGGTATGAGCCAGCCCCTTTTCCCGGGTCGATCGGTCTAACCTGTAGGGAAGCGTCTGGCGGGAGCTTGCTTATTGATATTTGCAAACAAGACCGACGTGGATGGGTGCATGACCCAAGAGGAAATCGTTACCGTAAGTATCTCATTGGATTATTTGAAATCTTGGCTGTTGAAGCTTACAAGAAGGGGTTGGCTAGATGCTGCGATTGCATGATATTCGGACACATCAGTGGCATGTGCTGCAGTGCAGTGCCATGACAGGCAAGAATCTAGAGGAGGGATTATCCTGGGTGGTGGAGGATGCCAAGAAGCGGCTTTTCTTGTATTAGAATCCTACATGGAAGCGTTTTCTTCATTATGAAAGTCTATATCGCATGTTATGTGCAGAACTGAGCGTCATTGTATGGGTCACGTCTGCCGGCACCACCATTGTAATTAGCATCATTTCGGCCACCTATCGGCCATCGGTGATACGGAGCACAGGATGAGCGTTGCACAAAGCATTTAATAAGCTTCGTGTGTGGGCGGACCAGGTTGTCAAGGGCGATGAAGAGTGGAATTGTGGATAGGCTGAGCGGGCCAACTCGCCTGACCAGCGTCTTGCGAGCTTGATTGGCCCGCGCTGAGTGAAATGCCTCGATCAGATTCAAGCAAGACAGGAGACTAGAGACATACCAAGCCAATGCTTTGCGGCCTCTATATAGCTCTGAAGCGCATTGATGGTGGTGGGTTGACTCTGAGCTACTGAGTGCTAGTATCATATCTCGTGTCCGCCTCCCTCTATTTGCTTGTGTGTGTTTACTGTTATGAATGCTGAAAAAAGTAAACAAACCCTCCCCCCCGGTTTCTAGAAGCCTGCCGTGGCAAGATGGAACAGACCGTGCTCGAGCTTGACTGCCATGTTCAGGGGAGAGGGCTGAAAGGCGATTTCGTCTAAATAAGGAGCTGCGTGCCCTGTGCTCCCGTATTACTAGCACCGTTGACCTGTGCAATATAATGTCTGGCATTGATTTGATTGACGTTGACCGCAAAAGCGCCCCTTGCATATCAGCCCCAAGAGACGCACGAGCTGCTTGGACGCTGGTTACAGGGGCCGTCAATGCCTACGGGGCCCCCCTCAGGCCAGCCCTGAGCAGCCCCGATTTGGCGGCAACGCGCTAACAAATTAAAAGGCGCCCAGCGTAACAGGTCCCGTTAGACTGTTTCTGCCCCCGATGATGCCGCCTGTTTGCCGTAGCTCAGGTTCTGTTACCGCAAGTGCGCGAACTACAACCTGGCAGTGAGGCAACAGCTGGAACTGAACTTAAGCTGCAACCACCCCACCGCTACCACGCCAGCAGACACCAACCTCGACCTCGACCTTGACCTCGACCTCGACATCGCGGAATCCGTCTGTCTTCTACGTACCTCCTTTTCCCCGCCGTGCCATGCCATTGTCCGCGACTGTGACGTACCGGTAGAGGCAGCCAGATCGTGAACCCAGAACCCGCCATGTCGGACGAAGTATCTCAGTTCCTCGAGCAGGTCGAGCGCCTGCGCGGGCAGCAGATTGAAGATGAGGAGATGCGAGCCCGAGAGCGGGAGGAGTTTCTCGCCGCGAAACGAGAGCGCCAGGCCAGGAGAGAGGGTGAGTCTCTATCTTGCCTCGTGCCGTTTTCTTTGCTTTATTTCCGACTTGCTCCTTGTTCTTATGGCACATGCTTATCGGGCGGCTTTCCCCGCTGATGGGCGGATTTGACTTTCGGCGGTGCCTTGTTGCCGTGGTGCTCGCCAGTTGGAGCTATCGGAGGTTTGCCTCCAAGCCGTGGTTTATTTACTTTTTGCCTTTCTGATGGGCCCAGCACGGCTTGCTGCTATGGAGACCCTAAGCAGCGAACATTGATGAATTTTCGGGACCTGACCAACTGATGAAACAATGCTGACCCGCCTTATCCAAAAGAACGCGCCAGATCAATCTCTCCGCAGAAATCATCACCAGCCAACACGCCGTCTCCCCGCACACTTCGACGGACCGTCAACCTCTCCGAATCCCTCAGACTCGACTCTCCTGCCGGCGAGGCTATAGAAAAGCTGCGCGAGAGGCCGGCCGAATCGGAAAAGCCCCTGGGAACGGACGTACCATCCGATGCAATGCTGTACTCTACCTCAGCAACGAAAGAGAACGAGGCCCCTGAGGATCTCGACGCGAGGCGGGGCGATGCCGCGACTGGCTCTCGAGGCTCAACACTCGCCTGGCAGCGGCGGACGAATCGATCCAATAGCCGTCCGCTGAGCGTTTATGCGGCCCAGAGTGCTGCCCAGAGCGCGACGAGCAAGCCATTTGCTGACGCCCAAGAGCCCCACGAGCCGCCTTCCCCTACGCAACCTCTTTCCAAGGATCAAATCGCCAAGACCCTTGCATTAAAGGATGCATCGTGGTTCCGCCAAACTGCTGATCGAGGCGCAGACTCTGCAGCGTATAGGAAGAACCAGGTTGAAGACGAAGACCGGCTCGATATGTCAAGTCTCAGCTCACAGCTGCCTGGCATGACCAGCGAAAATTCATCTGAACGCCCTGTTTCGCGGGGTAGTGAGAATGTCTTCAACAAGATTTCAGCTCCCTTCACCCTAAACCCACTTGGCTTTGACAATCCTTCTGCCGAAAAACCTCAGGCGGAACCTGTTGCTTCAACGCCTACTGGCCGTTCCTCCCCAGCACGCACAACGTCTCCAACCAAGGGCATGGGAGGATTTGTGCAGAGCGCAATGATGAAGAGGAGCGATAGTGTAAAGCGATGGTCCGTTGCAAGCCCGCCTGCATTGACTCGCCCTGAGAACACGAGTACGCATCGCGGCTCCGTTGACAGGACCCTGGCGAGACCGCAGAGCATGTTTATTCGCGACCCGACAACGACTACAACGACGCCGGGGACAAGCAGATCAGCTTCTCGGCCGTCGTCTCGTCCAGCCTCTCGGCATGGGGGAGAAGAATCCGCATTTGAGAGACGCCCCAAGACACCATCATCGAGCAGCCCACCTCCGTTCCAAAAAACTGGGTTTCCTGAGGACGCATCCCTCCCAGTTAGTCCCTCTAAGACAATGGAACCTAGACGCTGGAGCCCTACGAAGTCGAGTTGGCTCGAGAGTGCGCTCAACAAACCAGATTCGCCAAAGTTACCTCCTAAGCCGGCCTCTTCGCAACAGCCAGCATGGATGGTAGAGCTCAATAAGAATAAAACAGGGCGTGGCAATCCCACTCCGGAGCCAGCTCGGCCCTCTCACAAGCACCAAGTTAGTATCGATGGACTTATGAGGTCCACGCCAATGGGATCGAGGCTGAACCTCAACACAACTGGCTTGGGAGGCATCTACTCGCCTCCTGGCACGCAATCTGCGCATCCAAATCGTGCATCGATGCAGAGCTTTCCTCCGGCGGCGGACCGGCCGAGATCAAAGTCGAGAGGTGCTGTTGCCGACGCGAGGGATGAAATGGAGGCGGCGGCGGAACGGCCAAGATCAAAATCGAGGGGTGCTTTTGCCGATGTGAGGGATGAAGTGGTAGTGGAGCGGCCTAGATCAAAGTCGAGAGGTGCTTTCGCCGAAGTGAGAGAGGAAGTGTTGGAACGGCCAAGATCAAAGTCGAGAGGTGCTTTCGCCGACGTGAGAGACGACGTGAGGGAAAAGCGATCAGAATCTCTCAGCTCAGTGGTCAACCCACTGGCGGCCCGGGCCAAACCTGAAGCTCCACCAAAGAAAGACTTGGATTTCCGCTCCAATCTGAGGCCACGAGCTGCCGAGGCCCCGGTGCCCAAGACGCAGGAACCAGAGTTCAAGGCTGTCTTTGGCACTCTCCGTAGGACTAAAACCCAGAATTTCAAGGCACCAGACGAGCTAAAGGACAACATTCTCCGAGGCAAGGCGGCTCTCAACACGACTGACGGCCCGCAGAAGTCTACGATTCGGGATGATTTCAAGGACGCTATACAGAAAAAGAGAGACGACTTTAAGAAGGCCCAATCTGAAGGAAAGGGAATCGCCGCCAACACGATTACGAAGCCCAAGCCTCTTCTCCCCGAAGCGCTCTCCCTCAGGGCTGAGCTGGGAAAGCCGACAGGCGGGCTGCAGCAAAATGTCCCCTCGGAGACGCGAACTCCATCCGGTCAGTCGATTAAGTCCGATTCACCAAAACCAACTCCTCCACAGAGAAAGTCAAGTCAAGTGAACTTGGCTAGACAGTCTAGCCCATCATTGACTCCCACGGAGGACCCCTTAACTGAGAGACCCAGGCTAGACAAAGCGGAAACCGATACGCCAACGAAAATCGAACACTCCCCTATCTCCCCCGGACTTTTGAAGAAGAAGAGCGCTCCGTCCAAGCTTGGCGGCCTCGCCGGACGTTTCAACCCTGCGCTTGCCGGTATGCTAGCAAGAGGACCGCCTCCCGCAGCTCTCAATGGCGGTAATCGAGCCGAACAACCAGGATCAACTGGTGGAGATCCCCAGCCTTCACAACCAGGTCCTCAGTTGACGCACATGACTAAGGGTCGAGCGCGTGGCCCTAGGAGAAAGGCCCCATCCAATGTGAGCAACACTACTACCACTACCACCTCCACCAATGTCCAGACAGAATCGCCTTTGGCAAGCCGGCAACCTGCCACTCTTGGGAAGCAGAGCCTTCCTTCACCTTTTGAAGCGAAGAAGCCAGTGCCACTGCCAGCCCAAGATCGAGTGGCTACAAAGCCTGATGTACCAAGCAAACCAAGACAAGTTGAGCCGAAGAAGATGGAAGTTGAGAGCCGACCTGTGGAGCACGTGGCCCCCTTGAACTTCCGCAGACGTATGACACAACCTGAGATCCCAGTCCAGGACATTTCGACACAACCCGAGGCAGAGTCGCCAAAGAAGCTCGACATGAAGCGTGTGTCACAATTCTTTGAGCAGGGCAACAATACGGCGACACCTGAACCTCCCAAGCAGCCAAAGAAGCTTTCGCCTCAGAAGACTGGCACATGGGAGCCTGTCAAGGCCGCTACTCCTGTGTCTGAGCCTGCCAAGGAGCCAATCAAGTTGACTCAGCAAAGGACTGGCGGTGGATGGTCTCCGGTGAAGAAGACTGAGCGTTCGCTTCCTGATCCTCGATCGTCTACACCGAACCTTTTTAGCGAGACAAAGCCCGCGTTTGTCAAACCTGCACCAGAGCCAGTCTCTGCTGCTGTGAAAGCTCCATTACCAGGCCCCAAGCCACCCGCTTTCAATATGCCACCAAAGGAGATTGAGACTCGTCAGCTGCCTCAGTTACAGGCTGAGCCAGTACCGCCGTCACCTGCACGACCACAGACGGGCCACGGTAGCGATGTATCAGCCATACTCCATGATTTCTTTGCTGCTCCGTATAAGCGAATTCCGTGCGATATGGATCCCGCCGATATCCTCACAAACTACCCAAGATTCGGTGCAAAGATCAAGACTTTGTCGTTCCACATGTTCCAGATTGATGGCAGCGGCAAACAAACCATCGTTCCCGCTCACCGTGAACGAGTTCTGTTCGAACAAGAGATGTACGTTGCCGGACACAACTTTACCAACGAAGCGGGATGGAAAGTGCGTGAGGTTTATTTCTGGATCGGCGACGAAGTTGCGGATGCGGATGAAGACGCAGCAGAGGCTGTGGCACAACAAGAGGCAAGGCAATTGGGCGGTAAGCTCATCAAGATTAGACAAGGCAAGGAGACATCAGAGTTTTTGCAGGCTCTTGGCGGTGTGGCTACAATTCGAAGAGGTGGAAGCACCAGATATGACTCACTCGCTCCGGCCATGCTCTGTGGCCGACGATACCAGGGTCAAGTGGCATTTGACGAGGTTGACATGACTACAGGCAGCCTCTGTGCTGGATTTGCCTATCTGATTGCTCACTCCGGCAATTGCTATTTGTGGAAAGGCAAGGGAAGCGATGTTGACGAGCTCGGCTGCGCACGTCTCATTGGTATGGACTTGACGTTGACTGGACAGTTGATTGAATATGACGAGGGTGACGAGCCTGATTCCTTCTGGGACATGTTGGAAGGGCCATCCAAGCCTCACTCTGCGGATCACTGGAGACTGAAGCCTAGTTATGGGAAGTACAACAGCAGACTCTTTTGCTCCGACGCAGAGTCTAGACAACAGGTAAGCACTCATTAGACTTGGCTGCAAGTAATGTTTTAAGATTACTAACATGTCTTTAGATCTATGAGATCAGCCCATTTAACCAGGCCGACATGTCGACATTCAACATCTACATCCTCGACGCCTTCTTTGAGATGTACATCATTGTTGGCTCACAGGCGCAGTCCGAGTATGCCTCCTTCCGCAATGCCCTCGACTTTGCTCAGGAATACGCTGTCTTGGCAGCGAGCATGGAGGATCGGCCCTTTATTCCCATCTCGACTGTCGTCCTTGAGGGTGTGCCCCGTGACTTGAAGCGAGTATTCCGCAAGTGGACTGACGAGCGATGCCCGACGCTCTTGCAGGTTCCTTCTGGTGAATCTGGTTTGAAGAGAGGTCGGAGTCTCCGAGTTGTGCCTCTTACTCAAGCAATCTTGGCTTTGAAGGAGTAAAACGTTGATATCCTCTGTTTTCCTTTGGGGACTGTGGTAGTGGTGAGATAGTGTATTTTGTTGCGTGTATTTGAAAAGAGGAACAAGAAGAAGACATATGGGAACTTCACCTATGGTAATGTGTAGAATTGAAAAAAAGGGGGAGAGAGGCGGCGGCGAAATCGGGTTTGGCAGGATTGTTGATTTTCTTTAAGAGGCGTACGGGGAAAAGCGCATGTAGAGGTATTTAGATATTCATGCTTTGGCAAGTTGAACGTTGAATGTGGTAGATGAAGAGGCGCAAGAACATTGTACTCAACGATGCCAATATATAAAAATGAAGATGAGAACATTCATCATACATATAATAAATAATAATTGTGCTAGTATATGAGGGTTTTACATCTATTGGGTATCAATTCAAAATTGATCACATGCCAAAACCCAAACCTCCCTTGTCCGTCCCAAAAGAAATTCGCCATTGAAACCACACCTGCCTTCCTGTCCTACCCACCCGATTTATTCTAAACCTTTGCCATGATGCCCCGGCTTCTATTCTTAAAGTGGTTTCATCTAATCCTTCTGTTCTTTGCGCCATCGCTAGAACGCTACTCTCTCCCTGGCTCTTGCTCGCTTAATGTCTATAAGTGATATGCTGTGCTGTGTGCTTTAGTCACATAGCATTTCTTTTTTCTTTTCTGTTATTTAATTGTCGATGGCGGTACTCTTGCCCTTGGAGGAACCGTTTGTGGCTGGCATGGCGATTGGCTGGCCACGAGCCTTTTCCGTCAGGCTGATGAGCTCGCTGAGCATTAGTTCGCGAGTCTCTCGGGTGAGTTCGTCGACATCGGCGGGGGTGAGGTTGGCGGTGGGGATGGGGGCCAAGACTGTTCGTAGGCGTTGGGATTAGTATTATTTTATTCTTATTCAAGCTATATAAACGAAGGGATATTGGTAACGCACCTTTGACGGGAATCTTGCCAGAGTTGAAAACCAGGCTCTTGACGTAGAGGATGTGGCTGTAGTTTGCGACAACAATGGGCACGATAGGCACGCCAGACTGCACAGCAAGGTGGAAAGCACCCTTCTTGAAGGGCAGCAGCATAGGCTCCTTTGCGTAACTGCGCGTGCCCTCGGGGAACATGTAGACGCTCTGGCGGCTCGTCTTGATTTCGTTGGCGGCGCCGTCCATGGCCGAGCGAGCACCCTGGCTGTTCTTGCGATCGATGAAGATGGTACCGCTCAGGGTCATGAACCAGCCCAGGAACGGCACGCGCTTCAGTTGGGCCTTTGCGGTGACGCTGCAGTACTTGGGGAAGATGGCGCCCAGCATGAGCACGTCCAGCTCGGTCTGGTGGTTGCCGATGAAGACGGCGGGGCGGGTCGAGCCGAGGATGTTTTCCGGGTCGTCAACCACAAATTCAATGCCCGTGGTGTAGCGCATGGTGAAGTGAAAGGCGCGAGCAACGGCCCATTGCGCAATCTGGCGCTTGCCGATGAGGGTGAGCAGGATGGAGGCCAGGACGCCGTAGAGGGCGCAGGCGATGAGCGAGATGTAGGCGGCCAAGGAACGGGCGACGAAGCCGGCCTTGGGGATGACGAGGGACGCCATGTAGAAGGAGAGCGTGAGGGCGGCGTAGCCGAGGAGGAATTTGGTGAGGTATTCGAGGAGGACGGCCATTCTTTAAGATATCTTTAGAGGTTGTATCTGCGGTGTCGGATCGTGGATATGTAAGAGAGGAGAGTCGTCGAGAGGCTGATGATGATGGCGGGGAAGAGGTGGGCGAGGTTTCTAGATTTCGCTATAGTTCCATGCTCCTGTTTCAAAAGGCGGCAAGAATAAGGAAAAGCTGCTTCTCTTGCTTCTTCTGCTGATACACCAGAAACAGTAGTGTGCACGGTTGGACGGTGTGACCAGGTCAGGTTCCAAGAGGAAGAAAAAGGGACGAGTGAATGGGATGGGGAAATCACAAGCACAGCGAGAAAAGTTGGTGGCCACGGGAACTAGTGGTTTAGTTTTGTTGGAGAAACACTGGTTTACAGGTGATGGCGCTCCGGTCGGAGGTTGTATCGGTGACCTGGAGCGGTGGCTATGGGTGGGTGCTGCTGGCAGGTAGCGGGGACGAGGAGGGATTCAACGTATTGACTGGACCTCGGCGGGATGGAAAATGGAAAATGACGTTGGGGCCTGGTGGAAGCCGGGAAGCTGGAGGCTGGCGGCGTGGCAGCGCTGTAATTGGTTCAAGATTGGAGGTCTGGTTTACCCCTGCGCTTGGTACATGTAGTGCGGTACTTTCAATGCTCCTGCTACTACGGTAAAGGGAAAGGAGCATTCTCCCCGTTCTCTAAGTAATTGCAAGCAGGCTTTCATTTGTAACTAGATGTCAATTAAATAACATGCTTGTCTCCCCTGGAGAATTCGGCTGTGTCTTGTGAGGACTGCAGGGAGTGCACATGTAAGGAGTTTGCGTAGGACTTGCAGGTGATTGGGTGCCTTCCCCGCCACTCTGTAGACGGCAAGGCATCTTTGATCCTGCCTAGCCCAACATTAACGTCTTTAATGCTACAATCTGCAGTTTTTGTACGCCTTCGTTTTCATATACATTCCGAATAGCCATCAAACGAAAACGGTGGCGTGATGTGTGATAATCGCACAATTTCCAAAAGTACTTTTGGACAAGATGCCCACATCCACCAGGGCGACGCGATTGTGTATTTCGAAGGCAGCGTGAGCGTGACTAACAACTACGGCATGTCATCGCCTGAAACTACTAGTACAAACAGGAGGGACGGAGAAGATGGCATTCTGCGCCGTCTCTATACAACGCCATACGAAGACCGAAAGAACCGTAACCCGTCTCGGGTTCCAGGCACTTGTAACTGGTTCACATCGCACGAGCTCTTCCAGGACTGGCAAGAGAGCAAATCTTCAAGACTGCTTTGGGTATCGGCGGATCCTGGGGGTGGAAAATCAGTTCTAGTAAAATACTTGGTCGATTCTGTGCTTCAGACTACAGAATCTAGAACAGTATGCTACTTCTTCTTTAAGGACGATTTTTCGGACCAGAGAAATATTGTTAGCGCTCTATGCTGCATCTTACGCCAATTGTTTATACAAAAGCCTCTTTTATTCGGCGATAACGTTCTTCGTCAGTTTGTTACAGGCGGGGAAACCTTTTTTAACTCGTTTGCCGAACTCTGGAAAACTCTTATTCAGATTTCTAAAGCCCAGAGCGCTGGCGAAATTATCTGTATATTTGATGCCATTGATGAATGTGAAGATCAAGGGAGATCTCAGCTGGCTCAAGAGCTATGCAAACTTTATGATGCTGCGAATGACTTTCATCTCAAATTTCTTCTTACAAGTCGGCCTTATGGCAAGATCCATCGTGGTTTTAGACCTCTGGAGGTCCCAGGGCTGCCAGTCATTCATTTGAGCGGTGAACAAGAGGACGAAGTACGGAAAATCTCGCAAGAAATTGACGTTTTCATTCGATTTAAAGTTCAAGAAATGGGAAAACGGCGAAAGCTTCTAGAGGAAGAGCAGAACCTCTTACTTCAAGAGCTTATGAAAATCCCCCACAGGACGTATCTATGGGTATATCTTACACTCGATTTGATTGAAGGAGATATTATTGTCGACCAAACAATATTTAACGCTGCCTCTTGTATCCCAGAAACAGTGGATGAGGCATACGAGAGGATTCTCTCAAAGAGCTGCGATTTCGAACAGGCTAAGAAAATATTACATATTGTTTCAGCAGCAGCAAGGCCTCTGACCCTCAAAGAGATGAATTTGGCCTTGGCTCTTCAAAAATGCCACCAATCGAATAACAACATCAAACTCAAACCCGAAGAGCGTTTCCACCAGGAACTACGAGATATTTGCGGCCTCTTCATAACAATCTTCGACTCAAAGATATACTTGCTTCATCAAACTGCGAAGGAATTCCTGATTAGTCATAGTCCAGATCCTCTAACGGATATTTGTGAAGATTTTATATGGAAGCATTCACTAAATGTGCTCGAATCTCACAATATTCTCTCAGACATTTGTATCTGGTACCTATGCAACTTACAATTCGACATAAATCGCTATGATGGGGCCAAAGCTTTATGTCTACGTGCTGAAGACATGATATTTCTCGATTACTCTGCAAAATACTGGGCGATTCATTTCCGTGAGCTGCATATGAAACTCCAAAAAGACAAGACTGAATTAATACTGAAGATATGTGACGTTGAATCAGAGCACTGTCAGATGTGGTTGGAAACTTATTGGACAAGCACGAATACCGAATATCCCCAAGGATTTACGAGCCTTATGATTACAGCTTATTTTGGATTGCAAACAGCAGTCCAATACTTCCTTAATGATAAAGTTGACATAAATTCCCAAGATTACACATACCAGCGGTCAGCGCTATCCTGGGCTGCAAGAAACGGCTTTGACACGATTGTCAAGTTATTGATTTGGGACACCTCGTTTAGACAATGGCCCATCAGCTTTCTGTGGAGGAAAAGGGTCAAAATCGATCAAGTAGACATATACGGCCGAACACCGTTATCATATGCCGTCTGGAATGGAAGCACAGCCATAGTCGAGCTACTGATTAACGCAGGTGCACTGGTGCATCTAATGGACGAATTAGGCGGCACTCCAATATCCTATGCCTATTTTGGCAAAAACGAACGCATAATTCATATTCTACTTCGAAAAAAAGATCAACTTGCTATGAAAAATGATATCCACAATCTGCTGTTCTCAGCTGCGGTAAAAGGCCATGAGGAGGTTGTCGAACTACTGCTAAAGACAAGTAGGGTCAGTCCGAATGCGAGGAATATGAGAAACGAGACTCCTTTGCTATGCGCTGCAAAGGGAGACCACGAAGCGGCAATAAAGGTACTTCTTGAAAGAGGAGCAGATCCGAACCATCGTGACAATTTCAATCAGACGCCCTTACTTTATGCCGCAGAGAAGGGCAATGTGGCAATAGTAAATGCGTTACTTGGCAAAGGAGCAGACCTGAACTACAAAAAGGATGGCGATAAGACACTATTGCTCTGTGATATAAAAGGAGAACGCCAAAATTACCAAATGGATGTCGGTGGGACACCATTGCTATGTGCTATTAAGGGAGGCCATGAGCAAATAGTGAGAATTCTACTGGAAAAAGGAGCGGACCCGAACTCCAGAAATATTGTCGGTCAGACGCCTTTGCTAGATGCTGCAGCGAGGGGTAGTGTAGCAATCGTAAAGGCATTACTTGACAAAGGAGCAGACCTAAACTACAAAATTGGTACCAGTGGGACACCATTGTCGCATGCTATAAGAAGGGGCCATGCGGAAATAGTGAAGATTCTACTTGAAGGAGGAGCAAATCTTGATCGCATGTCTCTTTTCATTGCTGCGAAACATGGCCAAGAGGTAGTAGTGAAGGCATTGCTTGAAAGAGGAGTAGATCCAAATCGTCAAGATTGTTTTAATCGATCATCACTTTCATATGCCGCGCAGAAGGGTTATACGGCGGTAGTGAAGATACTGCTTGAGGGAGGAGCGAGTCCAACTCATCATGATCGTTTTGATCGATCATCACTTTCATATGCCGCAGGGAAGGGTCATACGGAGGTAGTGAAGATACTGCTTGACGCAGGAGCAGATTCAAGACCGCAGTTTCACATACAGCGAAAAAAGCCATAAGATAGCATTGAAATCATTGCCAAAGAGGGAACAGATTTGGCAACGCTCCAGCTCTGGGCTGAGGAGCAGGGCCATAAAGCTGTCGCGAGAGTACCCATCTGAGAGAAGAGCGGAGATGAAACGCGTAGATGAGAGTACTACTAGTATCACTACGACTATGGTGATTGTGTAGCTACCTTGTTCTTATATACGAATACTAATGTTATTGCCCAGGATCGAGATGAGGTCATGGAATGAGAATTAATGATCAAAGGCGGATTACTTTCTTTGAGAATCGTCGGAAGTCTCCAAAAGCTCGAGCAAGGTTTCTTCATTGTAATGCTGGCTACAGTAGGCACGACTCTGAAGATGAGAGACGCTCGTGTCAGGCTAAAGGTTTTCATGTCTCAATTTTTCTGTCAAGAAAAAAGCGTATAGATATAAACATATTTCCTAGTTCCAGATTATGGGCGAATAATAACAAAGGGGCAATAAACTTTAAATTCTTATGTTGAGTAAGAAAAAGCCCCAGTTATAGTTCCACGTCTTTGCTGCAGGAAGCAAGATGCTATGTGTCTTGCGTAATGATTTTTGTGCTAACAAACTTACCCTTGAGAAGCTATTATAGACCCCGGGGTAAGTAGAACAATATCACCATTCGAGTCTCGAACCGTAGCTAAAGTTGACTGTCCGGCAATAGTGTTCCTTGCGATCATTCGAAAATCCAATCCGTAGCCCGTTGACTGGAGTCGAGCAAGTGTTGCATTGACGTCTACAAAGAAAGAGATGAGGAAGAGGCCTGATTCGGGCTGATGGGCAGAGTCGACGGGGCCAATGGGAACACCTCCTTCGACAAGCGTTCAGTTCGACTGATCCAGCAGTTGTGTCTGGATTCTGTGAGTTACCGAGGCTCACAGCTCGCAAAGAGTTTGTTTTCGCTCCCAACAGGGTTTCCCAGTCCATCTCAACTGTTACATCGGACAGGAAGTTCAGGCCGATCCCGTGCTGGCAGAATTCCATGCTTGCTGAGATGTTATGCGTAACAATAGATGTGTGATGAATTGCCAGATGAGCTTGGGGCGGTTCGGCTGTTAATAATATCATACTACTGGAAGAGAAGGACATGGACAGAATCACTGTTGGGGGACACTTGCCCCGACGTCCCCGAAGAAGGAAGGAAGGAGACCTCGTCATAGTATATAGCAGCCCCTCGATCCCGTATCATACAAAAGACAAGCCTTTTGATCCTACATCTTCGTATCTTACGTGACTTCGTAGTATACGTCCAGGACCTGGCTCCCCTCTCCTCCGACGTCACCCATGACCTACGACAATCACCATCTTGACAGGCACAGAACGGCAAAATGCCGAACAAACCAATCAAGAGAAAGGAATACCTGTCATTGGAATCATGTCGCTAATGTGCTTTCTATTCATAAAGGAAAGGTATTATAGAAAATGTAATAATGAGAGCGATATTGCCTTGCTTGTTTGAACTCAACTCAAGAGTACGATTCCTTCTCATAGGATTGTACCTCAATTATACGCGATCATTTGAGGTGGGAGTGTGTGGAACCAGCCTCACTCAACGTCCCGCTGATAACGCTGAATGCTTGTTCAAGACTGCCATAAAGGGCAAATAAAGTAACCTCCCCACAAATCAAGGCACGTTGATCCATTTTTCAATATAGATTGGCTGATTCCACGCTATCTCCGTACAATTGTGAGAGATGCTGACATAATTTTCAATAGTCTGTTTTCGATCTCATGTTATCTCCGCAAAGCCGGAGACCATTACTCTCTATATTGGCAGCTCAACGTTTAGCTGGCACAGCGATGCCAGTGTATGTAACTGAAACATAAGTATATGATAGATTTTTGTACAAGAAATAAAACGGAAAGCCATTATACATGGATTTAGGCGGAGATAACTATTCAATATTGAGGACCCGCTGTCAAAATATGTGATCGTTTGATGGAGCTTGAACTCTACAGAGATGACGTTACTTGATAGGTAGAGAAGTATTGGTAGCCCAAGGTCTTGGATGTTCATTTGATAATAAATATATAAGGGGCCCCTACAAAGAGAGTCTTGCTCATGGAAGCTTCTCCAGAACAAACCTCATCAGCCAGCTTCAACGCAAACAACAATCAACGAATCGTCTTACAAAATGTCGCCTATCAAGTTACCTCTAGCTGGCAAGACAGCTCTTGTCACCGGTGGCATTAGGGGAATCGGCCGAGGTATTTCTCTAGAGCTCGCCCGTCGAGGTGCCAACGTTGCCATGGTCTATGCCAACCCCAGCCGTCAAGATACAGCACTGGAAGTTGTCAAAGAAATCCAATCACTTGATTCTGGCGTCAAGGCTGTGAGCATTCAGGCGGACTTGAAGAAATTTGACAATTATCAAAAGATTGTCGACGAGACGCTGCGGGAACTCCATGTCAAGAACATAGATATTGTTGGTATGAATAATCTTGTCTCGATAGATGCAAAAGCCGTATTGAATAAGCTAATGACAGAACAAAATGACAGTTCACAATGCGGCCTTTGCTTCACCGATTTCAACGGAAGATACGACGGAACAGGTTTTCGACGATACCATGGTTACCAACATTCGAGCGCCATTCTTTCTCACCCAGACGTTGCTTCCGTACATCCCTCAAGGAGGGCGCGTGATCCTTATTTCATCCATTGCGGCTAGGCGGTTCTCATTTGGATTGCATCAAACGGCTTATGCCATTAGCAAGGCAGCTGTCGAGGCGCTCGCCAGGAACTGGGCTGTTGAAGTAAGTTTGCACATTCCACTTGCTCCCTCAATAAGTGGTGGAAACCTAACACGAGTATCAGTTTGGACAATCTCGTGGTATCACTGTAAATGGTAAGTCTACTATGCATAACCAACTTCAACTACGTCTTATGCTAACTGGCGAAGCCTTATCTGTTGGATTTGTCGAGACAGAATTGGTGCAGAGTCTCTCTCCTGAGCATCTTGAAGCATACCGCAAGGAAAACGCGCGAGTTACGGCAGCAGCCCCAAGGAGTGGAACTCCGGATGATATTGCTCAGATTGCTGCCTTCATCGCCGGCGAAGAGTCTCGCTGGATTACCGGCAGCACGATTTCGGCCAATGGCGGAAAGTGGCCAATCTAAGTTGGATACTGTCCCTCTTATACTTTGCTTTCCAACAAGGAATACGTGTAGTTCGAAGCCTACTTTCGATGATTGCTTCTATGTCTCATATAACAAAGCGACAACTAGATCTCTGTAGTTGAGGTCAATAGATTGAAGGTTTATTTCTGAGTGTAGAATGCAATTTGGTGATAGTAGTACCCGAAGCAAAGTATGAAACCAAGTCTTACAATCTCCTATCTTGTCTGTGGAATCACGTAATACGCTTCTTCTTGCGTGTCCATATCTGCCATGGATATATTAATGGCAGACATCCATCTCGTCGCAAACGTCCCCACTACGTAACCGAACGGGATGTAACTTGGGGGATCTGGCTTTAATCCCTTTCGAGGCCAAACGAATTCTTTCCGTGCTCACCACCAATAAAGCCTCCACTTTGGCGGCGGTGAGACTAGCCGGTAATTAATTGCCATTGGAAGTTGGTCTTGTAAAGAGTATAGCATAGTCGTTATTGGGAGCTTGTCATAAATATTTTACATGTATAGAAGTCTTCGTCGAACTGTATTTAGCCTATATGCCAAGTATAAGGAAATGCCACCTACAATGTCAAGTTTTTGTATACAGATCGCACCCTCTTCATAGCTATGTGACGCGACGATCTGAGAACGTGGCTAGGAAGCATTTGGGAAGTCAATCAAGATCCTCAACGGTGATGATTTGATTACAAGTATTGGTGATAGTATTTTTACTGTAAAGTATCTAGTTGCCGTTCTTGTGGATATATTATTTATTTATGCTGCCTATATAGCCGAAGTTGACATTTGGCGAATGCATACGCATGGGTTCGGAAAAGCGGAGATTGTCTCTCAAACTGTTGAACAAAAGAGTTTGAAAACTGTTCGCCAGCTCCTCGGTCCAACGGGTGCGATTCCAAGGAGTACTTCTGGGGAGCCTGTTTGGCTCGACAACGGGGGGCTCCATAGCTAGTGCTGCATGCTGCACGCTGTATTCTCCTGCACACTACCCCTTGTATGTGAGAATGTGAATGTATATATAAAGTAAATTTCGATTGTAAACTCAGTAGTCTATTCCGTAGAGGTTATGTGGTCAATTAGGATATATAGCTGTCATAAACGCTGATTTAGCCTAATTTTCTGGTGAGGATAAATAGCTGGGGAAAAGGAATACAACAGTAACTAGAACGAATTGAGGTTTTGGTATAACATAAGCTGATGAAAAGAGAACAGTTTGGATAATATACGTACGGCTAATAGTTGATACTTGATGCTATATAATCTCATATCTGCTCTGAATACCATTGTTGTGAGAGACAGCTAGCATCTTACATCACCGGCTTCTATAACTAAATTCCTATAACAAGTCTCTCATTACAAAAGAAAGATGCCGTCAATAAAGAATTCCATCGCCCTTTTACTGGCCCAAGCTCTTTTGGCTACTAACCAGGCGAATGGCGCGATCGTCAAGCGACAGTGCCCGGGCATTCACGTCTTTGGAGCTCGTGAAACGACAGTACCGCCAGGATATGGCTCCTCTGCCACTGTTGTAAACTTGATCATTGCCGCCCATCCCGGAACTACCTCTGAAGCTTTGAGCTACCCAGCTTGTGGTGGCCAGTCTTCTTGTGGCGGTGTCCAGTACAATGCTTCTGTTGTAGCCGGCATCAACGCCGCAGTCACGGCAATCGACAACTTCCACAATTCGTGCCCAGATACTCAGCTAGTGTTGGTTGGATACTCGCAGGTGAGTCTCTCTCTTTTACTGAACATTCAAACTATCAGTTCTAATATGTAATATGAAAGGGTGGCCAAGTCTTTGACGATGTAGTGTGCGGAGGGGGTGACCCTGGCGAGGGATACGGCAACACTGCTGTTCCCATCTCCGCATCAGCAGCCGCTGCTATCAAGGCCGTCATCTTGATGGGAGATCCTCGAAACATTGCCGGACTGCCATACAACGTTGGAACCTGTAAGGCTGGAGGTGTAAGTATTTACCATGCCGTATTACTGACCCCCTTTCTAATCTTGCTGCGTTTGCTCAGTTCGATGCCCACAATGCTGGCTTCCAGTGCGCCGCTGCGTCCAAGGTCCAGTCATACTGCGATGCCGCAGACCCTTACTGCTGCAACGGAAACGACCCCAATACTCACCAAGGCTACGGCACAGAGTACGGCTCGGTGGCTCTCGCCTTTGTCAACAGCAAGCTCTCCGGCGGCGGCGGCAGCGGCCCGACGTCGACGAAGCCCTCAGGCCCGACCAGCACCGGAAGCTCTCCCACCGCAACTCAAACTCAGTACGGACAGTGCGGCGGTATCGGCTACTCTGGCCCTACTGTCTGTGCTAGCGGCTTCACTTGCAAGGTCCTGAACTCTTACTACTCTCAGTGTTTGTAGAGAGCGTGAGAGCGGGCTGTGGAGCAAGGGTTACGAGGTAGCCCTTGGCTGTATTTAGGATTCGTTCTTGGAACAAACACACAGATAGAATGCACACAGATAGTCAAAAGCACATAAATTGATTAGTCAAGACAAGACCCTTGTTTGCCTCCGAATTGAAGAGGGGGCAACTGTTGTGTCAGCCTTTAGCCAGCCCTCTCAGTTCCGTCATCCAACGCCGTAAGTTTAGCTTCATGGGTACCTTTATCTACATGTATCTTAAATTAGTAAGTAGTAAAAGAAGAGAAAGGCAAAAGAGAGTTTGGCTCTACGTTGTGGAGTTTCTACTTCGAGCGTGAAGGGGGACCAAGCTGAGACTCAAAGGGATATAGCAGATCACGTATTTTGTATACACGATACGCTCAGTGTCATTGCAATGTAAGAGGCTCTAAATTTACAGCAATATTCTCTTTAGGATATTTTATGTGCGACACTCGCAAGGTAGAATAGAATTGAGCGTTAGTACTCAATCTAGGGACTGAGCGGTATTGCCACCATGAACTACCTATGTTATATTATGACGTTGCCTAGGTGTTTGTCTCCCATAAGAGTCCCAGATCAACCGCTCGAAGAGCATTACCATCTCTTCATCAAGAACATGTAGTATCAGGCTCGTAGGCCACTACCCAGTCGCCACCACCGATCTCGTGTTCAACCAGCTTAATGTACGGGTTTCGTTTATTAAGACCTTTGGCAAATAGCACCCTAGCATAAAGCGGATCGAACACAAATGTTGTTTCACCAGTCTCATGGTTTTTCTTCTCTGCTGTAGCTGTAAACTCGTCGATGGAGATATACTCGTCTGGGCCTGATACAAATGCGTTTTCGAGTTGCTGTTTTATAAGCCCTGCAGTTTCAGCACTAAGCCGGGTATCGATAAAGTATAACACAGTTTGGCCTGCCGCTGCTACATATGGAGTATCTGGCGCTATAATCTGGGGACCAAATTCCGTGTCGATGAAACTTGGTGTATAACTGCTGCCTCGATATTCCTCTTGGTAGGTTGGCGAACCCTCATATGGTCGGAATGGGTTTGCACATGCAGCCAAACCGAATAATAGCGTGTATATTTTGTTCATCGTAAGACAAGTTGTTTATAGATTCTGTTTGCTGGCTCAAGGTGCGCTTTTCTGTATGTTTTGTTCGCAATCTGCTGGGCACTTCGATGGTAGGCATATCAACAAATGAATGACTACCATGACTTGGAATCTCTCATTCTAGACTACATGCAACTATTTATATGATAGGAACCCCCGCGGTAGTTGGGAGGAGGCAAACACGACAGGCTGTGTTCTGTGCTCTCGCGGAGGGATGGACTACAATCTTGTTGGGGCTGTCACTTGTACAGGATAAGTTACGAGAACGTAGCCGGCGATTTAAAGCACTTGGCCTTGATCCCGATGACGAAATAGGATACATGTATGCTACAGTACTTTTGTCCGTGAGGGGCTGTGCTCCTGATACGTTAACCCTGCTACCAACAGGCTCTGCTTCCAACAGCTCGAGGCGGGCAACCATGCGAGTACAGTAATATGACTCGATCCTGTATCACATGTGGCGATCCCGCCCAAGCACATGCTTCGCCGCGTGAGCTAGAAGGGGTCTATTGCGCAATGAGGAGTTGGTTGGGCACCATCTTTGGCAAGACTCATATCTGATTACAAAGAACTGCACTCAAACTTGGAGGTGGAATAAATAATAATACTACGCTCGCAAGTATCTCACCTTCAACCACACTATGACAAAAGTGGCCTTATTTATATACATGAGTTCTCTCAAAAAGGCTAAGAATAAGAAAAATCACACCATGTCTGCCACGCTAGCACCTAGCAATAGGGGGAAAGCCTCGTTTTATCACTTCAAAGAGAAAAATCATCTCTAATCTGCAGACCTCCATCCTCCCTTTCTATACCCTTATGCAGCAGGCCACCGCTACTTTTACCACTTCGTCCTTCTTCTAGTCAAAAATCTTCCCTCGAAATCACTCTTTGCTCTGAGAATCTGTGTCTGGTGCTCGATTCTACACTTTCATCAGTAAAGATGTATTCGTCTAGAAGCGCCGCCATTGCCCGCTCTATTTTTCTCTCGTATATTCTGTAATTTCAGCATTGTATCAGGTGTCGATGAAGTATAAACTATTCTGGCTTGATGCTGCGACATATGGTGTATCTGGTGCCACAATCTGAGGACCGAACTCTTTGTTGATAAATTTGGCGGGTAATTGCTCCTGTATTCCTCTCTCTAGGTAGCTTTGCCTTCACATATTTGAAATCTGCAGACAAGTATAATAAGGAATAGCGTAAGGAGCATTATGATATCGTATGTATTTTGCTGTGTGTTCTTTCTTTTTCAACTCAGAGACTAGGCATGCAATGCGCGAAAGATTGCGACGTGGAAAACCTTCGTCCCAATCTTACTAGTATACATATTTATACGTTTTGAAGAAGGAAACACAGCAAATGAACTTATGTAAAAGTATCGACTTCAGCCGTCCAACGTAAGGAGGTGGATACGTCGAACAACAGCTGCCTTCCATGTTTCAAGTGATGATAGCGTATATGTCTTTCAAGAAAACTCATGTTGCCCTTCAACCATTCGCCTGTGAGAAGATGGAAAGTAACGAAGCACTCAGGTCACAAGTAGGCTGTCATGAAAAATATGTGGCCAACACAAATACTGGATACCTATTGGCTCGCATTTCACGATCTTAGCTAAGCAACCCAAGCCCACGTTGTTGGTTGTATGAGTTCAAATACATACTACATCCTCGTACCCTGATGTTCAAGGACACGTTTGCTGAACCGACTTTGCCCGAGTCTCCCGAGAAACAGTTGGTGCGAGATGTTCTTCATCATATACTGTAGATTCAACTTAGACTATGTATACACTCCATACCAAAGATGTATGACCTTCTATACCAGATGATAACTGAGCCATAAAGTCAGACTGCCAATACCGATCAGCGATTGTGGCAATTTAGAAACAGCAATGGGTATTGTATTGCCCTTTGATCCGTCCAATCAGCACAAAGAAAGAATGAGACGAGAATTCGGAAATATTTTGTAGCGACCCTGTTACTGAGATCTTTGGAGTAAACAACAGCGAGAGATGGGTTATTAGTATCCAACCAATATGACTTTTGCATCAAATCAATCAAGCTACATGTACATACCTCGATTATAAATGATTAGGCTGGGCCAATGAGCTTCAGCTTATTCTCAGCCGCGTGGGGAGAGGCAATGCAGTTGTGCTTTATGAAGAATATATGCAGGATTTCACAAGCATCACGTGAATTACATGTATTTAAGCAATGTTTGTGTGTATTGGGCACCAACACTCTTTACTCTGTCTCAGTAACGAATACAAGAAATGGCTGACACGGGCCATTCACGAGCGGCAAAGGGTCGGAAGAGATTTTGTGATCTATTCAAGCGATGGCCTCGAGCAACCTAGCAACCTCTTCATCCACTGCTCCAACTTCTAAGACTCTGGCTCAACTTTCAAGTTCGCAGTTTCCACTGCCTACATTGACCTCTCCACCATCGTCGGGCCCTCCTCAATTACCAGCACCTTCTTCCCCCCCGTCTTTGGAAGTGCCGAAACCACTCTTTTCAGGTCAAAAGTCCACTAGGTCATTGACTATTTGGGAGGAAGTTCTCTGTAAAGTCAACAAAGATACTGAAGAATGGATTCAGAAACACGGGCTCAGTTGCCTGGCTTCGGTAGTAGAAAAGCCAGAAGATCAGATAAAACAGCTTATTGATCTTATTGAAAAGAAAAAAAAGAAGTTTGAGGATAAGGACTCGCCAATGAAGATCAAGATTGGCAATCAAGAAATCATTTTTCGAGCATATATTGCCGATGTCATCGGTTTCCTTACCTTCGCTGGAGACGTTGCCATGAACTTCGCGCCGCCACAAGCAAGTGCTCCTTGGGCTGCCGCAAAGGCAGCGCTGAAAGTAAGTAGTGCTTACATGCGTGATATAAACGAAATTTATAATGTTAATCATTTCTCAGATCCCAATTAAACAGATTGAGCAAATGGCTGCCCTTGCTGGAATAATTCAGCTGTTCACTCGTATTGTCCGCCGAGGTCAGGTGTATAAGATATTATACGACAACGCAATATCAAATAAAGATGGGACCATATCAAACTTGCGCAGCATTCTTATTGACTTATACGTTTCAGCTATTGAGCTGTTGGCCCGATGCGATATTCTGATTGAGAGCGGAGTAGTCAAACAGACGTTGAATTCTATTCTCCGACCGGAGCAAGTCTCAGACTTCATCTCGGATCTCTCTCGAAAAGAGCAGATATTGTCATACGAGATTCAAAGTTGCGAAGCTTTACGAAATGAAAAAGCTACAAAACAACTAGACAAGAAGCTAACAACATTATTAGCAAGACTCGATGTGACTTCATCGCCAATGACACAAATTGACGAAGGAGTCGCCAAACTACTTGAGAATGTTAACAATGAGAATAATAAGCTAGAGAAGCTTATGGACTTTATAAGCTCTGAACAATTCGGAAAAGGCCACGTTACAATGAAAGATACAAGAATACAAGGTACAGGCGATTGGCTTATAGACCATGAAAGCTTTCGAGAATGGCAGGCTATTGCTTCGTCATCAACACTATTATGCCTCAAGGGAACAGGTTAGTTACTTTTGACTCTGGAGTCTTACTCAGTCTAAGTATCAAAACTAATTCGCATCGTTTCACATCAGTCGGCACCGGCAAAACCTACCTCACATCTCGTGTGATCGATCGTATGATACAAACATTGGAAGCATCTACCCATGACGAAGGATTTGCCTTTTTCTATTGCAACCGATCTGGATCGGCCATGCAAGATCCACTTATTGTCCTCCGAAGCTTTGTTCGTCAGCTATCCTACAAGGCAAACAACTATGACTATATTCAGAGCAACGTCATCCAAAGATGTGAAAAAGCAAAACAAGAAGGGAGAAGCTTAAGCTATACAGACTGCAAAGACCTCATCTTGAAGTCCATGAATCTCTATTCAAAGACAACCATTATCCTCGACGCTTTAGATGAATCCGACATCTCATATTAAACCTAGCAGAAATTTTCATCGATATGATGGATAAAGCTAGAAAGCCCGTCAAGATATTTATACCGAGTAACCCAGATCGAGAATTCCTAGAGGCATTCAAAGACCAGGATACAATCAAGATTGAAAGCAGCAACCAGCAAGGCGATATTGAGAAATATCTTGATGAAGCCCTGTATTCTACAAAATTCTTTGGGAAGAGACGACTGGAGATTCAAGACTTGATAAAGGAAACATTCAGTACCCGAAATGGTGGGATGTGAGTTTAACCCGAGGTATAATTTGCTACTGCTCACCTACATACTGATTGAAGTGTACTAGGTTTCGATGGGTCTATCTTCAGACCAAAAGTCTTCAAAAATGCGTCTCTAATGATGCAATAAGAACATGGGCCAAGACGATACCTCATGATTTGATGGCGGCTTACGATCGGCTCTGGGAAGATCTAGCGAACCAACATAACGAAAGCGATATGGTACTCGCCGAGCGTGCCATTAAGTGGGTGCTGTGTGCTTTCAGACCACTAGAGTCAGGAAATCTTCTGGAAGCAATAAGGTTTGCTCACGAGGAAGATTGTTTAATACAAAGTGAACTGCAGACAGAGCAAGAAATCTTGACACTTTGCCAAGATTTTTTAACAGTTGATGCAGAGAAAAAAGTGTGGATGCTGCCACATGCTTCTGTTGCCGAATATTTCGAATCAAGGAAATCAAGGGGCATGAGTTTGGGGGAATGTGACGCATTTCTTTCCAAAATTCAACTCGAAGTTCTTATGGCTCCTAAGCTGGAGCTACCTTCCACCCTAGACTACAATGATGACTTCGTTTCGATCAAGCTGAGCGAGTTCGACGGCCTACTCTTGTTCAAGCGCTACATTCAGAACAACTGGTTCAAACATGTCCAGCGCTACGACAAGTGGCTGGGCTCATTGGAAGACGCATCTCATGCAACAAAGCTCACGGCTACTCTTAAGCGCTTCCTTGGTTCGCCTGGAGAGAGCAGTGTTTATTACAGAAGGTGGATGAACAGCCGAAAGTCATGCAGGATAGAGCCAGCCAATATGGCCATTTCCATGATGTGCCGATACGGATTTTACTATACTTTGCGCGGTTGGTGGGAAAAGGACAAAATCGACCAAAAATTGGCTCTTGCAGAATGTAAAGGGAATGTGGAGGACAGCTACAAGCCTGACTTGGTACATGATTCGCTAGAAGCTACAGTTGCAGGAGGATGCATAACAATTTGCAGATATCTAGTGAGCGCCATTGGGGCAACTAAATCACAGCCGGGGACATATTTCCGCGCGGCGGCAAGAGCGATATATGAGTGCGAAAAAGGTATCGTCAGACTCTTCGTGGAGGAAGTAAAGGTCGATTTAAACGACTTATGGGTGAACTCAAGAGCCACACGTACTTTGGCCCAATACGCGGTTATATCTGATCGGACTGGTAGCATGCTGCAGTTTCTGGTGGATCAAGGGTGGGTGGCCGTGAACCGACAGGGTGGCTCGCTCTGGGGTAATGTCTTGATCGCGGCAGCAAACTGCGGACGTCTTCAACAAGTTGAGATTTTGCTACGAGCCGGAGCCGATGCAAGGATTCCTGCGGAAAGTGGTGAATACGGGAGTGCTCTCATCGCAGCAGCAGCTCCTTTGATAAAGATAGATCATCTTACGAGACAATTATCGTAGCACTGCTCGACAGTGGTGCAGACGTCAACCAAGTCCCAAATGATGGGCAGTACGGCAGCGCTTTGGAAGCGTTCATCTGGCGCACGTTCGACGGGAGCCCATCAACCACCGGCTTGCCGCGCATACCGATTCTGAAGCTTTTGTTGGAATCTGGAGCCGATCCTGCAATGACCTGTAACATCGGGCAACACGGCAGCGCACTTGCTGCCGCAGCATTCTATGGAATGAAAGATTTGTTGGTGATGATGATTGATGCCACTGGCAAGGAGCGGGCAATTGAATGCCTTCAACACAGCAGGCACCCCTCGGAGATAAAACAGGACGGGAGCAACGATGATGAATTCGAAACATGGGTGAAGAATGTAGCAGAAACTACAGCATATCTTGCCGATGAAGTGGGTGTGGACAAGAAAACGCTCCGTAGGATTGGCATACAAGGTGTCAAATACAAGTGGCACGGAGGAGATGGGTATTACAGAGTCGATGAAGATATGACTGATGGGGCCATATACGGCAGGATACGTGCTAGAAGAAGACGATGGGGCAGGTAAAGCACCTACCTACCTACCTACTACCTTAGTATGCAATCATTTTATTATACTCACCATGCTGATGATTTACAACCTAGGTACATCACCGCACATCAACCTAGGTACACTTACAAGACTCTTAAGTTGATGCATACTAGTAGGCTCCATTTGAGATAAGCCTCTAGGATTTGATATATGTGCTCGAGAGTTACAGTCTATACGGTGGAAATAGAGCTCGTTGGGCGTAATTTCTTCTTACCAAGCTTCGGGGCCTTGCTGTGTGTGAGAAGGATAGAAGGATACATGTATACAGAGTGCTAGAAGTTCAAGTGCTTCGCCCATGGTCAATCTCACTGAAAGTGCTTCACGTGATCTCCATCAACCTCTCTCCAACCTCCGACTGACAGGCTCCACCGCCAAAGAAGACACGCCATGCAAGCTGCACCATCCCTGTCGCCCAAGCCACAAGCTTTCAGCCATCTAACATTACTTACGCAGCGCCATGGCGAGGACCTGGTTCCAATTGTCTGCCTGATTTGAGGGAGTGCTGAGAGCTGCGAGCCGCAGCGAGGATCTGCTCTTCGCCAGCATTCTGCATATATTGCATGTATATCACATCCACCTTTTGTCTTCTCTTCTTCAACGTGAGCGTTTTCCTCCAGGCATGTGTATTGACACTACGGAGCTGCTAGTGCTCTAGATCCACTCTGTGTCGATACTACCCGCTCACGAATACCGTACGATTCCGCTTCTCCATCCTACTGCATTGCATTAGCTATTGCTTGCGCGCTTGTTTGGCTTCATCGCTCTGCCATTGTTGCGGCTACAGCGACTCACAATTCGTCAAATCCGTATCATGATCTGATCAGCTACAAATAACCCGAAAATCGCCATGGCTCCAGCTCGCCGAGGCCAGCCGTCTGCGCTCTCCGTCCCTCCTCCCGCTTCTTCCACCGCGCTCGTCGATCTGCCGCCCATCTCTGCGCTGTTCCTCATTGACTTCGACGTCAAGGCCGGCTACACAATTGCCTGGAAACAAGCCATCCCGGGGCTCGAACTCGAGGGTCTCGTCGAGTATAAGTCGCTGCCGTCCGGCCTGCACACCGTCTCCGACGATCTCATCTACTTTGTTCACGATGGCGCGCATGCTGGCTTGAGCGCATTTGTCAATGAGCCTTGCGAAGAAGAAGGGGCTCGTCATGCTCGTATGATTTCCGTGGGAATTCTTGTTCCTTTGAGCTATGGAAGGCTGGGGCGTGCATGGAGACATGCCGATAACTTGAAGCAGATGGCGGCGTAAGTAGTAATCCATTCGGCACATTGTATAACTGGACCTGGAGCTAAGTAAGATGTTGCCATACAGGACCCTCGTCAAGGATCGCAATCAAACCGAAATACTTGAAAAATACTGGAATACCAACAAGGCTAAAGAGGGAGAGACTTTCTCAACTACCGCCACACCTATCTCTCCAATACCAGACCCGTTGAATAAGGCTCACAATCGAAATTCATCTCTCACAGATGGCGTTTCGCTACTCCAGCCTGAGCACAAGCTCTCTCCTTACCATCCTGCATGGAGCCTCCCCGAGCTGCTGGACAGGTTCGGGCCCTTGATTTTCCCTATCCATCGAGCCGCCTTGCTTCGACAACGCATATTAATATCGTGCCATGCTCCGGTACATGAGATTTGCAACTTTGGTAGGCAGCTTCCACCAGTTCCATGGAAATTCAGAGACTGACAAGCTCCCAAGTATATAACATCTCCATCTTATCCAATATTCCACTTTCCATCACAGACTCGCTACCTACACCTGCTCCACCTCAGCGTCTTCGGCCTTTATTCAGCATTGGCGTTCATGATATCTCGTTTCTCATGGATGATCTAAAGGCATCAAAGCGTGACCGCAGCGATGAAAATGCCGTCGATGATGCCGACGAGTCAGGCTCCGGGTGGATAGCCTGCACCACTGATAGCATCCTCGCAACCAAGGACACTCTCTGGGATATGCTCATCACGATGCCCCCCGACTACTCTGCAAATGCCAAAGAGAAATCTTGGCCGATTGTGGAGTGTCCTCGCGGAAGACCAGTCAAGGCTACTCAGCGTGATCTGCGTCGCTTCAACGCCCTACGTACAGGTCTCGCACGCTTGGCTGCAAGCCCACCCACCCCGACTCCAGGTCAAGATCCTCGATCCCCCGAATCTGAGACTTCAGCAGTGAGGCTATCTACAAGTCATTCGGCCCGGCTAGTCAAAGAAGAACCATACGGAGCTACTGACAATCTCGTCGAGCCCCTCACCTGGGCGGCTTTTGCCTATAATGGCTTCATGTGGTGGGCTAGCGCTGGTGAGCAGATTCGCTCAGAAGAACAAGAAGAGTCAACTCGCGACTCGGCTCTGCTCGCCGATCTATTATCCCCAAGCAGCCCCAGAGTTGGTTCCATGTCGATACCCCCGCCTGCTCCATCGCCGTCACAAACAGAGCTACTCAGCAACTCAATCGCCTCTCTCGCTGGCCGCCGCTCAAGTACCGACGGAGAAGCCAACATCGAGTTGGCCATCATCACCTATTTCCACCGTCTCACCACGCAGATGCTCTCTGTTTTGGTGGATATTGTCGACGCTGCTGATGAATCATATCGCGACAACGACGACAGCGGAGATGCCGATGGAGATGAGGATGAAAGCGAGGGCTTAATCCCCAATGAGAGCGATGACTCCGACCCTGCCATTACCATAGATAGCCGGTCCATTGAGAATATGGGCCTCGATGTATGGAGTGCCAGCGATGCTTTCTTTGTACAGGAGCTTGTTGCCGTGTATTTCGGCAGACAGGCCGCCATTGAAGGAAAAGGGGTTGAGGTATGCGGCGTACGAGTATGTTGAGCCAAACCATTCCCTTTCTCTCTTGTTTGTTTCATTCTTATTCTTTTTTTTATATCTTGCTTTGACGAGATGGCTTGAATGATTCATCTTATGATTACCTATGGGGAATGAAAATGAAGGCGAAGGAGTAATCTCTGGCGATAATATATTTCCACGACGTATATAGATGTAGGAGTAGTAGTAGTTACAACAGGTGTTCACACACACGCATTTACATGCAACGAAAGCACAAATTTCTCAAGATATTTTTCTCTTTTTGTTTCCAATTTACATTGCATTGTTCCTCATAATGTGACTCTACGGTAAAGCTAGGTAATACAAAGTAAAACAACGAAAAATCAACATAAAATTAAATCCTTATGCCATGTGAAAAAGAACTCCACGCCGTCGACAAGATGCACGGCTACCCAACCCAGTCATGTCAGTTTTCCTTGCCGCAACACACACACGCATACATCTGATGCAAGGTCAACCTCGAATGCTAATCTCTCAAAGTGTGAATGCTTTAAGGCAAGATTCTTCTCTTCCCTCACACTCTTTTAGAAATTTTTTTGTTCATTTCTTTTTTTTAGTCTAATGAAACACACTCCATGACAATTTTCTTGTCCAGGAGAAACCACTTCAGCTCTCATCTTCCGTATCAGTATTCGTGTCACTCGCGTCATCCTCCTCTTCATCTGTGCCGGACTCTTCGTCAGAGCTATCCTGCTTCCGCTTAGGCTTGGGAGCCTCGCCAGTAGGTTGGCCCTTGAGAGCCTGCATTTGCCCAGCAATAGAATCTGCATCCATCACATGTTAGCTAAAATCTTTCAAATGTCATGTTAGGGGTGTTAGAATGGCTAACCTTCTTCGGGTTCGCTGATTTCGTCTTCAGCCTCCATCTCAGCCGCCTTGCTAGCGTCTTCCACAACAAGGGTGACTTCCATCTTGGTATCGAAACCGACGTAAGAATCGCAGATGACGTGCATGCAGAAAGTGTAGTGGCCAGGCTGAGGAGGAGCGGCGAATTGAGCTTTGAGAGCTACCATGTTGAAAGTAGGCTTGCCGTCTTCGGTGAAAATTGGCTGATCAAACTTGTCAAAGGTAAAAGGAGGAACGGCCATCTTGTCCTGCTTGGAGTCACTGAGGAAGGCGTACCACTTGGGGGAGTGGTCTCGGGCGTAGTGGGGTGCAAAAGTCAAAGGTGGCAGGGCAGAGTTCTCCTCAACGGCGACGGGCTTGCCATCAGGGCCCTTGACAATCTTCTTCTTGCGGCCCAGAATAGCATCCATATCATCTTCAGCGGCATCGATATCTTCCAAGGAAACCTCATCGATAGCTGGAATGTTCTCGGTACCGGGAGGGATGAAACGGCCCTTGATGACCAGAGTGACGAGAGACGAAGGAATGATGACCTTTTCGCCAGTAACCTTGAAGAATGCCTTGGCAACACGGAAGAAAGGAAGCTGCTTTCCGACACTGATGGCTTCCTTGTACTGCTCTGCGGTAAGGAGATCCTTGCCAACAGCGAGTTGTCTTCGCTCGGCGTCGGGGCGGTCCATAAATTGCTGAACAGTCAGGTGGATTTTCGAATCGCCTTCAATGGCCGCGGCCACCTTGTCGTTGATGTGAGGGAGCTGGAGGAGAGGAGATGACTTGGGAGAAACTGCCTGGATGAGATGCTGGTTGGCCTTGAACGATCCTGCGATGGGGCCAATGTTGCCAAATGCCAATGCAATCGCAGCGAAAGACTGGTTCAGTTTACGGGCAATTGCGCCAACTTCGAACTTTGCCTTTGTCAGTGCAGGGTCATCGAGCTCGACGCGACCAAGATAGGCCCACAGTAAGGCAAGCACCTTGCGTCGTACGCCGCTGTCGAGGTCTTCGAGCTTTTCCTTATCCTTAGTAGAGAAACCGCATGCGAATGGTGAGCTTTCGCCCTCTGCTGAAATTCGAGACTCGATTTTTGAAAGGCCAGATTCGGCTTGGTCTCCCTTGAGGACGGCCTCGAATTCCTTGCCAGTGCTAAGAGCAGTAATAATACCACCCTCATCAATCTCCTCGTTGTAGTGTCTAAATAGGCGGTTGGCGCTTTCCATCAGGACGCCTTCTTTTGACATCCGCTTGGTACCATACCACCACGAGCCAACCAGATAGGGAAGCAGAATACCCATAAGACCGGTGTAGAGCAAAATCAGATATTTGCCGTTGCCCTCGGCGATGATGAACTGAGGTAGCGCAATGCCGATGCTGAAGCTCTGCTTACCATCGGGGTGGCCGTATTGGATGTAGTTGTTTCGTACATCCTCGTCCGTCAGGGCTTGGTAGGCTTTTGTGAGTTCAACGTATCGGTCGTTGAGCATCTCCAGAGTCTCGTTCTTGGAGGGGTCCGGCCTAACCTTGTCCGGGTGGAATTTGACGGAGAGTCTCTTGTAATGGGATTTGATTTGTTTTTCAGTAAAGGACTGCGCGTCACAGTAATGTTAGTCTTGGAAGCACTGAATAGTGAAGAGTACGTCGCTCAGCTCATTGCTCCAAGCCCCGCCATCCGTCTTTTTGCTTACCTCTGCGATGCCCAGAATATCGTAGGGATTCCAAATCTTGGGAACGATTCTCTGTGTGACAACAATAAGGTAGACCATGCCCGCCATGAGCGCCCATCCTAGAACAACGAAGATCGCCCGCTTAATCTTCCTCTGCTTCCTCTTCTGCGCCTTGCGCAGCGACGCTACGACATCGCCATGCTTTGTTTTGTAATCGGACGAGATGCGCGGCGCAAGCGCATCGTCATCGGTGCTTCGACGGAAAAGACTGTATGTCAAGGGAAGGGTGACCAGGCCGGTGACGGTCAAGATGAAGAAAGGGAAGAACTGGCCCTAAACAGTCGAGAAACATCGCGGTTAGCATCATCGTCCTCGGGCCCAGACAGCTCCAGCCCACCCTGCCAAGGCGAATTGCGAGGTGGCCAAAAGAGTTCAACAGAGCAAGAATTTGGCAGAGGGCAAACGTACCTGTTCATCGTACGAGTAGTCCGAGCTGCTCATTGTGACGGCCTCGAGGAGCTCAGCCGGCTCAAGGAAAATGCAAACACAAAATAATGGCCAACGATGCCAACTGGAGCGATTGACTGCCCTTCTCAAAAGTGTCCTTTGAATGATGTATAAGCGCAAGGCCAGCGGCGACGGGGCAGTGGATTATCCGGCTTCCCCACATTTCATGAGGCCAGATATAGAAAAAAATAGACAGGCGCCTTATCGCGCTAGAGTGGGCTAATCTGCGCTTTAGTGAGGTACCGAGCAGCTGCCGCAACCTTGCGAAGAACAGGTCCCCAAATGTGTCTGGGGGTTATTTCCGAATAGGCATGTCAATTGCTATTGTAAGACGCTGGAAATGGCATCTCGTGGAAGCACCGTGGAAGCGCATAGATGAAGCATACGTTGCAACAAATTCCATGCCCTTCTACTATTCCCTTAGTACTAGTACTAATACATTTCAAGGTATTCACATGTGATTATCATTTGCGACACCATCTTATTCAAACGTGTCCTTGGTCTAAATTTACAACAATCTCAAGCAATGCTCTGGTTATAAATCAATAAACTCCCTAAACAAATCTGTCTCCATCGCTGGCACGAATGGCTACTCGCATGATACACTCTACTTATGATACAATTATGCGTAAGCCCGCTTTCTAAAATCCTAGTCGCTGACATCATCCTTCTCTTCGCCGTCTTGCTGCAGTGGCGTAAGTTCAACCTCGTTGGTAAACTCGCCATCAGGATCTGAATCGTCCTCCGTCACTGTCGCCGAAGACGCCATCGCCATTTCCCCTAGCAAAATGCTTCTCAAGTCATCATCGCTATAAATCGATTGCATGCTTCCCCTCCTCGCCCATGGTCTTGTTTCTCTCCTCGCCTGATCTATCAGTCTCTCTATCTTGAGTCGGTTCGATATGAACTTGAGCTTGGGAAACGTGCTCTGTTGTCCCTCGTGTATCATTCGAGCAAGTCGCTCGGCATCAGGATCTGTCAAAAGGTGCCAGTAGTCTGAAGGTATGGATTTGGGCCAAATGGTGATTGTTCCACCAAATTCTTGCAGCCAAAGCTGGCTCCAGTCTTGTCCCAGGGGGCGTGGAAGCAGCTCTGCATGTCTGATAAACTTGAGCCACTTGTTCATGTCAAGTTTGAGGTAATGCTCAATCGCCGACATGAGATATCCGCCTCGCCAGCCACGGCCCTTGCGGTGAGTGACGGGGTGGCCAACGGCACCTCGTGAAGAAAAGAAAAAGAGGTTGATATGTGGGTTGACTTGGCTCACAACTGTAAAATTGACGTTGAAGTGCGTGTTCAGTGCTTTGATAGGGATATCCGTCCTTAAGCTGCCGTCTTTCCACTTATGGCCAAATGAATACGGCGCCAGTGTTCCATCACGCATCTTCATCATAAGCACAACAGGGTTGAGAATACCGGGAACCGCTGCGGATGCTAGTACGGCAGACCAAATGACGCAGTCGGGGCTGGTCAAGTAATTGCAGAGGATGGTTGGAGAGTGAGGATCGGCCGGCACGCAACTGACGTTGAGAATGCGACCAGTTCGCTCGTACGCCTCTTTAAATGTCATTGATCCCCTTGTAAACCATGAGCATCGCTTGGCCCAATCAACCGAATCGAAGCGAGCTCCAGTCTTCCACCATCTGGAGAACCACGTAGTTATCGGTTCGCCGCAGGCCGTTATTCGGTGCGCCAGCGCCGGCACTAGAAGCTGCTTCAGCTCATCGTTGGTATGGGTGGCAATAAGGCCTGCTATAAGGGCTCCTCCGCTGGTTCCAGTGATGACGTCAGGAAGTAGGTCTGCGTCAAGCATCGCTTTGACGACTCCAATGTGATAATATGCAAAAGTAGCTCCTCCAGACAAGCAGAGTGCTGTTCGCCCATAGTTGGCATGAATATGCTTAAACAGTATTCGTTTCTCGTCAGCTTCGAGCTGATCCGTATGGAGCAGGAATCGGAGGCTCTTCTCGACTAAAATAAAATTAGCCTCTCATCAGGAATCATTTCATGAAAACAGCAAAGTAGAGCTTACCATCGTCAACAAAATTTTGTACCAGATTCTTGGTTCCATAGTATGTTTGGCTGTAAAGTCTTGGATTTTCCACGCCAACAAAGTTATTCTTGACGCAAGCTTCCAATAGTGCCCTCAAGTCGTCAACGGCCTTTCTCAACTCTTGCCGGTTGCCGTTTCTTTCAAGTGCCTCGGCCTTGATCCTTGTCTTGCGTATCTGACCCCATACTCGCTTCACTGTCTTGGAATCATAGTAGGCGAAATCGTCGACCTCTCTCCAATTCTTTCGACCCAAAAACTCATCCAGCTCCTTCGCTGCTTTGACCCAGCCTTCATAGCTAGATGTTCTGCGCATATTCTTGCGCAATATTTCACGGCGACCTCGCCATGTAAAGAAATGTTCGTAGAACCAGATGTACCACCTTGTGGAGAGGTACGCAACGCTCAGTCCGATAAGCCACGAGAAGACGAAGAAAAGAAGCGGCCACTTTGATAGCAAGTATAGGTACCCCTCTCTGGTCTCATCTTTTGTCCTGGTGCCCAAGAGTCCCTCTACCGCCGCAGCACCTTTCCTCCGTTTCTTCGTGCCTCGTTTGCTTCGATAGAGACCAGGATTTATCGGGGCCCAGTCGTTCTGCGCCGTGACGAACGTGCCCGTAGTCGGTGTCGGTGGTACAGGCAGATCGCCTCCAGCAGCTCCGGCCGCTGCTGCGACAGCTGCGACGTCATCTTCTAAGACGCTGCCGGCCACCGAATCCCTCTTGGTCAGGTTGACCGAGCTGACGCTTCTGGGCGACTTCAAGCTGGAGGTGTCGTCGGTTGGGCTTTGCAGAGGGTCGGGCGCTTGTAGTGCCCTCTCGAACGCGGCCAGATCTTCGGGGTCGAGATAATCGGTGTCAATATTGGGCAGCGCAGACGGATCGAAGGCATCGCGAGGAAACCCGTACGAGTCGTCGTAGGGAGCGAGTTCAGGAAGAGGCTGCGCCATTGCGCCGACTGACAGGGTGATGCAGATGTAGATTCACGTCGTCTGGGAACTCATGCATTTCCAAAAGGCGTAGAAATAGCCAAAGACGGCTCGCCGACCAGTTATAGACTGCGCTTCGTGTGACCGAGACAAGAAGTCGTAAGATTAAAGTGCTGTCAAACGTGGTCCTTTGCGCCTCCAGATACGTATCGAGGCGGTCGGCGCATGACGTCTACGGTGGCTGATTACAGCGGATTTTGTTGGGACAAGTGGGGAGACTCCCTAATCTTTAGCGGAGGAGGCAATTAATTCAAGATGCGTCAATGATGGCAGGGTCCACATGGAAACTGCCACAACCGGTAGTGGCTGGATTAATTAACAGAGCGAAGTTGGCAAGCAGAAGAGTTGCCTGTTCCGTGCTACATACATGCTTGAATCTCTAAACCTATTCATATAGCATGTGAAACACAAACGCACGCTATTTTTTCAGCAACCTAGGTATACAGGAAATGTACAAAATGCTTCATGTTAATATCGTGTAACTACTTGCAGCGCTCAAATGCGCTAGAGGCAATGCCAGGGATCTCTCATGCACGACTTGCAGCCGCTGTCCGCGATGGGTCCCAGGCCCTGCGCTACGGTAGCTGTTCCTGCAGGCCGATGCTATTTCAGGCGACTGAGGCACTGCCGAGAAATGAACGTCGGGGAGTTCGTGTTCCTAGAAGGCCGTGTCATTTAAAAAGGGTTATATACTCCTTTCTTCTAGAAAGAAATTGAAGTCAGATTTATTAGAAGCCTAATATCAATTCTTTAATCACTGAGTGTTGTAAGCTTTACCATAGAGCTCTATCCATATTTCGTCTATACTAGTTCCGTAATTTGGGTGACTAGAGTATTCGAGGCCCAGGCACTTATACCAGACATCTCATCCAGCCCGCCCAGACTTTGATGTCGATGTCCTGCTATATGTCAAATATTAATTTCATAACAGCACGGCCATGCACTTCTGATTGCACGCAGATAGAATGAGCGGTCTGGCTCAAGCCAAGGACCATGCCTAACTTCTGAGGCACTCCGTAGATTACTACCTACCTATTTAATGATGTGTGACTGCTCTTGACTTTAGCACCTAGTTTCTTCTTAACATCAGTTCGAGCGGCTGCAAGCCCAAGATATCATCTGCTATTCTCTATGCCTCTCATTCTTTCATCAACATGGAATCAAGCATTCACAAAATCGATCCAAATGGAGACACGCTTCTCGTCCTCCGGAATCCAAGCGCGCCATTTGCAGTAGGAGATGCAAACGTTTGGCCCAATGCTCTACCGAAATTCTGGACAGAGACAATGAAAAGAAAGGAAAGAGAATTGGCACAACCCACACAGGCTGAGCAGAGAACCACTGATATGACGCGAGAAGTCCATTTCCAGCTCTCTTCAAAGAATCTCACGCTCACGTCGGAATACTTTCGAGGGCTGATGGCCAACAATTGGAAAGAGAGCAGCTCAAGCAACGACTTCACCTACGTCGTAACTGCTGAGGACTGGGATGAGGCGGCATTATTTATAGTAATGAATATCATTCATTGCCAAACAACGAAAATACCTCGAAAGGTCCACCTTGAGATGGCTGCCAAAGTCGCTGTTATCGTTGACTATTACCAATGCCACAAAGCAGTCAATTTCTACGCGCAAACATGGATGCAACACATGAGATCTAAGAAAATTAGCTTTATGGACTACGGGAGAGAACTTTTACTCAGGCTTTTCATATCCTATGTATTCTTAAATGCTGAAGATTTTCGAGAATCGACCAAGCTTATCGCGACCGAAAGCAGAGGCCCCATTCATCCCCTCGGTTTGCCATTCCCCCAACATCTGATTAGTGAGCTGCAATTTCTTTACTTGGGGGTATCGCTACAATCAGAATGACTAATTTCATTTTCAGACGCACTCGAGGCGAGAAGAAGAAGGAGCGTGTCTAGAATGATTGTCGGGCTTTACAAAATAGTAGACGATCTTACTGAAGACAGCGGAACATGTTCATCTGGATGCTCCTTGATGTCCCTCGGCGTTCTAATGAAGGCAATGAAAAGAATGAAACTATTTCAGCCAATACCAGCATCGCCCTTTCATGGCTATAGCGTCATGGCAATGCAGAGAGCTCTATTCGAAATCCAGGACCCAGAACTTTATCGACTTCCATGCCCCATGGCTAAAAATGGAGACAAAGACAATCATCATCTCGACACATGCCATCTCTCGGAGCGGATTAGGTCGCTTCGCGGGCTGTCTTGGGTAACGATGAAAGGGTTAAACCTGGATGAATATATCGATGTGAGCAAAGAGACATGAAAAATTGGCTTTTTTTTTTCCATGGAATTTGGGAATATTGTTTTGGGATGATAACGCATTCGACGTCCACAGGCTAGGTATAAACCTCGGTCGAGGGGGATTATCTTTATATTTTAAGGTCTATCAACAGATGAATTTATGAGGAAAATGATAAGCCATTATACACGCATAAATTTCTTCGCATCTGACTGGTCCACAGCCTTGCGTCTCGTTACAAAACAGGATGATGTGATTCGTCGCACAGGGATTGCGGCAGGATTTAGCCATCTGCGGTGGGGTGAACCTTTAAACCACTTGCGTGAAGTCGGTTGTATGTGACATGCAACTGATGATCATGCGCTCAAAATATCTAAGAAAAGAAGAAGTGTCCTTTTCCTATCTTGGGCCTCACCGACGATAACATCAGCTTGTTAGATGCTCTTCAAATCCTGCGCGCGGTGATATATTTAGCATTGTTGATTCTGCGTCGTCCTGTCATCTCTTGTGTCCCAGCTTTTACAAGTCGTACAAGCATTGTTTTGTTCCACAAGCATGGGCCGCTGCAGAAACCCTTTGCAGGTCCCTTCGTTTCCCTCCTTCCAAGAAAAAATACATGAGACACAATACGGTGCACGCACCTCTTTGTCTGAACCGTGCGCATGCAGGAGGGGGAGCTGAGAACCTTGATGAGCAGAGAGCTGAAATGCCATCGAGATGTGATACGCTGTGTACAGCCGCCGGAGAGTCGCGGGAGAACCTGGATGGCCAGCGAGGCCTGGGTTTGTCATCATGTCACAAAGGTCCGGGAAACAAGGCATTGCCGGTCAAGGAAGCGGTTCAACGACAGGGAGCGACAAACTCAGTTGAGCAGAGCCGATGAACACTGGAGATTCTAGACGAAATTAACATTGCTGTTGAATCTTCACAAAGCATTGATGCTGAACATCTGGCGTCCTCTATCGATTGTTTACAGGCCACTGACAGCGGCAGCTATATAATCGCCTAGCGCCTGCAGCTGTCTTCAGGGCGCCATCGCCACCAGACATCAGAAGGCCCCTCCTACGTCAGCGCCCCCGAAAGCAGAAACCGCGCCAACTCCAGACTTTGACAGCAGCAACTCACACCACACCAGACTTCAATTCAACAGACAAGCACAAGAGAGCGCAGACTTTGCAACTGCGAAACACGGCAGCGAATATACACCCGCAATCGTTGATATACCTCAGGACTCCGCAAACCTGCCAGCAGCCGACATACAGCACCGTTGCCGCCGCAGCCGACCCCGACTCGACTCGACCTTGACAAGAGAGAACGACACAAAGACTCGCCATGGGGTTGGAGGCGAGGGGTGTCGACAATGACACTCGCGGATGGATTCTGAGCAGCGTGAGCGGCGTGGGTAAGTTGTAACCATTCGTTGATGCCACTTTCTGGATAGTCACTGACTCTGACCCTGAAGCTTGCGTCTTTGGCGCGTCCATCATCTGCGTTGATGCTTTGGTGCGCCTCATTCCGGGCAAGGCCAACTTCCGTATCCAGGACAGCAACGTTTTCCTTGCGTGCTCGCTGAGCTTGAGCTTTGGCGTCATGGTAAGTCTCATCTACTTCCTGTCCAATAATGTGTTACAATCAGCCAACTGACCGGTGCCCCCTGTCTCGACTTCTAGCTCTTCTCCTCGTTGTTCAGCATGCTCCCCGAGTCCAAAGAATACTTTAAGCAAGAGGGCTGGACAGACCAGGCTGCTGGTCTTTTCATGATGGGCTTCTTTGCCACAGGCTTCGTTGGCATCCAAGTTGTCTCGCGACTCGTCCACCAGTTTATGCCCTCCCACGTCGTCGACTGCGACCATAGCCACGACGATACTGCCTCTCACGATGGGCATTCTCACCATACACACTCGGATCGAGCTCGCTCGCGATCTAATCGCGGTCGTCGCATGCTGTCTCGAGCCCCCGACAATAAAATATCTGATATTGCCGAGACAAGTAGCGATGATCAGCAGCTCACCAGCGAATCAACTCCTCTACTTAGCTCTGGGAGCCGTGATGCTAACAATACGACATTGACTCGTCAAGCCTCTGCGAGAGACGAAATGATCCAGCGATCCGGCAGTCCCTTGATGCTGACCCGTAGCAGAACCACTACCGCCGGTGATTCCACAACCGGTAGCAGACGGCCTTCCATTCTCGAGGTTCAGAAGCGGGTCATGTCCTTTGTCAGAGATACAAAAGCCAACTGTGATGAATCTGGACCTTGCTACGGATACACTGATCCTTGTGGCCAGGAATGCTTCAAACACATGAGCAGTCGCGCGGCCAGTAATGCGCGCCCGCTGCCGGCTCTTCGCACAGCTAATGGGCATTTCCAACCTCACCACTCCTTTCATGCTACTCTCGATCACAATCACACCCTCGCAGATACCAGCGACACGCCTGTCAGTCCCAGCCGTGTGGTATCTCGCGACTCCTTGACCCTAACCGATGAGGAGACGGATGATAATGGCTTTCCCTGCGAGCAGATGGATGAGGGCGACATGGAAGCTCAGCACCATCACCACGTGCCTACCAATGCCTTTCTCGCTATAGGACTGCAAACGTCTATTGCCATTGCTTTGCATAAATTCCCCGAAGGCTTCATCACCTACGCAACAAACCATGCCAACCCTGCCTTGGGGCTCAACGTCTTCATGGCTCTATTCGTCCACAACATCTCCGAAGGCTTTGCCATGGCCTTGCCTCTCTACATGGCTCTCAACTCCCGCTTGCGAGCCATGGTCTGGTCGGCTGTGTTGGGTGGCTTGTCCCAGCCCCTCGGAGCGGGCATTGCGGCTCTGTGGTTCAAACTTGCCAAAAAGACGCACATGACTCCAAATGCTGTCGCGTATGGATGCCTTTTCGCCCTGACTTCGGGTATCATGGTTAGTGTTGGACTCCAGCTCTTTGTTGAGAGTCTTAGCCTCAACCATGATCGCAACATGTGCATGTTCTTTGCTTTCCTTGGCATGTCCCTGTTGGGTTTGAGCAATGCCCTTTTCGCAGACCACTAGCACTCATGCGAGCGCATGTGTGCTTCCGATGAATGACATTATGCAGCTTAATGCATATATCAATTTCAGAGCTAAAGTAATCACTTTTCTTTCTGTGGCTAATACGACACGGGCTCTTCTCTTTCTTCATGTTTTGTCCACAATACATTGGGTTTTTATTCTTGGCTGCACTAGACTATGGATGAGGGAGTCAATGGGGGAAACGTTTGTGAGATATCGTTAATTTTCTTACTCTTTTCTATCTTATCCTCTTTCATCGGACACCTTTTTCAGCGCACAACTCTCACAGCAGCGACTGAATGGCATGGGGTACGGTGTGCCGCCACACATGGCTGTTCCAGACACCACTAAGCGAGGAAATGAGGAGCGACACAGAAATCATTGTTTTGCATTGACTGGTTAACACTTGGGATATGGGACGGTTTTTGGTACATGGTTTAAAATTTTCAGTTGGTAATAAAGTAGTATTTTGTTTCTTTATATCTTGTCATTGTTCATTACAGTCGTGATGTCTGGTTTGCAGTATCTATCTAAATGATGGCTTGTGCTTGTCTAAGTGCCATAGAAATACACCCAGCTATTTGTATATACATGTTGATTTCCATTACCCCTTGTATTCTACCAGATTGTCTCGAGTCTAAAATCCATCCAGCGTCGGGTCCATGTTTCCACTCAAGCCTGCTTCCCCGTGGGCTAGCATCATAAGATTCGCATCATCGCCGATCCAGCCGTCCTGAGAAACCCCGTACGTCATCTGCGAAGCAAAAATGTCTGCTTGGGGAAAGCTTTCTGTCCAAGTCTGTTCAGTAGTATTGACTTCAGAGTCAAACATGACAGGGTTGGTATATGGCATTGGATCGACGGCGACAGTATCAACGGTAGTTATGGGGTGTACGGCTGCGATGTGAGCATTGAGGTCATAGTAGCGGATAAAGCCTTCGGTACACTGTGGGCATTTAAGGGTCTGCTTCTTGACGTTTGTGACGCCAGAGATGTCGTCAATGACGTCTGTTGGGGTTGATTTATCGGTTTTGGAATGCTTTGGTCGTTCTTGGCCAAGATGGATAAAGCGAATATGATCCTCCAATCGAACCTTTGTGCTGAATTTGTCGCCACAGCCTTGGTCGTTGGTCCAGGCCTCGAGTCCGGTGCCGGTTAATTCGACTTCGCCGCAGATGAAGCGGAATCCTTCGTGAGCTACACGGATATGGACGTTCAAGTTTGACTTCTTCGTGAATTTCTTGTCGCAGCCGGGATAGGTACAAGGCACCGTCTTTCGATCTTGGACAGTCTTTCCAGAGTGGTGGATTTCGATATGCGTTTCCAGCTCCCATAAGGAACTAGATTTGTAGTCGCAAAACATGCAGTTTTGGTGTTCTTGTCGCATATGTGACTGTAGCTGTGTATCCGTTGTGAAGCCAACTCTGAATGTCGTGCCATCCTCTCGCAATTGCGGCGCACACTCCATACACCAGTACTTGAGCGGCCCATGTTCTCTCTCCCGGTGTCGATTGAGTGCTCCCTTGGAATCGAACGCAGATACGCATCCCGGCTCTGGACACTGGTGCGCTGGCAGGCCTTGATGTTCTTTCCTCACATGTTTGTTGAGCGTTTCCTTCTTCCTGAAGCTTTGGCCGCAATCCTGACAGCGGAATCTGTCGGCTCCTTCGTGGACTAGCTGGTGACGCTTTAATCTTGTGCCTGTTACGAATCTCTTTCCACAGCCGTCTCTTTGGCAGATGTATTTGCGGTCATTGGTGTGTACGGCCTTGATGTGCTGTTTCAAGTGCTTATCTTCGATGTAATCCTTGGTACAGTCGTCGTAAGGGCATTTGTGAGGCCGAGAGTTGGTGTGAGAGTTCATATGGTCCCTCAATCGCGCAGGGCGATTAAAGCTTTTCGTACATCCTGGCCAGGAGCACGCTAATGTCTTATAATCCGATGGAAACTTGGTTCGCGGTGTCGTAGCAGCTGTGACTGTAGATTCGACTTCCACACTTGATCCCGGACTTGAAGCTGGAGTATAATCGTCGTCGCCGTCGTCGTCGACATCTAATTTTGCATCAGTGACATGCATTCCTCACAATAGAGCTTCTTCATGAGATTGTGTTCGTACATGAGACTCCAGCACCGCCGGCATTCAGCCTCTTGGGGCGAGGCATACTCGGCACCTCCTCCGCAGCCGCTCGTTTTCTCATGGTCGCTTGTCAATTGCTGTAGATTGTGGTATGTATGCCGTCGAGCTTCCTCAATGGCAGAAATTGGGAACTTTTTTTGTGGGTCACGGGACGATAAGATAAACAAATTGCACGACAGCCCGCTAGCAGCGACCCGCCCAATGCTCTAGCTGGAGCCGGGGAAGCTACGGAAAAACTTACATCCCCTGCAGTAACAACTTTTTTTGCGAGGCTGAGAAAGAGATCCGCCAGCAAATCGCAAGCCTCCTACCAAGACACCCGACTTCTCTCTTCAGTGTTTTCAAGATGTCTGACTTTGGCGATGACGATGTTAGCGTTGGCGGGTAAGTATAGTCATACGTTTCAACTATGGCGCAGAAGATACAGGCAAAAGCTCCTGGATAGGCGGCTGACCCCTGATGCAGCGACGAGCCCGTGTTGGACGAAGAGGAGGTGGCCGAATTCTACGACCCCGAAGTTGGCGAGGATGACGATAACGAGCATGCCAATGACCAAGACCACATTGTCATCTCTGGAGATCCATCTGCGGCTGCCAACGCTTCCAAGGACAAGTCAGTCAAGGACAAGAAGATTCCCGACGACCAGCGCACGACAACGCCGTACATGACGAAATACGAGAGGGCCCGTATTCTGGGCACTCGCGCCTTGCAGATCAGGTTGGTGTGAAGAGATTTGGAGCGTAGCACCGAGGGATATGCTAATTAGGTGGCTATAGCATGAACGCGCCTGTGCTGGTAGATCTCGAGGGCGAGACAGATCCGTTACAAATTGCGATCAAGGAATTGCGCGAGAAGAAGATTCCTCTGATTGTACGGAGATATATGCCCGATGGATAGTAAGTTGAATACTGGCGAGGTCAATATGACCAAAGCGAAGCATGTGTCTAACATCATTCAAGCTACGAGGACTGGACTTGCGAAGAGCTTCTTCAGTAAACGAAAAAGGGCCAAAGACGAAAGCGGCCAGGTCAGAGGTTACTCGATTCAAGTCGACTTATTCTAGAAAGTCTAACGAGCACCGATGCCGCGACTCATCGACCTTTTCGTCTTCTCGAAGAAAGAAATTTGTTCATCAGCGTGGCGTTTCGAGACTCGACTATTTCGTCGCTTATTTAAGATATATAAAAAGACGGCAGGATGTCCGGCCAAGCATTGTATCATTGATCAATGAAGGCAGCACCCGAAATGATATTGGTCATGGGCCAGACGACTCTCTAGCCAACCATTCTGGCTTATGCATCAATAAAGAGGTCTCTGCAAAGCTGGAAGGATACACGAGAGCATGATCAATGCGGGTGTAGCACTCAGGATCTAGACTGCTTGGATAAGAGTCTTAATTCTGGGCTGTACGGATTGGTCAAACACCACTGCGGTAGGGAAGCTATATTACATGGATTGCTGCAAAGTATAAAGGTACAATAATAGACGTCAGCGAAGAAAAAAAAAAGTAAAATGAAGGTTTTCTTTCACGTTACAGAACAATCTGGCGATCATCTGCAAGGAACTGTGGGCGGCACTTGCGCTGTAACGTAGCAGCCGTAATCATACGAGCAATGCCGGGTAATTCTAGGCGCAGCAATAGACCCGTGAGCAAACAATTCAATAATCCGCGTGGAGTGTCGAAGTTTGGTCATCGGTAGAGCTACGTATATTTCTAGCGGGCTTTTATCTACTACCTATGAATTCTTGAATACTTTCAAATTCCTCTGTCCAATAACAAGGCCCAGATAGCGATCTACCACAACTAGATGTGTCATGCAAGAATGTTCATTTGAGACGACAATACTAATAGTATTTATAGAAAAATCTACAGATGCAGCGTCTTGCATAGAATGCCGTCTCCAGAATTCTCTCTATAAGATTTAGTGCAACACAGTCAAACACGCTGGGCCGTCGGCTGCTACCACGCTAAAAGTCCCACTGTGATTTTAGCCCACCCTAAAAATAGCGGACAGATGCAAAAGCACATGGGAGCACGTTGAGTGACATCATCACGCTTCGGGGCCAAATAAGCTTGGCTCGCAAACACAAGATCTCTTTGTTTACCATTCGTTGCTGTTGCCGCTACCGTTTCAATAAAAGTGTAGATTAATTAAGTTTCTCATTCGGAAACTTCCTTGGAATGGTATTGGCTGTGCCCGCCACCTGAAATTAAGATGTTCATACTCCGTTATGCAGCGCTATGTATGCTACCCAATGCCCAATGACCTCATGCCACTGCCGCCCCATCAGCCAGCGGCGGAGAATTAAGGGTCTAAAATGCGGTTCCTGCATGCATATACGAGTCTGCGTTGGCTGCGCCGAAAGATGAGCTATGGGCTCTTTTAGATACTGAGTACGGCAATTGTGAGACTGGATGAGGTGTTTGAGATGACATGCATCTCCAGCAGCATCCTTGCCACCTGCGATGCTGTCTATCGTCGGATTCGACCCAAGGATGACGGGAAATGCCAAAGCCCGCCAATAGCTATCGCGCAACGCCAGCATTCCTCTCTCGTATTCCCTCCCTCGACTGTGCTGATTGCTGATATCCTCGCAGCGCGACATCCGGCGATCGGCTCATCCTTTGTCTGCCAAGCCAGGCGTATGACGTCGAATCAGAGATCGACAGCCCTGACACGAACGAGCCGCCTCGTAATGTCTCACGGGACTGTTACCAATCAGACTCTATCTTCATAGGGATCGTGCAAAAGTCCTGTGTGCCTATGCCACGGACACTATAGAGTACCTAGCATTGCAGTAGAATTGGCCCTATCGCCGTGTATCTCACAGACTCCCTAAACCGTCGGGTGGCTGCTTAGAGGCCCGTGCCCAAATACGGGGACAGACGTTGCTGCGGCTTGTCGGACCTGCCGCTGAGTGGACGAACGTCAGAATCTTTGCTACAAGGTTATTGCTGGCAAAAGGAAAGACGGGAGGACAAAGAAGAAAAGGTGGGCGCCGCATTACGTCGGTCTAGCTGGAGGCGAACGGATACACAGCAGGCTTGTGTATAAATTGATTCGGCTCCACGAAGAAGAGGCTCACGAGATTGTCCGAGACAAACAACGACAGACATCATACACCGCTGTCCACTAGTTATAAGACACTGGATCTACCCTGAAGATCTTTCGATTTATTCTTCCTTTTTATCATTACGATAAAGCGTCATTAGGAAACTTATCTTTCACCTTACACCCTTCACAATGAAGTTCTCAACCATCGTCGTCGCAGCTGTTTCCTCAGCCATTGCCGTCTCCGGCACCCCCATCGAGAAGCGTCAAATCGGCGGCGTATGTATTCTACCATCATTTTCATAATGTTGTCAAGTCTAACTTGTATTCTCAGGTTCTCCTCTGCACCGGCGCCAACGCAACCGGCACCTGCTCCTATAACGTCTACGACCTCAAGACTTGCCACCAGCTGCCCGCGCCCTATCACCACAACACCAGCACGTTTGCGCCCGACGGCGAAGATTTCGAGTGCTTCCCCCGTATCGGCGACTGCGGCTCCATTTGCACCAGCCCGACGGGATGTACTTTCGGCGCCGTCGACTTCAGCTACAAGAACAAGTTTAACCTGGGTGCTATCAAGTGGAATACCTTGATTTCCAGCTTTGACTGCTCATTGAAGACGCCTCCAAGCACTGAATAAAAAAAAAATTACAACAAACCCAATATATCAACAAATTCTCTAAATTCATATCTTTTTACGACTTGCTTTAATTAAGCGAGCTATGCGAGGCTAACAGACACGCCTCTCTTCATACCTAAGGAAAACCGACATTCTGCCCCTCTTTGTTCAACAAAGCATAACAAAGAGAGGCGGGCAGAAGAAATGACATGCATAATGATACTTGTCTAATAATGATTCTTGAGCAGAGCTGTTTCTCTTTGTGTTTGTTTTCTGCTTTGGAAATGGACAGGCGTTTATACTATTACCCGATGCTGTTTTTTGATACTCTTTTCGGACATTTTTCGGGGCGTCATGATGATGGAGATCATAAGGGGTTTTGGAGGGGCAAAGCTATGGTGGGGTAATGGATATTAAGTAGCAACGATCAATCAATCAACTTATCAATCATCAATCAATCAACTTATCAATCATCTCAATCACTTGATCAAATAATAGCATCTCATAAGTAGTGCTGCGTGGCTCACTCCATCAATACTAAACTGCAACACCAACTTACACTCCTCAAGCGAAACACGCAGTCTGTGTAATCAGCACTCATCACAACCATCAACACCATGGCAGACATCACCACAAACGCCACCATCCACTCCTTTGGCGGCCGCTTCCTCAAGCTCACCCACCAGTCCAGCACCACCGGCGGCCCCATGAACTTCACCCTCTTCCTGCCCGCCGGCATCTCCGCCTCCGACCCGGCCCCGCTGCTCATCTACCTCTCCGGCCTGACCTGCACCCCGGACAACGTCACCGAAAAGGGCTTCCTGCACGCCCACGCCGCGCCCCTCAAGCTCGCGCTGCTCTACCCGGACACGTCGCCGCGCGGCTCGGACCATCCGGGCGAGCACGACGCCTGGGATTTTGGCAGCGGCGCGTCCTTTTACATCAACGCCACGCAGCAGCCGTGGGCCAAGAACTACCAGATGGAGACGTATATCGCCGACGAGCTGCCCGACGTCGTCTTCTCGAACTTCAAGGAGCTGGATCCTAAGCGCGTGTCCATTTCGGGCCACTCCATGGGCGGACACGGCGCCCTGACGCTGTATCTCAAGAACCCGGGCAAGTATCAGAGCGTCAGTGCGTGGTCGCCCATTGCGAACCCGTCGGCGTGTCCCTGGGGCGAGAAGGCGTTTACGGGGTATCTCGGTAAGGATAGGGAGGAGTGGAAGAAGCACGATGCGACAGAGCTGGTGAAGCACTGGAAGGGGCCTTTGAAAGCCCTGCTTGACGTGGTATGTCTTACATGAGAAGAGATTGGTCTATTGGTTACTAATTAGAGAATTTCTAGGGCACTGGTGACAACTTTTACAAGCAGAGACAGCTTCTTCCTGAGAACTTTGCCGAGGCTGTCAAGGCAACGAGCATCGAGGGCCTGCAACTGCGATACCAAGAGGTGCGTTTTGATCTGACAAGGTGAAGCTGAATGATGCTGATTTGACGTTTGCAGGGCTACGACCACTCTTACTTCTTCATCTCTACTTTTGGCGAGGATCACATCAAGCACCATGCTAAGCATCTGGGTCTCTTGTAAGAAACGTTATGAAGACACGCATGATTTATTGAAAAAAAAAAAAGAGTATGTGCCATAGGGGAATCAGAGTTTATTGTTAAGAGAGAAAAGAGCCAGTCAGTAAAAAAAAAATGTATGATATGATGAAATGACGAGTTAGCTATGTCGTCTTATTGTTCTATATGAGCAATGCACATAAGAGCACTCAAAATACCATTTTCAGAAAACAAGATTTCAAACTGCTATATGAATAAGATGCCTGTAATTATCTCACAGACGTCCCTTCAAGAGAATATCTGAAATTCCTAGCAAAATCTTTCATCTATAGAAAACCTCCATCTCTTTACAACCCAGCTGAAAGAAAAGAATCATTGAATAAAAGAGAACATATTCCATTAAATCGTACCCACGTCGAATCCGCCGCTCCTCTCATCAGTCCGCGCCAAACCATCCAATAATAATAATAATAATCATAAACGCAGCAGAACTAATTAGAACAGATAGCGGTAGGCATAATCCTCTCATCATTGCTCGCTAACATATACTTGCTTGCATCAATGCACGCTGATATATGTGTTCCCAGATAAAATATGCCGCAAATAACCCTCTCTTTCTCTTTCTCTTGCTCGCTTGCACAGCGCAATTCTCATTAAACAAGGGCATCAGCTAATCATCTTCTCCATGACAGGACTCAAAACAAGCCCTTCCTTCTCCGCCTTAAACTTCATCTCCGTCTCAGCCTCGCGACGGATCCGCTTATACGCCAGCTTCTCAAACTGGCTGAGGCTCTTCCACCAGTGCTGACCAGCTTCATGATCGGATATTCGCTCGAGCAAGTCAGCCGTCTTGATGCGCACTTCGCGGTCCTTGTGAAAGAGGCCCAGCGCAATGTAGAACAGCCCTGCGTGCGACTCGGGCGCTACGTCTAGAAGCAGGCATACCTCCTCGTAGGAGTGTATATGCTTGGATAGCGTGAGGTAAATGTCCTTGCTCTGTGAAGGCGTTAGGCGCTGCATGCGAAGACGGTCATGCATGTGAGCCAAGTCTAGTCCCTTCAACGGACGAACAGTGTATATCCGTGCGAGGTCCTGAAATCACGACTCGGTTAGTTGCTGTTCAAAGCGTGCGTAAGAGGGGTCGTGTTTTGAAGAGATATTTACCTGGATATAGCTATAGTAGCTGCGTGTGTTACGCCAGCCCTCAATTCTCGTCACATTGCCGGCCAGCTCCTTGAATTTTGCAGTATCATCTGCCCACACGTATCCGTGGCCACTGGCCCCCGGCAACGCCAGGTCCTGGTCTTGGCCTCCGATATACAGAGCAGATGCGCTGTAAACACTCTCTTCAAACTGGGCCGCAATTCTCGTAAATCGGTTTACCCAGTCGCGCCACTTAGCCCGGATAACCCGCTCGCCGTGCCTTGCCGCAATGCTCCTAAGAATGTCCGACATAAAGGCCGCGTCACCCGTCAAGTCCTGCGCATTATTGGAGACTCCGCTGGCAGTGTTTGCAAGACTGGGATGCTGCTGCTGAAAGTAGATCAGCCCTTCAGTAACTGGCGCCATCTCAATCTTGCTACTAATCTTGATGCGGCCGCTGGGCAAATCGCACAGGACGTCCCACCATTCCGGGTGAAGCTCAAAGGTAGGATTGGTAACGCCAGCAATGAATCCTGGCACGTTGAGCAGATCTTCGACTTTGGTCAGATCGGTATAGGGGAAGGCATGTCGGGTGAATCCCCGGAGGATGCCACCAGATGCAAGGGCACACGCTGCAAGGACCGCTTCAGCCACATCCCCAGAAGGCATATTGTGGCCCAGGAAAATGACTCTTTTCTGGGTGAGTAGCCCGTTGATCAGCACAATAATGGGATGCGTATTGACTCCGTTCGTCGTCAGATGGGGATGTAGCGGAAACGGTTGCGGAGACTTGGCATGAGCCTCTGAAAAGTTTTGTATCAACTTAATGAGCGAGAAGTCGCCCACCGTCTCTGGCATGACAGCGGTGGGTACTTTGATAGGAATAGGAATGCCCTTGTACATGACCTTGCTCTCAAATTCGTGGGTATCTCTGGCCACGGAATAAGTCGACTGCCCGCCGCCCTCGACGTGAGCCTTGGTACCGGCCCGCGAGATGCCGCCAGTCACCTCGTTTGATCCCTCGGTGGCGGTTTCGGCTCTTTCCTCTGCCATACGCATCTGAATTATACGCTCAAACTTTTCAACAAACAAATCTTTGTTGTCGCTTGCAAGCAGCAGGTTTCTCTCAAGCAGGCTAAGCTTGGGCATAAGAGACAAATCCATGTTATTGACCGCATCATACAACATGGATAGAGTCTCAGGCACTGGGGATTTATAATACTCTTCTAATGCGAGGAGTAGAAGCGGCTGCACGAGAGCAGTTCAGGTTAGTTTGCAAAGCCCAACATATAATTTCCAAACATCGAGCAGCATTGGCACATACCTTGTATATATGCAAGAAGGGATGCCTCGTACAAATGGCCATGGCCTTGACAATGGCTCCTCGTTTCACTGTTTTATCGTGCTTGGTATTGACCAAGTTGAGCACATAGATAAGTGGCGGACCCTCTCCGCCGTCTGGCTCGTCATCTGACGACTCGTCCTCCTCTTCATCCAAATCATCTTCGCTCCCCTCCGAATCTTCTTCAGATTCAGTCTCGCCCTCAGGGACCAGCCCCGCTTCTTTATCTCGGCGCCTCTGCCTTCGAGCTTTCCTCCTTGCTTTAGCCTTGCGTTCTTCGTCTTCGTCTTCCGGCGATGAATCCTTATGGAGGAAGAACATGGTCCAATCCTGAGTTCGCGCGTGAGCCTGATCTGGAAGCATCAGCTCAGCCAGCATGTTCTCATCTCCAGTGATGGCAACGGGATATTGATGCTCCATGACCGGACCACGGTCAATATCAAACGACGCCACCAAGATGTACTCGACGTGGCTGGCGTCTGATCCACGAGGGTATTGTGATCGAACTCGCTTCTGTGGGTACGACCCTTCGTTCGTTCGGCGTGCTGCCGAGAGAGATGAGTGCTGTGAAGATGGCCCGATGGAAGAAGCTTTGGACTTCATGCTCGGGTCCGAAGTCCGGTCTGTTTCGGCCATGGGGGGCTGCGGTGACTTTGATGGGCGCGAATGGAAGGACATTTGCGATGGAGACCGCGACGGGGGAAATGAGGAGAGCGAGGTTCGGCGGTGATGAGGCAGCGAGACGTTTGAGCTGCTTGCACCGTTTGAACGAGAGGCGTAGGGAAGAGCCGCCGCCATGGTTCAAATGCCTCCGCCGGCCAATGTGTCGTTGGATGCTGCGCCCGTATACCAGATCGGCCGTCTCGACTCGTGCTTCTTGAAGTATAGAAGCTCGTCAATTGTATAAATGTAGCTTATAGGCTGTCGAGGCCGAGCCTTTGGATTCGACTGCCGTCGGAGTTCGTCGTTGTCTATTGCGCAGGGACAGCTATCTGGCTCGAGCGGTCTATGGCTGTGGTCGCTGCCAGGGTATGTTGGCGCGCAACACTCTTTTTTGTGGTGCTGGTGGTGATGCTATCACCCCGCATGTAGCAGCTGCGTCGCAATGGCACGCGCGCGCCGAGGGCCCAGCAGCAGCGGCAGTCAGCAGATGGAGAGGCCAATGGACGGACGAGCGATCGCGAGAGCCCTGGAAATTGGAAGCATCGTCTGCAGCATTTGCGCCGAGTCGTCTTGGGAGAAAGTCGAGACAGGGGCTGCTGTATTTACGTTAGTGTCACCCGAAAGGGGAAATGTGGTGTAGGGGACTGAGGCGAGTGGAGCTGTGTGATTCAAGGCCCTGGAGCCTTGGAGGGCCGTTCCTGCTAGCGCCTGTTACAGCGCCTGTTTCTCAGAGCGCTTGGCGCATCCTAGGCCCTCCTTCAGTGGGCGAGGCGCTGTGTTAGCGCCTGGGAAGAATACTAGTAAAGCAGAGAGGTCTGGTGTCTAGAGGTGTCTAGTGGTGACGCTACTTCGCGTGGCTGAGACGCTCCCGCCATGCCGTCTGGAAAGCCCAACACGTGCAAGCGCGCTGCTGCCGCCACACTCCACCAGCCACACCACACCACTACAGCTGCAAGTGACCCTGACAACGGACCCAGCCGCTGGATTTGTTTACTTGGCTGCGTCTCGATGCAGTGCCGTTATGCATTAACCTCCCCTCTCACAGCATATCCAGGGCCAATCCACTGGTCCCATATCTCTGACGACATTTTTCACGATCATCTGCATTTTGTGCCTCAGCCAAGCACCCAAGCAGCTCCGCCTACCGTTTGCTGGCCAACCGATTGCGGGCACCGTCACAGCACAGATCCCTTTACCGATTACATTATGGTATGGCCGCGGCCCCGTTCAGTCTGGAAACTGCCGTTTCGCTTATCTGCTAATCCTTTCTCCTTTGCTATCCCCAGTCTATCTCGACAACGTTCAAGCCCTCTCCCCTGGGCCTCGGATCGCCTCCCAGCGTTCGAAACTCTCCATTCCGAAGGGGCGAATCTCCGGCTTCGCCTTCACCCCTCCGACACATAACACACACAAGTTCGCCTACCAAAGGCGCCGCCACCACAACACCCAACGGCGCGTCGAGATTTGCGAGGCCAACGACGCCAACCAGGGATCCATCTGACACCAAAGAAGAAGAGAAAACGCCAGTCATGACCACTCCTACAAGGGCGTCGCCGCCGTCGTGGAAGGCTGGGTCAAAGCTGGCGGTGGGCGGCTCCTTGGGCGGTAGCAATGCTCTCTCACAGCTTCAGCCGACTCAAGTTAGGACATTGAGGGATGGGTTTCAGATTCTGGATCGGGACTGCGACGGAGTGGTCAATAGAGAAGACGTTGCCGACATGCTCGGTCAGCTTGGTGTGTTGTGTTCCACCCTGTCCACCCCCGGCAAATGATGCTCAATTCCGCCCGTGATCCCATCCCGTGGATTCTAACTGGTAGCAAAGGTCTCCCCTCAGGCTCCTCCGACATAGGACGCTTCTTTCCGCCATCGAAACCGCAAACCATCACGCTAGCCGCTTTCCTCAACTCGCTGGCGGAGTCCTTGGCTCTGCTGTCACCAAATACCGAGCTCCTATCTGCGTTTTCGGCCTTTGACGAGGACGACAGCGGTCAGATCGACTGGGCGGAGCTGAGGGATGCTCTGCTCAACACACCGCCAGAAGCTGGGCAGTCAGCACTCAGCGCTGCGGAGGTGGACAAGGTGGTCGAGGGGTTCACGGGCCGGCGAGCCTTCAACCGCAACATGAATGCGCACTTATCGGCACGACGGGGTGAAGTGTTTAAATACCAGGAATTCGTCCACTCAATCATGGGCTCCAACGGCGGGGCCGAGGGAGGGGCACATGAAGGAGAGGAGCAGTGACGAGAATCATGATTGGCTTGCTATCTTTTTTGTTTTCTCTCTTCGTATTACGCCAATTGGTGCTTTCCTGGGGTTTCGTTTTCCGGTCGACACGAGTGACACGACGCAATTTTGACTGTCAGGTACGGGGTTCTGGGACCGGCCGAGCCTGTCATGGTAGAAAGGGTGAAGCAATCAGCCCTGTGCATAATATTTCTTTGCCTCACATTCTAGTTGTTTTGTTTTGTTTTGTTTTGTTTGTTTGATAACCCGCGCAGCTGTACGAGATACTATAGTATATGGACATGGATACGGATAAGCTTGGCAAGTTACAGTTAATATTCACATCGCATAAAGAACCAGCACATAGACTACATACCTGCCAGCACGGCTCAGACCACATACATACACAACAACTGCGGAGGAGACTCTACTCCGCGTGATGGGCGCTCCAGGAGCCTTTGGAAGGGATCAGCCGGTCTGCCATGGCTTTTGTGTTCCCCCAACTCATCTACACACAACGGCTAGCGACGAGACGGACTTGCTGGCCCGATAAGCCAGCCACTGAGATGCGCAGCGAGTGACGAAATGAATGGGCCAGTGGCAGATTGCAGTCCCGGGCTGGGGCCAATGGCGGCGTGCAAAGTCGCTGGGGATCCCAGGCCGTGGGCGGCTGGAGCGTGCGGAGAAGGCACAGGCTTGACAAGTAAGACCTTTTTAGCGGCAGGCTCCGTATTCCGTGCCGCGAAGCTGTGAGACTCGGGCTGCCTGGCTGCCTGCGCGTATATACGGGCTACATCTGGGCCATTCTCTACGCGAAGCATGTGAGAAAATGGTATAAGCATATTTGTAGAATTGATGGTTAGGGATTTCTAGATACGAGGTGCTAATGCGGCGGCAGTACTATTAACAGGTATCAATTGGCGGCGGCTGTGATGCATTCAAGTCCCATCATACTCCTACAATCCTACATACGACCAGCATCATGAAGTTGACAGCCCAAAGGCGTGGGTGTAGACAGCTGCAGCTCAATTGGCCCTCTCAGGCACAGGCACAGCTACATACTTCCTGCCATGGGCCAATTATTGGCTCCTAGTCAAAGGCACCTCAGCTGCAGTTGTTCCACCGTCAGCTACCAGCGCAGAGAGTGGCTCCCTGTGCTCAGAGGAAACACCAAGACAATTGAAGACAAGACAAAAGTGTGTCAGTCAGTCCGCCAAAGGATCCAGGAAGGCTGGCTGACACTTTTCTCCTCTTAGCTCTACCCGTCAATTAACTCTGACTTATTAGCGACCGCCAGGGCGGGAATACGCCCCACTGAACCTTCTAGAACCGCTATGTAACCGTCGTCCTGATAGCTGCAAGTCCTCGATAATCGACTACCAGACAAGTCCCGCCGCCACAGCAAGCCCCTTCCCCGGGGGTGAAAGTGTCAGACTCGTGGGCTTTTGGGGCACTGTGTGCGTTCCTGGGAAAGCAGCAAGAGAGGGTAAAAAGAGTGGGCTGTATTACAAGTGACGGGCTTGAGTGGAAGCAAAAGGCGCTGGCGACTGGGCTGGATACCGGGGGTTGCAGTGCTGGATTCCGCGGCCACATGTAAATAAACACGGCCGTCAACGTGGACTCGATTGGCTAGCAGGAAGGGCTTGCAGGGAGCTGCAGGGAGTTGAGGGCTCATCAACTTCACTACGCGCCCGGGTGCTGGGTGCCTCCTTGGCGGCCGGGCCTGTGGCTATATCTCGATGCTGCTGCGACTGTTCACAAATAGGCACCGCCCAAAACTTGGCATCACAGGTATCTCGGGCATGGAACAGTTGATATCACCATCCACCCGTGTTCAAAGATGGAAGAAACGGGTGTGCTAATCCAGCAGAGAGGCGGTACCTGTAGACACATGCATCTCCCGCACAGCCCTCCATGTACCTGATCTAGCAGCCGTAATAGGGCCTCTCACTTGCGACAGGTACCCAACAGTGGGTGGAGTATAGCGAAGCGGCCCGCCGCGCCGTGCCAAAGACATTCACTGCCTGTTCGTGCAAATTCCCACGCTTGTTGAAATTTCTGACGTGCCCCCCAGCCCAGCAGCTGCCTTGTATTTATTTCGTCCCAGGAACCTGGCGAGCCTGGCTTGAAACTAGCTTCACAGGCAGCCCTTTGCAGCGCAGGCTGATAAATCGAGGCCCTTTTCCTCCTGACGACGTCGCGCGTCCTTTTGCAATTCCTCCACCTCTTGCCAGCCAGCCTCTTGCCTTTTTTTGCCCAAAAAGTCGCTTGACCCTCTTTTGCCCACAGTGCAACAGCAGCCTGTGGCGCCAAAAAAAGAAAAAAATTAAACCCCCCCTACCTACCTAGAACCACCGGGATTTTAAATGCCCGCTTATTGCCTAGGCCTCTGTACACTTCTCTGCGGTTCCAAATATCCGGCATAACCTTGTGTCGGGACAGCCTTTTTCTTTCACCCCAAGCATTCCAGCGCCGCGGCCCTCATGAAGTTCTTCAGCGGCAGCAAGGCTTCAAGGAAGAGTGCTTCTACTTCCAGTGTTGACGAGAGCGACATTCCCCAGAGCCCCAACGCAGCGCCTTCGTCCTCGTCCTCGTCGCCCACCAAGAAGCCTGCACGGCCCGTCTCCCACCACCACAAGGACACCACCAAGGCGTCGTCAACGTCCAAGTCCTCTCGCCTCTCGCGACACTCGACGGACGCAGGTCACTCGCGCCGCAGCAGCAAGTACGACCCGGATACCCATCCATTGAATCTGCCGCCTGAAGAGCGGGAGCGCAAGCGGCTGTCGGCCATGTCCAATTCTGCCATGAACTCCAACTCGATGGATGTCGACCCGCAGCCCGTGAACGGCGCGGCATCGCCGCCGCCGCCGCCCGCCAAGGGCTCGTCGAACGCCTCTGCCCAAAAGAACTTTGCCGTGCCCATCACCAATGGCAGCATGGCGCCAAACGGCAACGACGAGGCCCCAGCGCCGCCGCCGCACAAGTCCAACCCGTCCAGCCCCGTCCCATCGCCGCTAGAGGAAGCAGAGTCATACAAGACGGCCGGAAACCGGCTGTTCAAGGAGAAGAACTATGCCAAGGCCATTGAGCAGTATAGCAAAGGTATGCGCCAATACATGATATACTTTTTACCCTGATTACATACATACATCGACGTCCTCTTATTTGTCTACTACGTATTTTGCTTCTTCTCTTTTGCCATTGATTCAACAGCGAAAAAAAAAAAAAAGGAAGAGTCAAAGAAAGCTTGAAAGAAACTCTAGGCTAACCGTTTTTTCCTTCCTTCTTCCGTTGTGCAGCTGTGGATCTGTTTCCCAACTCGGCAACCTATCTGGGCAACCGGGCGGCTGCCTACATGTCAAATGGCCAGTTTGAGGCCGCTCTGGACGACTGCAGTCGTGCCACGGACCTCGATCCTAACAACGCCAAGGTGCTGTTGCGCCTGGCGCGAATCTACACCGGCCTGGGACGGCCGGAGGAGGCCATGACAACATACTCCCGTATTGTCCCACAGCCGTCCGCCAAGGACATGGCCCCCACCCGCGAGATGCTGCATCACATCAAGTCGGCCAAGGAGACGCTCCAACGAGGCTCAGCCATGTCCATGGTGCTACATGCTCTGGACCAGGCCGAGCGTGGCCTTGGCTCCGGCGTTTCCAAGCCGCGCAAATGGCAGCTAATGCGGGGAGAGGCTTACTTGAAAATGGGCCGCGAGAACTCATTAGGAGAAGCTCAGGGCGTCGCCATGTCGCTGCTGCGTCACAACAACCAAGACCCCGAGGCTCTAGTTTTGCGTGGTCGCGTCCTCTATGGCCAGGGCGAGAATGAAAAGGCCATCCAATACTTCAGAATGGCCTGCAGCTGCGATCCTGACTACCGAGATGCAGTCAAGTGGCTGAGAATTGTCCAGAAGCTCGACCGCATGAAGGAAGAGGGCAACACTGAGTTCAAGGCTGGCCGATTCCAGCAAGCCATCCAGAAATACAGCGATGCTTTGGACATTGACCCGTCAAACAAGAGCATGAATGCCAAGCTACTGCAGAATCGTGCCCAGTGCAAGATTAAGCTGCAAAAGTATGAGGATGCTATTGTCGACTCAGAACGCGCCGTCTCCCTTGACCCCAGCTACACCAAAGCCCGCAAGACAAAGGCCAATGCTCTCGGCAAGCTAGGAAACTGGGAAGAGTCCGTCCGTGAATGGAAAGCTATCCATGATATTGATCCCACGGATAACTCGATTCGCAATGAGATTCGCAAGGCAGAGCTGGAGCTGAAGAAGAGCCAGCGCAAGGATTACTATAAGATCATGGGCCTTGAAAAGGATGCTGATGCTAACGACATCAAGCGAGCATACCGCAAGATGGCTGTCAAGCTACACCCTGACAAGAACCCTGGTGATGCGGAGGCAGAGGCCAAGTTCAAAGATATGCAGGAAGCCTATGAGACGCTCAGCGATCCTCAGTAAGTTCAAATGACTCCCTGACACTAATGTCGAGTTCATTCGGAACGTGTACTGACTCACGATGCAGAAAGAGAGCCCGCTACGATAATGGCGATGATCTCATCGACCCTGCTGACATGTTCGGTGGTGGTATGGGAGGTGGCATGGGCGGCATCGACCCCGAGATCCTGTTCAGTATGATGGGCAACCAGGGTGGCTTTGGAGGTGGTGGCTTCCAATCCAGGGGCTTCCCAGGAGGTGCTGGTGGCTTTCCTGGGGGTGCCAGCTTCAACTTTGGCGGTGCTGGTCCTGGTGGTCGACAACGAGGCGGCTACCCAGGTGCTGGTGCCGGATACCCCTTTTCGTGACCAGCCGGCAGTGAAGAAACAGAAACTGAGGATGATGATAACGATGACGAGGAAGATGACGGGACGGATGCCAACTCTCGGTATTCATTCCAAGATGCTTGGACAAATGAAGAACAGCAGAGCAAGCTGCAAGATGATTTGCATCGTCGTCGAGAGGCTCGCAATGAGCTGGTTGAAAACTTGCGACGATATGGCATGTGGCTGCTTGGAGCAGCTGTCTTGCTCCCGCCGCAACTGGTAGCAATGGGTTTGGTGATTACGGCATTTATATACTTGTGCACAAGACGAGACGGCCGACAGCGTCATCACAGCAGACGCAACACCGCAGGATAGACATTGGGATTTTATTTTTGTTCAACCTTTTTTTTTTTTTTTTGGTTTTTTTTCTTTAACTCAGAAAAGAAAAGACGCGCATCCTCATTGCTATGGCGTTTTTGGGACACATTCTAGAAAGAGAACTGGGGAAAGACAAACATAGTCGATCTTTTTGATTCATTTGCACAAACTAACTACTGTCTTCCGGAGGAGCAAAAGAGATATCTTTTTTTTTGTGGGAACCGGATTGGGAAAAATGAGAGGGAAGGAGGGAGAAGAGGATGACTGAGAACGAGGATTGTTCGAGTCCTTTTTTTTGTGTTGGCTTTCTAGACTGACTAGACGATGAACGTTTGAAAGTTGGAAATATTAAGCGTCTCGTTCAGAAGGAGGTCAGTGGGGGCAGGACGGGGACGTAGTTGCAAAGGTTTATATAGATGAATGCGGGTGACCCGTCTTTTCCACAATCCACTGTCAGATACCCTTGTGTCTTTTTGATTCTCAACTTGGCCTCCTTCCCGACCTCTTCTGCTGTTCGCGTTGATACACTTCATTCGATCTATTGTTGGCAAACGCCGGCTACTGTAGATGGCAATCAAGAAGAATTGGACAACAGATAGTGCAAGCTTAGCAAAGTCCCCATTGCTATTTAAAGACCTTTGGGTATCATTATACGCACTCTAAACGCCTAACTCAATATCTAGATATGCCAAAACTCCATAAAGCCGAAGAGAAAATCCGATCGTATGCCAATTCTCATCCTTCACTGGCTCCCACTCTGTCCACCCTGCACAGCAGACGCAGGCCTCGCAGGAAGATTACTGCTAGTCCCGCTGCTACCAGCCGCCGCAACACCACCAGTCGCAATCGCTGGATTGCCCCCCGTCGCCTCCAGCACCTTTGCCACATCCTCGCGCAGCTCCGGCATGGCAGAGGACATTTGCTCGGCGAGCACGTCGCGAAAGGACGCAAAGGCGGTCTGCTTGCCGCGCATGAGCTGGTTCCCGCGGCGCACGAGCTCGACGAACTCGCGCGTGTAAATGTCCGGGTTGCGGCCGTTTTCGACGTACTCGAGCAGTTCGGGGGGCACAGAGGGGAGGAGGTGCGGAGGGGAGGCGGCGACGTGGACGTTTTGGAGGGAGGTGGAGATGGATTTGCTGTAATTTCCTCGGGTCAGCTTTGATAGATGGGAGCGGCGCCCTTTCTTAAGGTGCTGTGGTAAGGTTACATTTCTTTGGATAGGACTTCTTTGCTGGAGACGCCCATGGAGTCGTACGTTGAGACTTGGACCATGACGCGGTAGAAGTCTTGGATGACGTCCTTGAGCTGTTCTGCTGGGGAGTTAGCCATTTTGTAAGGGTGGAGGAGGAGTAGTCCGTACGCTCAATTCCATCGTGGTCTATTCTGTCGACGGGCGCCATGGTTGTGGGTGAAGCTGGCGAAGGAATTGGTGAAGTTGGGCTGTAGAGTGGAAGTTGAAGGTGATGCTGTGGAGAGTATGGGGAGATGCTTTTTTGGTGGGGCACATGTTAGCGGAAACCACTCCAGCTGTCTAATTGATCGCTGAACAGGTGAGATGCAAAAGGCAGTTGTTGCTTTTCTATGGAACAATCTCATATTCTTCTCATGGCTCATGAATAGTAATTTCAATTGTGACTTGTTTAATTGATGGTAGTAGTTGATGAATAGGTATAGAATCAATTCATCCTCGTTCTACCAATGCTCCGGGCTGTTGAGATGCAGCACGTGAAAGCAGCCGTCTGTGAGGAAGGAGCAACATCATGTCTTACACCGCCTTCTATCTTTATCTGATCGCAATAGCTAGCCCATTATTGATGGAAATCTTATCAGATACAATTCAACAATGCTCACATATTAGCGTCTTCTCAATTTATACTCTGCCAAGTTTGGCCTTTGCTGCTCTACCGCACCTCGGGTCAGCCAAAATCCAACTTTTGCGCGCCCAGTAAAGACAACCTGAGCTGCAGCCAGTACTGGCAGAAGCGGGGGAGTCCAGCTTGCGATGAGCTTCACAGCTTTTTTTACTCTCCCCGAGGCTTTGGCACAATACGCTGATGATGTGTTGAGCTCGCCTATCATTTGGAAGGCCGAAATTTCGGTCCTAGGTGGTCGCTAAGCCTCAGTCGTTGAGTCGCTTCACAGCACTTTTAACACTCCCCAAGGCATTGGCACAATATGCTCATGATGTAATAAGCCCGCTTGCTCGCTTGCTAGCCTATCAATTGGAAGGTTGGCTAATCCGACTGTGTGCATCGCTTCACAGCATTATTAACTCTCCCCAAGGCTTTGATACAGCAGGTCTGTGGTTTGCTGTCCCAGTATTACCTGAGTCTATCCTACAGCGGGAATAGTCTACTACAAGCGATCCACCAACTCTAGCTACCTCCTAAGTATATAGCAAAAGCCAGAGAAGGGGAATTCTATATGCTCGAATGCTCCATACACTAGAAAAGGACTTCAGCAGTCATACTGTATCTGTAGTCCCAGGCAACAACTGGCCGTTGGTTCTGGCTGGGGCTGTGTACCTGGACAGCTCTTGGAGTGAAGGGCGGTGGACCCGGTCACCTAGCCTCGGCGTATTATTGATCAATCTATACGCAGTGCGGCGTACAGAGCAATGACACAGGGACAATCTCCATCAAAAGTCTCAGGCTCGATACAACATCAACGCTGATACAACGGCACAAGCATAAACCTCTTACCAGCTACCGGACACCAAAAGCTTCGCAGTGTGCCTCCTCGAGCATTCTCCGAGCAATGAGTTATGACCAAGTCAGCTTCCGAAGACCACGTCAGCCGTCGAGACTTTGGCGTAGGATTTATCCTTGCGCTCCTCGTTTATACTTGACAGGATACGCCTTCGACGTGTCTGAGGTATAAAGCGGCGCAGGATTAGCGCAAGGGGAGCCTGGCAATCGCTGTGACGTTTGCGCCGAGATCCCCTGTTCGTGACAAGAGTAGCCTCAATTTGGGTAAGTCAGCGATATTGATTACCATCCATGGTTAAAGAGGGACAGTTCAGCCGCTGAGACTACAAGGGTCTCGGAGCAAGCTCTATGAATCCAATACTTCTGCTTCTTAAGGAGATAGATCCAATGGACAGGCTTCAACTCGTACCTAGCAGCCCACGCATCCTCTAGCATCGTTGGCTATCTCCACGCCCAGGGACTTGGTGTCTCTTCCACTTGCAGTCGAACGAATTGATCAAACTAGGGTCAACCAAGAAGACATTTCCTTCGGATCAAACTTGACAGCTCCAACTCATGCTCTCGCCGAGAGTAGAAACTACAGTGACAAGCCAGTTGGCACGCTGCCCACGGGCATGAACTAAACTAGCAGGCCTCGGTCCAGGTTCCCCGGCCGTGCTAGGAACGACCCGCACACACACCGCATCACCGGGCCATGACTCTCGCCTACGACGTCCAGCTCTGGGTTTAATATCAAGATGCATTGTTGGCGTGAGTTCTAAGCCAATGGCACTTTTTCGTCAAGGATGTCCAGAATGGGGTGTGCGAGGGTGGTAGCCGAGCTGAAAGCCGCCTGTATTACACGGTAATTATACTAACAGCCCACCCACCATGACAACTTGGGGCCGTACGATGCTCAGCGATTGTACGAGCCTTTGTCAATAGCCTGTCTCGGAGAACAAAGCAACAAGCTGGTTGACTAGGCTGATGATAGTACAAGTATGTATATCATGGCCGTTCTTTGCCAGCCCGACTTGTCAGACTCCTCCTCTTTCTTACCCTCAGCCGCGATCCTTTAGCCTATTGCGTGTATATCTCCGCGCGCGCATGCCAACTACCACATCTCAAGGCCTCTGAACTCGACTTCATCACTTTATACTGTATCACTGCATCGAATACCACGCGCTAGACGGCTATCTAGCTCTTTATTCTCCGGCCGCGAGCTGATTCTGCCTAATAGAGCGCCGTTAGCCGCTTTATATGTCCGGTAGTCTAACCCCATGTCTTCGTTCAATGCGACACCACTGGCTCCCAAGCCCGCGACGTATGAGTTTGTCGTTGGCCAACGTCCCGACCAGCTTAACGCCGGATCTAACAAAAAGTTGCGGTCGCATCTGTCCAAGAGAGGATGGGAGGCCTATCTGGAGCAGAAGAAACTATCATCGCCAGTCTCAGTTCGAGTAGATGAAGCAGCTCATCAGACCGATGACGGGGCTAGGCGAAAGAAGCGCAGACGCCATCGGCAGGCCATTACTTGGGATGTCGTGGAACCGGACGATCCCAGATTTCCAGGACCTGGAAATGTCAGAGAGGCCATGCTAGCCCTCATCAAGACCGGAAGGCACATGCCTTTGGAGAAGACGCTTTCAATCGACTACAGGCTTGGAGGTGGACGCGTTGATCCTTTCAAATCGTATCCTACACGTTTCGATCTTACATCCCTAATTTAGTAGACCACTGTGAGTTTCATTCTTTCTTTTGCGACGGCAAAGAAGAGACATTGACATCTTCTACCAGACATTATCCACATGGCCGTCGACATCCCTGAACTGGACCAACCCGGAAACGCTGGTCTTCTTCGCAGTCGCTGGTTCCGCATGGCCACGACCGAAATGTCCACGTTCCAAGTCGTCCTGCTCCTCGCCGCAGGAAACTTTGTCAGCGTCAAGGGCGCCGTACCCGCAGAGCAAGGGTTCAATCTCCATCAGCTCAGAGGCGATGCTATCCGATCTATCAATTATGCCATGAATGACCAAGCCAAAGCCACAAGCGACTCCATCATCGGTGCGGTAGCCAAGTTGGCGAGCTTCGAGTCCATGCATGGCTCGGAGGCTGATTTTCGGCTACATATGGAGCATACCATTAGGCTGGTGAATATGAGAGGGGGCCTGAACAATCTGGGTCTGGGAGGGCTCTTGCGGAGGATGCTCATCTGGATTGATGTAAATGGCAATTTTTTGTATAAAAAGCCGCGGTATTGGCCTGGTGAGAACTTTGATGGAAGTAAAGATTCGATTTCGGAGCCCAATCCGGAGCGATTCATTGCCATTTAAAGGTGTATGTGTGCTCTTCTTGTTTGGACCTTGGTTTCTTCTTCTTTATTCTATTCCATTTTCTTGTTAGGGGGTTCAGACACCGCCTTCTTATTTTCTGGAAAGCCACTCAGGGCTCAACTTCAGACTAAGGATTTTTAATAAGTGTGTTATTAGAGAGATGGGATCACAGATACGCTTGTTAGCAAATATAATTTGTCGTTTTGTTGTATCAATCTTTCAAAACTAGGGAAAATAAAACGCTACCTTTATATATATACAATTGTGAGAGCAAATCAAAGTAGAAAATCGCGAAGAATTCGAGGAAACAGGAAACAGAATTTTCTCATGCAAACAGACAAGCACTCCAAATTAACAAAGAAAAGGTATCGAAAATAAATCAAAATGGTATCCATCAGAAACAAACGCTTGGCCTTTCTGTTTTTGCTTTATATCACGGAGGACAAAAACCAACTTCTTCCCTTCTCGCGCTCGCTTGCTTGCTTGCTTGCTTGGCCGCTTCACATCCCATTTCCTTCTTCGTCAACTCGACCTCCCCTTCCAGTCAATCAATCCATTCGCTAATTATTCCTCGAAAACGTCGCCGACGCATCAACCAGCAGCGTCGCAATGAGCAAAACACCGTTGAACCCAGCCATCATGTAAAACGGCGTGCCGCTGGATACTGTATCGAATAGATAGCCACCCAACTTGGTAAGAATCAGGATAGCTGCGCCGCCGCAAAGCGAGTACACGCCCGCAATGGAGCCCTTGAGGCGCAGTCGCGACACAAACTCTTCTTCCGTGACAATGCGGATCAGCGGCTCCGTCTCGGTTGATTCGTCCGCGTCAGGGGCAATGGCATGAGGACGGCGGGCAGCGCGCGGGATCTCGACGGCGAGGACGCCCTTGCCGAGGGAGCCCAGACTGCAAACAATGGATCCGATTTGGCTGATACCAATGAGGGTTACAATGACGAAGATGTATGGGGTGCCGCCTCGGCCATCAACGTCCTTGATCTCGGGACTTGAAAGTTGCGGGAAGATGATGTAGCCCACAATGCCCATGACCGTGGCTACCACAACGGGGTAGTTGACTCTGCCTGGATGGCGAGACAGATAGCCGAAAAGAGGAGCACAGATCAAGCCCATGAGCTGCGCCACGCCAGTCAGGATGGAGGAGAGGACGTACGCCTGGCGACATTCCTTCTTCAGCTCTGGAGAAGGATCATTAGGTGAGCCCTGGCAGAATCCGTTGCCGATGAAGAAGGTGTTGATGTAGAGCGGGACAAAGAGCGAGATGGCAACAGTAGAAGCTCTGGCAACGAAGCCACCGAGGTAGCCCAGCGCGATCCGGGAGTCGGTAAAGCCGAGAAGCACCGAGTCCTTCATGAGGTGGAGGTACGGGATAACCTAGGAATGAATGTCAGTTATCAAGAATCCCAAAATGAACATTCGTGAATAAATGTTACCTTGTTGTGAGATCTGCCAGAGTAGCCACCCCCGGTAGACTCATCCTGACTCTTTAGCCCAAGCAGCAATCGCCATCCCTTGCCTTCCTCTCCTTGGAGATTGCGCAGTCCAAAGAAGACAAAGATACCAACGAGCAGAGCAATAGCACCGACAACGTAGAAGCTATAAGTCACTGCCTCTCCCGGAGTCACCTCGTCAATCTCTCCAAACTTGGCCGGCAGGGGCAAAAAGCACGACAGTGCCAGCAGCGCGCCGCAGCCTGTGAAAAGACCAACATAGCCCGCCAGCACAGACGATTTTCCCGACCGGGCTTGTGCATCCGGGGATGGTGCCCCCTCGCCAGTGGGCAGCGATCGCGAATAGGCCTCTGGCGTGATGGTGACTTCAGAATCGACGGAAAAGGCCGCGCTCAGGCGCGCAAAGGAGCTTCGACTGCGGCGACGGGCGCGGGCGGCTTTGGCTCGCTCAAGGGCGGCGGTGCGAATGTCCTCGTCCTCGTTTGTTAGCGAAGGAAGGATGGCGGTGACCATGGTGGCCCTAGAGATTTCGAACATGGCAAAGTTAGCACACAAGCTCCAGACAAGCAATCGCATCCATCCATCCTCTTCTCGCGCCTCAGCCAACGGGACTCCAACAAGAGCTGCCAAAACAAAAAGAAAACCACATACGTAGCCGATGCGCCCACCGCAAACAAGACTCGCGCCAGCAACAGCTGCGGATACACGTTCCTCGCCTGTACAAACACCGCCAGCGCCACGGCGACAATCGCATATCCAATCACGGCCACCCACCGCACGCCCAGGCGGTCCGACACGAGCCCCCAGGCCGGACACGCCACCAAGGCGACAATCTCGTCCGCAAAGCCCAGCGTACCGACAACGTCACCCACGCCGTTCTTCTGGCCGATCAGGTCGGTGATGACGAAGGAGACAGAGCTGTTGAGGAAGACGAGGAACGAGATGGAGAAGAGCGAGATGCCCAGCAGGTACGTGGCGGCCTGCGTGGGCGTCGTCGAGGCCGCGAAGGGCAGGAAGCGCTGGATGGAGAGCGCCATTTTGGAGGGTCTGGCTGCTGTGATGGCAGCGCGCGCGTCTTTCTCTCTCTCTCTTAGTTTTATATCGATGTCGTTGTTATGTGTATGAAATGGGTGAGATAGAGATATAGCTTCTCGAGCTATAGTAGCTTTTTTTCTTGCCGCCTCGGTTCTTAGTGTTGATATCGCGAACTAGCGGATCTTCAATCAAAATGCGCTTTCGGAGCTTGGTGAGAATAAAATATAGCCTCTCCAGTAGTGCTAGAAAGGCATTCACATGATAATTCGAAAAACGCAAGGCGGTGACCAAGTTCAATGGCAAACCGAAAAAGCAGATGTTGAAACGATGAAAATGGAAATGACTGATGCAATGCAAAGTGTAAGAAATGACCATCTTACGAGCATGAGGAGCTTCTTCAGCGCTAGCATTTAGCATTTAGCGCCTGCGGAGATTCGGCTCCTTTAAGCTCTGTCGGGCCAATCGGCGGCGCGCACCAACGGCAGGCGTCTTTTGGTCGGCATTTGGCATCCCTTCGACTACTGACCGCATTAAGACGCGCCCTGGCAAGTATAAAAGTCAGCAATCTGGATCAATTGGTCTTCATTAGGCGTACTGTGCAGCAGCACACTTTACCTAGGTCCATGGGATGCTGCAGAAAAGACAGCTAGAAATAGTAGGCAGTTATCGGAGCTACACCGAGTACGTAGAAGCAGTGACATCCGGACTTCACTTATAGGCATGTTAGCTCCTCGCAAAAAGCTCATCAGCTTAGCTACGCCACGGATCTGCAAAAAGCCATTCATCTCCGGTCCAGTTCCTTCAAACGACTCATTCCCTTTCTTTTCCTCTACTATTGAGATTTTGCAAATAGCAATCGAGGTAACTGCCTAATAACAAATGCCCCATTTCTCTGATATCCATAACAAACACCTAAGCTGAAACAAAAACGAAAACTCCAATGCTCCCTCATGATCCTGAGCCCTCCCCCTAACGTGTCCAGAACATACTCCGTACAGAGGGTATAAGTGTGTGTATATGTGTGTGATTTCGTCTGTCTACCAAGCCCAGAGCACCTTGTGGTGGAGCGTGCGGGCGCCCAGCCTCTCAAACTCAAATGGCGTGATCCACGAGTCGTTGGTTGACAGCTTCGCAAAGACGCTAGCTCCCTTCCAAGTGACAACCTGCTCGTCCATATCTCTCGCGCTTCGACTGACCAGGATCCTATCGTTGAGATCAGGCTTCAGCGCCTTCAGTCTCTCTTCCAAAACTACGGTGAGCTGTGGGACCTTGGCGCCGCCGCCAATGACCATGATACTGCCCAGCAAATCACGAACTTTCTTCTCATCGCCCTTAGCTGCATTATGAATGCTTGTGAGAATAGAAATGTCCAGCGGTGCCAGGGGCAGTACCTCATCTCTTTCAGTTGCCATGTCTTTGGCTCCCCGTGCCGCTGCGTCCACAAACATTCCTGGGGGCGGCTGCGTGGCTTGGGACTGTCCAGGAACTGGTGTGCCAGCCGCTCGAATGCTGCCCGGAGCAGGGCTGTCGCCATTAACGCCGTCCTTGTTGGCACCAAAGACGAATGGGGCTGGTACTGGAGTGCCACTGCCCTCGGGGGCCGGCGACCCGGCGTGCGATGCAATTGGAGTGCCGGTTGCTGTCTCAGCTTTGGGAAGGAAGTTGAACTGTGATTTCTCCTTGTTTGGTGTTGACACTTCAGGCTGTGACTGAGAGAAGCCGTTCGCGTTGGTCATGAGTGATGGCTTTACCAGTGCGAGAATTGCGAGTTGTGCGGCAGAGGACGGATCGTCGGGAATATCCACGTCATAAGCGTTGTAAGAACGCTCGACAAGCTTTCTCCTTCCCCTGAGCTTTGTACTATTGTCAAAGATTGCTGGCTCAAACACTCCCATCGCCGCAAGAATGACTTCGTCGTATGTCTTGAACGCATATTTCCGTGTAGGCTGGTTGGGTGCTCGAACGTGAAAGTTGTAGAGCTGTACCGAGATGTTGGCTTGAGACATGGTACAATGCTTCGCCTTAAGCTCTTCAGCTAGAAGGAAATCATATCTCCTCCGCAGGTTGATTTCCTGGTAGGGAAAGTTATCATAGAGCATCATTTTGATGAAAGTCTCCGTAATATCGTATCCGCCATACTTGAGGTTGATTCTCGAGTCTTCAATGCAAAGTCCGTCCTCGACACAGGTCACAGACGTCTTCTGCGCGCCGATATCCACGACGCAGGCTTGTGTATATCCGGCGCCAAAAGTCGCTGCCATGCTTTCCTGGATAAAGCATACTCTGCTGAACTCAAACCAGGTCATACAGGATCGCAAGATCTGTTCCACATATTTCTTATCATAAAGATCAGGAATGACAAAAACGCAGCTATACTGTTGCCACTCGCTGTTCGTTTTTAGACCCAGCTCTTGGCGCAGCGCCTTGTCTAGGAGCGTTTCGAAATCGTCAAAGAGATGCTCTTGGCTTGTGTATCCATCCTCGTTCCAGTATCCGTACTGGATAGGCCACCACAGCTTGAACTTGGGATTTGAGTCATCAGGAACACGTAATGCCTCACTCCCGATAAAACAGGACGCCAATGATGTTGGATCATCCAGTTTTTCTATATCAGTCCACTCGACCTCGAGCACATCGTTATGTCTCTGAATAATCTCGGGCTCTGTGCGGCGATTGAATGTCTGGACAAGCTCCTTGGAGTTGGGAAGTACTTTTCGCTTGTTGGCGCGCATTTCCACCTTCAGATCGTTGCACATCTTTTGGTATTTCTTCGACCACTCTTCTCCATATTGCTGATCCGTAGTCTTTGCTTCAAACTGGCGTCGGGGTAAAGCCTCGTACATCTCCGATTCGGTCTGGGGGAATTTGGTCGCTAGGGTAGTCGGGATAGTCTTGGGAAGTGCATCGCTAGCGAATCCAATGCGCAGATTTTGGCTTCCAGGATGAATAACAATCACCCTGGATGGGTCCATCCCACCCGAGGGAGTTGCGGCTCCGTCATCTTCGCCGAGATCTGGCAGGGGCAGGGGCAGCTCGCCATTAGCGGGCTTTGAAAGAGCACGATCGCGGTCTCGGGCACTCTGTACTAGTCGATCGCGAGTCGCATCGCTTTGGAGTCGGAGGGCTAGGACCTGATCATCCCTTTTCATATAATCTCTGTCGCCAGGAGTTAGTGGGTTCATCCAGCCAGCCACTCAAGTCGCTGCAAATTCTCACGTATAGTAGTTCTTCTGGTTGATGGGGGTGACATCGGGCCATGAGGTCAATTTCATGCCATTGTCGGTTCTCTCCAGCCCTGCGCGGATTTTGGACGTTAGCAATTGGCAGCCGGTGCGTTGACAGGAGGTCGAAGTTCCCCATGACACCAGGCTGGAGCTACATTCACGTACCTTCTCTAAGAAGCACTCTTTCTGAGACTTTGCCGACCATCTTGATGGTATAGGCACCTTTGGTGCCAGAATCGGATAGCGGGTGTTGCTGTGCAGTGCTTTGAATGAAGAGGAATTTTATGGTGCACTCGTCATCTTGTCCTCGCCGTAGACGCGATTGACACGCCAATGCGATTAAACTTCCTTGCGATCCTAGGACCGAGCCGATAAGATAGCTTGTGCCTGGATAGCGGATTTTAGATAATCCGGGTATGCTCCCCGATGCTCCTAAGTGTTACCGCGCTGCCACTGCTACCCTGGAATCGGCCGAAGTCAATGCGATAATGAGACTTCAGGCATATGAAGCTCACAGGGAAGAATTGGATGAATAAAAACACAAGTGTCTACACATCGTATCACACTCTGACTACCAAGAATATACATCACACATAAGACATGTTGTTGGCTGCCTGCATCTATGGTAACCTTTGAATCTGCCCAAGTAAGGCTTAAAGTACCAGCGGCTAGATGGCTTATGTCGCATATAGCCATAGACAGATCAGATAATGGTCCTACAGCAGCCTACTAGGGCCTTACATCTGCACCGTCCGAACGGAAAACGGCATTTGGGTGACCGAGTACCAATGCTTTGTTCTCCGCAAATAATGAAAAGCACGAGGTCCCTGCGTACCCGCGGAGCTGATGCATGCAACTCAAGTCACCTGACAGAAGTACGAGATGTCACTGAATGACGTAACCGGTCTTTATCCCAGGTAACAGCGCAGCGCCAACTTGCAAGCAACAACTTCACCTCAGCTCCAACATCTCACTGCCGCATTGAAACGCGTATAAAGATATTTCACCTGTGAAAAATTACGGTGATAGCTACTTATAGCTGCGAAAATACTAATTTAGTCACCGACATTCTAGCATCTCTTACTAGGCTCGTGGACTTCTTGTCCCGTCGACTCAACCAGCATGCCCGTACAGGTGTTCACTTCGAGTCCCATCACTGCCACCAAGGCAACAGAAATCACTCCAAAGACACAACAACCAGAGGGAGATGGACCTCAGGCAAGACCGCCTCCACCGACGACAACATTAGGAACCCCAACCGCGTATCCTCCTGCACAGCCAGGTGCTCGGCTTTCAATACCTATCCAGACCGGAGCGCCACAGCCTACCAGCGCTTATATGCCTTCATCGACCCAAGAGGCCAGCTCAAACCCGCCTTCCCCACAGCCTGGCGCAGTGCCTTCACCTCCAGGAGGAAAAAGCCGCCTTCCGCCTCCTCCAAAGGCTGGCGAGACCTTACAACAGGCCCAAACAGTGCCCATGCCGCCTCAAATGTCGTACCAGCTGCCGACATCAGCCGTTCCAACTCGGGGTGGCTCATCGACCTCTACTTCCACAGCCTTCTCGCCAAGTGTGCCACATCCAACACTTATACAGACCTCCGAACCAGACTTCTCGCACCCCCCAGGCTACCAGCAGAACACCAATGCCGCAGACTTTAGCCGCGACCAACGAGAGGCTTACAACGCTTCTCTAAACCAAGAGTCCTCTCTGGCCCACGAAGCAGAAAGTGTCTGGAACACGGCAAAGAAGTGGGCGGCTGCTGCAGGAGATAGCATCGCTGCGGCAGAGAATGAAGTCTGGAAGAGAATTAACAAGGAATAGCACCGCTTTGTGGACATAAACATCCATGGACCGGGAGATACGCCCATATGGCCATGGAAACGACACTATTCGAGAAGCTTTCAGCGGCAGATTACAACAAACGAATCTTGCAATGCGCTACATTAAGTAGGTAATGAAACTAGGCTACACATACGAGCGAGCTTTAGATGCAAATGAGATCTTTTTTACCTTTCAAATAAGCAATGTTTTCGGAGAATCAACATGTTCCTGCGCATAGACTGCGCTGAAGCTAGATCCATCGATTCGTCAAAGCTTCGGGTGGCAAATAGGTAAAGAACAATGTCGCGCGTCATGCACGAGCACCCGTTGAGGCGAATCAGTGATGTGCCAGGAAAGATCTCGAATCAAGATTCTGACGCAATATACCCGTACAGATCCGTGACAGGGTTGTTACGAGATCGACACTAGGCGTTTTAGTCGTGGCAGTTGCAATTTGCTGCCAGAGTTAATTATAGCTCTGAGCTGGGATCTGCCTTTCATTTCGCCTACATAATCCATCAGCTGTTTCCGGAGTTGCCTTGAAGAAATGTTTCAACTCTGAGCTGACCTGTGCCCGGTTTGTCGAGTCTCGAGTCTCGCGTCTATATTTTGATCGCGGGCCATGAAACTGTCACTTTCTGGAGGTACGTAGCAATGACAGAAATACTTCAAACTCGTTTCTGCGTTTGGATGACCCTTCCATCTTGTGCAGTAAAAGTGGCATGAGAAATGGTGAATCAGGCCTAGCCGGGGATACCTCTGACGCATCTGAAACGCGTATAAGTGACGGGGGTCCTGGGCTGAGCTACCAGGCGGTACCGCGCTTTTCTCATGTGGCCGTAGCGTGTCGCGCGTACCTCGTGGTAAGCCCGCCGTAAGGCTGCGGACTCTGCAATTAAACTGAGACAGCGCCCTTGCATCCTGCCTCAGGAACCAGGCAAATCAGAGCCCTCGCAACGTCGCATCGCCCACTTTAGACCTCTTCAAACACAACTCCACCATATCCAACTTTCCCCCGGCACCCATATTCCATCTCGGGTCCGTCTCGAGCGCAGACGACCCGGCTTGCTTCGCTGACCTGTCGCCTGGACAACTAACCACTCTTTCGGTCTTCGGCAGGGCAGAAGAACAGACAATAGAAACAAGAGAAATTCGAGGCCAAAGCGGATGCGCAATTACACTCGTGGAGGCTAATGCGGGCCTGTGGGCGCGCAAGAGAGCTCCGCTGCCACACCCGTGGATCGACTTCGACTGCATGTCAATGGGCTCTGCCGGATAGCGTTTCCTTGTGCGAATAGCTACCGACCGTTTGTCTCCTCCTTAATCTATTGCGGGGTCCCGGGTCTCTTGATTCGTAGCCAAGCGTTTTATCTGCTTCCACATATGGCTCTTGACACACGCTTAGCCAGGGCAGCGAGCTCGTGATCGGCTTCGAGTCCGACTCGGTCATCTCCTCATGCAGCGGCGACACCGTTGTTCCGCAGGCGTGATCTTGCAGCTGGACATCTGGCATGCCAGGTACTACTCCGTGTGTGCCAGTATGGCTGCTGCCTTGAGCCGCTGTCTCACGGCTGGTCGGAGAATAGCCGTTTGGTTGGGCCGCAGATATGGACGGATGCTACCACACAATGGACGCCTTCGAGAACGTCCTACTGGTATGTCTCTCTCTCTCGATTCCAGTCAGCAGGGGGGCCTCCGATGGATTGTGAAGCACCGGCTTCGTGATATATGCTGCAAATGGTTTGGCTCACATGCCTTCTCAAACTGGCTCGCTGACCAAGACTGTCGTGATCTGATATCAAATCAGCCGCCTCCGGGACGCAAAAGGACCAGGCTTCTATTCAGCCTTTCTGCCTCACCCCCCCACACCGGGATTCGTTGCTGCCCCTCTTCATATCCAAGGCGGCCTTCCCGATGCCTGTGATGCATCTGCTCCGTTCTTGTGTGGATCTTGATTGTCTACTGGAGATTACCGTGTGATACCATCTCGCATCTCGTCGTCTTTCTTTCTTCTTTGGTGCGGGTCTCCGTAGCCTGAATGTTCTCCCGTACTTCTAGCTTCGTTTTAGTTGCTGTGGCACACTCAATGGCTCCGTACTAGTTGCCCAAAGAGGACTATCTTTAGAACGCAGGGCTGCAAGTGTAGCCGTGGCGTCAATCCTTGACCTTGACATTGTGCCTTCACCATGTCTGTTGTCTACTACCATGTTTTTGGCCACTAGGTGATGTCGAAGTGAGCTATCAGATATAATCGCAGATGGAAATCTGGAGATCCCTTGAGGATGAAGCCTCGAGTGGACGAGGCAGAGTCGACTCTGGCCTTGAGCTAAGCAAAGCTAAGCAGAGCAGACCAAGAGAGCCAGCGATTTGGATATGGGGCACTAGACAGGGCTCCAAGTGAGCTCCCAAGTCTCGGCTTTCTGGATGTCACGTTATTGTGACGCATACTCCTCTCGCTGTTACTTGCGATATCTCCTAGTTTATTCCCAGACACCAATGGGCCCTGGTGAGTGAACTGAGCTCTGCTCTGGCCGACACTTATTTTCCGAAAGTTTCTTTTTTTAGTCGACTTATCCACCTCACCCGTGCCGCGTCAATTATGACACAGCTCTAGCTGTTAACGTCCAAGGGCGTTCCATCAATTGTTTCTCCGTTGCAAGATCAGGTTATGCCTGGGAGATGAATCGCTTTTTTCGGTCTCAATTCGGCTGCCCTGACTAGCCGTTATTGCGACTCTTTTACCCGGCTCTTCTGGTCCGTGCCCGAACATGGATTTCCTCTCCCAATATCGAGCCAAGCGCAGAGGAGAGAAGAAAAGTAACAGAGATAAATTGCATCGCTTAGATGGCAGCTTAGTTAAAGTGGCGTCATTTTCGCACAAGCCCTGGTCGAGCCTTTTGGAAAATGGCGTTTCTGATCTGAGCATGGATATTTGGGAATGCTGGCGCGGTCGCCGCGGCGCGGGAGCTCCTCTGGACTAGCAGCTGATCCTGCTCTCGTTCGCCCCGGAATCTCGTGAAGCTGCACCATGGCCCGATGGTCCAGGCTGAGCTGGTGATGATGCTACCTTTTCTCGGACTAGGCTGAGTGGCAGGCGTTGGGCACCGCTCACAACGCTCAACTTTCAGCCTTCTCTCTCCGCGGTGTGCGGGCTGGACCATCTAGCAGACGCGACAGGCTCTTTGACGTCGTCGTATTACGTGTTTGGCAGCGAATTCTTGATTTGACCTAACGAGAAGGGGCCTTTTATTACCTTGATTGGTTTCACTCGGTATTTTGAGTCGTTTCAGTGACACCATTTTGGCCTAACTTGAGGATAGAGGCGTCGCGGCCGATCTTCAACGGCTGAGGGCCGACAAGCTGATTGGCCAACCAGCTCCTTGAAACTCCCAGTCTGTCCACCCCCTGTCGCCCAACTCTCTCATGCCCACTTTCCTTGTCTGTGCCTTGCGGGTACGCCAATGCAGAGAGCCGAAGGCCTGTACGCAGGCACTGTAAGCCAAGCCCAGGCCAGCCGGCTGCACCCCATATGGACTGGGATCCTGGGATCTCGAGAGGCGCCGGGGGTGCAGGTGCCGGCATTCAGTGTTCTGAGCATGGCCCCGTCGGTTTGGCTCAAACTACGGAGCACGGAGTAGGACCACAATAGCATGGTGGTATTCTGCTGGGGGCGAGTGCCAGTCCGGCTGCTCAGGGTGCAGCTTGTCAACGACTTACAAGTATACACGGCCCCTGCCCGAGAGCCTCGCTCTCTCCGTAGGCCACCACCATTCAAACGCTCATCCACCTGGCCAATTTCTGGAATCTCTCATCTGCTCTGGATCTTAGGTTTTGTCTTCCGCATATATGCCCCATCGATCGCTCTTAATCTCTGCAAACCCCCCTCCTTTCAGTGCAGATTGAGAGCCGACTCTCTCTTTTCGTTCATTCATCTATTCCCTGCTGGCCGCTCACGATCTTTACGAGTCAACATCTGCATAATATTACAACACGACTTATCATATACTACCTTACTACTACTGATCTCACTAGCAGTTTGGCCTGTCTCTTGCTGCTTGCTGCTGTCCCTCCTTCTCTACCCCCCCTATTCTCTTTTCTTTTTTGACCCCCCCCTCACTCCCTTCGACGCCGGCCCCCGGATATACTCCTTATACCAGACGATCCTACTCTCGCTCTCTCTCCTCGACTCTCTCTAGTGACCTGGACATTCGTTTATCTCTCCTGGCCTCCGAAAAACACGACGACTGCAACCATATTTTGACACCATCACGGATTAGTGTAAGTGAGAACTCTATAAGAGAGGGATCCCTGGCTATGCTTTGAGCAGCACAGTCTCTCTTAACCCCGGGTTGCTTTGCCTAAACGGTGTTGCATGACCGTCTCCAACGGCGCCGCTGATCAGCGAATAGGGCCTAGCCATTCATTTCGACCGTTAAAAATTATTAAGGCAAATTACAACGAGTGCCGAGTCTGTCGACTTGTCTATATTTAGCTATGGAGCCTAGTCACAATGGATTGTATGTTCCTTGCCTCTCCTTCCTATCCTCGTCTATCGATACTTACTTGTGACCCCCTTGTAAAAGTCGACAACATATTCAGAAATACTTTTTCCATTCAAGAGGCGCAAACAACAAGGGCGATTCTGATGCTCCTCTTCAAGAGCCGCCCATCAACAACCTGAGCATCAGCGACATGCCTCAGCACGAGGCAATGCAACCGTCGGGGATGCCATGGATGCCGCCAGCGACTCACCCACAGCAGGTGCCGGCAACGGCTCAAGAGAGCATTTCATACTACATGAGGGACGGCAACCATCCGGTAAACACATGGGAACACTCGATGCCGCCCTCGTCGACCTCCGTCCAGCATAGATCCACCGAGGCTGTGACTGCGCCTGTCACGTTAGCCCAGGGGCTATACCCTGCTAATGCGATGATGACTGCCGAAGTCTCGAGAGATCCAAGCGGCTTTGTTCTATCTGATGCATCGAATCGGTGGGC